TGTCCAAGTGCCTGTTGATGGATCATACAGCTCAGCACTATTATAAGTAATATTACCATTCCATCGACCAGTAACTAATACTTTTCCATTTGATAATACAGATGCTGTATGAAACCCTCGTGCATTTGCCATATTGCCAGTAGAAAACCATCCTAGAAGTTATATTTTTATATATTTAGACATTACAATATTAGATCGTCAAACACTCAACATTCATTATTCTTGCGCACAGAATTTTTTATTATTCTAAAAATGATAGTGCTTGATATGTCTATTTTATATCAACTCAAACTTATGTAGACTGAGAATAATGGTCAAATGTATTACACAAATCCTCTTCATATACTATTATATCAACTTCAGTTTTTATATTTTCTACGTCATCTTTTGTCTCAATCAAACGTATAAAAGATGTTTGTCTCAAGTTGACCACTGGGCTAATTACACCGACTGATGTATTTTTCGATTCTCGTCGAAGTTTACAAGTTTTGGTCGAAACTTATTTAATAGAATGAAAATTATGAACTTTTTATCAACTCTTTTGTAGTTCTCTTTAAATGAGAATCAAAATAATGAATTATTCATAACATTTTCTTTTTAATAATCTATACATAGGTATGGAAAGGACTATATAGCATTCATCACTGAAACGGATATAAGACATGAACTAATGAGAAAATGAATGATGAATTTCGAAATTTCTGATAATTCACTATCAAATCATTGTTAGTTCTTCATTAGTTCACACAAATTCACCTATTTAGTTATTCTCAACACTATTCTCAGTGATGCTTTACAACTTATCAAATGCTCTACTTGAATTTATTAGCATAACAATAATTTTCATCATTTCCCCTATTTATATCTTCTTGGGTGGGTATAGTTGAGGTTGAGATTAAAAGAGAAAGACTCACACCCTCACCCACACTCTAGTTCAGATAAATGGTTTGTTGATTAGTTTCTAGCGGCTGTACTAGATTGACTAGTTGCGGTGTTGAAATGAACTGACAACCAAAAGAAAAAAAGCTCTGAGATAGAGTCAATGGCAACGATACTGCCAGGCCTCGTAATGGCCGCCAGGTCCAACATGGCCTGGTCCAGGTTAGAGAGCCTGACCATTCAGACCGGGCGGGCTGGGCTTTAGTTGTGTCGCCCAACTCCATATCGATATTAAGCGATCAATATCTACTGTATATTTGCTCTTAATTTTTTTTATTACCTGAATATTTCATTTAATAAAATCAACCACCAGAATTTGATGATTCAGATAATGTCATACTATTAATGTAACTCTTTCCAGTCGCAACATAACAGAATTTCTTATGAACTAATTTTTATATATAGTTAAATAAATTCTAGTACCTGTCGGACCAGGCTGGGCGTACCTTACTAAGATACCGGATGGGCCGGGCCGGGCCAGTAAAACGTGGCCCTGTTTTGAGGCCTGGATACTGCATATTTTACCTGTTGATGTTGTTGTCGATATTTTTGTGGTAGTTGTAGGCTTCTGAGTAGCTGTTGTTGTTGTCAATTTTTTAGTGGTAGTCGTCGTCTTTTGAGTTGCTGTTGTAACTGAACCAAAAGAGATAAGTTAGGTCCAATATGAACACATTTGAAAGAGACAATATAATTAAATCACGCTTACTCTTTGTTGTAGATTTAGTTGTGCTTGTTATATATACTAATAAAACATAGAAATAATTTATTTTAGATCAACTAACTCCTTTTGTTCTAATCATTTTCAAATTTGCAAGACAAAATGTCTTACCTGTAGATGTTGTTCGTAATGTTGTAGCTGTTTTGAGAAGAAAAACCAAATAAAACTAAAATAGTTATTAGAAATCTTTTCCTACTTGTAACAGTCTTCGTTGGATAAATTTATTTGTTTGCCATAGGTGATGGATAGCATACTGGTAGACCACATTGTGTACTATTCACACAGATTGTACTCTCGATTGAACAAGTTATATTATCCATATTACATCATATAAAACTTTCACAGGAGCAAATAGTTGAAGCACATATTCCTGTATTTGGATTGGATGCTAATGAAAAACAATCGCAGTCAAGATTCGATGAACATGGTGTTAGTTGAGAATTACATGTTGCTGTTGTTGTTGAGTTAACTAAGAAATAAATAATAAGAAAACAAAGAAAAATAATAGTGATTATTATTAATTACTTAGCTGTTGTTGTTCTGATGTGTTTCTATCGTTGAAGAAGATTAAAAAAAGTATATAATATATAGAACTTGATAATTAATACTTACACTAAAAGTAGCACATAGAATAATAATATAAAGCTTGAACTGAAAATTTTCGCCATTGTGAGATGCAATAGTATGAATTATTAAGTGAAGAATATTCTTCCTCTGATACTTTTCGTTACGTTTGTTATATAGGCGTTGTGAAATAAGCGAACGAGAGCCGACTACCTTTATAGTTAGAACCTAAATTGATTCTTTTCTTATTTTTTTTTCAAAAAGTCATGAAATGCACTTCCTTTTAGTATGCATAGTCATCGACTGAAATTTCAAGTGTGTTTTTGAAGAGAAAAAGAATTATTTAAAAAACATAATTTTAATAAATCATATATATATTCAATGGATGAAAAAAGAAAAGAACAGGAGAATAAACAGAGCATTGATACTCTCTTGCTTATGAAAGAAAAACATTGACTCTGGCAGTTACTTTTAATAAAAAGCGTTGAGTAAAAAGAAAATTACGAAGCTCGCAATTTCCAATTCAGCTGATGTTTTCGATTGCGACGCAATTGCACGCCACTACAATAAAATAATCGCAGTTGCGCACCACTGTGGGAAAATGATCGGAGCTGCACCGCATTTGCGACGAAATAATCGGATTGTCGCGTAATCATGTTTCGACACCATCCCGGGTGTGGGTGTGAGTATAAATACCATATTTAAAATACACCCACACCCACACCCACATCCACACCCACACCCACATCCACACCCACACCCACACCCACACCCACACCCACACACTGCGCAAATCCTCGGACGAGCGTTACTTGTATTTTTGCATCGACATTATTCATATTACGCATATGAATTGAAAAACAAACAACGTCTATGATGCCAAGCGGTCAAGGCTTTTTCCAGCTTGGTGAAATGAAGAGAAAGTATGAGTAATCACTACTGCGGAGAAGCTCGAAAAAATTTTCAGCTGGAACAGTATATATAAACAGAAAAAGATGCAGAAAAAGCATTCAAAAATATTTTCAACACTTTATTCACTCAAGACAGTCGAGCTCAAATTTTGACAGGTATGTTAATTATACAGCACATGCCCTTAATACGAACAAGTATTTCAACATCCTTGATTATTATGCATTTTTTTCAGTCATTTTTAGTCATAAAAATTATCTTTTCAGTTCGGAGTAGAAGAACATCTTGAGGGTTTTGGTGCATGTGGATGTGTATCCTTTCTATTCCCATCCACCCTCAAAGAGGTTAGATAATTGCAATTTAGTAGTTGAGAGAAGTTATTTGAACGATTCAACGGTTGTGCATTTATTAAATTTTCTAAGAGAGATGTCTTCATTTATAAATCAAAATATTTAGATGCAATTAATTTCGATTATTACAATTGTTGTACTCAGTTCCGGTTGTGCATTGGCGTATAACAAAACACATAATCAGCAATGGAAGTTATGGAAAAATAAACATAGGAAAAACTATTCTGATGCTGAAGAACTTGTTCGGTATAGTATATTGTTTTTTATTTCTATTTCTAATTGATTATCAAACTCGAAAATTGTAGACGTGCTGTATGGGAAAATAATTTGAAGATGATCGAAGAACACAATCTTCAAGCTGATCTTGGTGTTCATACTTATCGACTTGGAATGAATCAACATGGAGATTTAGTAAGCTTCCATATTGTAATCTTCAAGTACAGTTTTATCTATAATTTGTTTCACAAATAGACTGCTAATGAAGTTGTGCAAAAATACACTGGTGTCAAAGTAAATATGGAAACGAAATACAGTCAAGTTCGTGAGGTATTAGTATCCAATTCGACTGCTAGGTTACCAAGCTCTGTTGGTATGTATTACAGTGAACTGAAACTATGACTTATGAAAGTATTTGACTGTTTTCTTGCTAGACTGGCGTAACCAGAATGTTGTTGAAGCAGTTAAAGATCAAGGTGCTTGCGGATCATGTTGGGCTTTTTCAGCAGCTGGCGCAATTGAAAGTGCATATGCTATTAAAACTGGCACGCTTCTTTCTCTTTCCGAACAACAATTAAATGATTGTTCTGGCGTAGTAGGAAATGATGGTTGTAATGGTGGTTGGCCGGATAATGGCTTTGTATATGTCATCAATGCAGGCGGTATCGAAACAGAAAGTTCATATCCATATACAGCGGTTGATCATGCATGTATGTTCAATGCAACAGACATTGCTGTCAAAGTCTGTGACTTCGTTGAGTTAGCATCAGGAGATGAAGCAGCTCTCCAACAAGCCGTCGCTACTACTGGACCAATATCAGTCGCGATTGATGCTAGTCATACCTCATTTCAGTTCTATCAATCCGGTGGTATGTAATATTCTTCTTTCATTTCCAACTATCATTTTGTACGATTTTTTAATAGTCTACAATGAACCAACTTGCTCACAAACTAGACTTGATCACGCTGTTCTCCTTGTTGGTTATGGTACAGAAGGAGACCTTGACTATTGGCTAATAAAAAACAGGTAATTATTATGTTTTAGATAGTTTATTAGTAAATTCACTATTTCTATCATGATCTCAGTTGGAATACAAGTTGGGGTGAACAAGGTTATATGAAAATGACACGAAATAAAAATAACCAATGTGGTATCGCGACGGCGGCCACCTATCCGATTATTTGCTCTGCAAATATGCAACCAGTACCACAACAACCAGTACAGCATTGGATATCGAATGCTTTCTGTATGACACCTAATATGTTCCTGATGATCGGTATATATTGCTTTGTAAAGATAGTTTACGAATTGTAACAGCATGTTTCAGAATATATCAATTCAAGATATCACTGTAAATATATACACAACCCACAAAAGTTCACCCTCACATTCATACCATTAGCTATGCCACGTTTTCTTAAACTTTGTATTTTTTTCATTTTTAATTTAGCAATAAATATTTACACCGGAAATCTTCATATTATTTGATTTATCTTGAGGGTGTGGATATGAGTGTAGGTGAGCGAGCTATATACATCACAAACTCACATTCACGCCTACACCCTCATGATTAAATAATATAATTAGAAAAAAAATTAATATGTCAATTAAAAAATAATGAAATGTAGTCCAGATAATATTCATAAGTACAATTCAGCAGCCTTTAAAGGCACTTCACCGGTGAATCCACCAGCAACTAATATTTGTCCATTTTTTAATGTGGATGCTGAGTGTTTGCTTCGTACGGTGCTCATGCTTGTAGTTGGTGTCCATGTATTTGTCGTTAGATCATATAGTTCAGCACTACTGAGGAAACCAAAACTATAACCGGTACTTCCACCAGCAACTAATATTTGTCCACTCGATAATACGGTTGCTGTATGCCCACATCGTACGGTGCTCATGCTTGCTTTTGTTGACCATGTATTTGTCAAAGGATTATAAAGCTCAACACTGTTGAGAAAACCACTCCTACTTTGTCCGCCAATAACCAATATCTGTCCATTCGATAATACGGTTGCTGTATGGTCATATCGTGCAATGCTCATGCTTGTTTTTGTTGACCATACATTTGCTAAAGGATTAAACAGTTCAACACCGTTGAGAACACCACTGCTATTTTGTCCGCCAATAATCAATATTTGTTCATCCGATAATTCGGACGCTGTATGCCACCATCGCGCGGCATTCATTTTTTGTGCTAGTGTCCAAGTATTTCGCGATACATCATACATTTCAGCAGTATTTTGATAAGTATAGGTAGTAGTTTGTCCACCAATAACTAATACTGATCCATTTGATAATACAGATGATGTATGGAAAGCTCGTACATAAATCATGGTTGCTCTGTATGTCCATTTATCCGCTAAAGGATTATACAATTCAACAGTATTGAGGTTACCACTATGACCTTGCCCACCAGTAACTAATACCGTTCCATCTAATAGTTGAGATCCTCTGTGACGCCACTGTGGAACACTAATGTTCATTTTTAGTGTCCAACTATCTGTCGTCGGATTGTATAATTCAGTAACACTGGCAAATCCTTCACTAGATCCACCAACAACTAATACTGTTCCATCGAATCGTACGATTGCTACATGTGTATCTCGCCCAACACTCATATTTCCTGTTGATTTCCATCCTAAATATGAAAAAGAAGTGAAAAACAATTTTTTTTTCAAAAGTACAAGTCAAATGACACACACAGATAATTCATGAACCAGTTTATAAGAAAGATACTTATTTGAGGACTTCACTAAACTGTTCCTGTTGTGACACAGATGTGAAATCTAAGTAGTATCAAAATTGAAAGATCAATTTCCACGAATTTACAGATTAAATGTTAAATTCGATTCGAAAAACAAATCAACTTCCAATATATTTTAAGGGTGTATAAAATTTATGGATAATTCGCAAAAATCGTGAAAGTCGGGTGCGTGTATGTATCATTTTTAACTTATACCCACAACATGTATCTATAGTAGCTTTAAATAATCTCACTACAATTACAGATCCTCCAATTGAGCTTATGTATACAATATTTTCTCTCTAAAAAATCATCATCAAAATCTCTTACCATTACATATATATTGTGAACACATATTATTCAAACAGCCTGAATTTTGCGTACAACTTTTCAAGTTAAGACATTTTTCACAAGGCGAAGAATCACCACACTCAACATTCGCTTCTCCATTATTGTTGAGACCATCAATACATGAAAGTTCTATTCTACAGATATATATATATATATATACTAGCGGGAGGACCCGATGTTAGTCGGGAAAATTTGATAGTACATATTTGGTAGATGAGAAAACGGGTGTAGATGTGTAAAGGTTTGAAGTATGGTTGCGACTGTTTTTCATCAACACAAATAATCACTCATACCGGCACCACATTCACGCCCACACTCCATGGACCTTCTCTGGAACCTAAGGAAGCTTCGTGGAAAGTTTGGTGATCGTAGCTATTACAGGAACTGAATGCATAGCGAACAAACAAACAGACATTCTTCTTTATATATACAGATAAAGATAATCTTTATTTGCAAAAATAAAGTTAAAATAAAAGATAAAGATATATTTTTTCATGCAATAAGCACATGTGCAAATACTCTGTATAAGAACAGAATACATTTATTAATGTTCTTTCTTATCATCATCATTTTCATATACCATATCATAAAAAAAAGGATCACACAAGAAGCGATATATACAAAAAAATGCTATTCCATATTATAGTTAACTATATAATATCATAATTTTTTTGTTAGCTACTCTAAGAAAATAAAAACATACATTTCGATAGAAAAAAATCTTTATCCGTTATTTTAAATTTATTTTATGAATATAAAATAAAAATAAAGATAAAGTAACACCCCTAGTTGAAAATAATTAAGCTCTACCTTAATCACTCTTGTTAACTGTTCGCCAGACAAGTCGATACAGAGCGATAGAATAAGAAACATGGTATTTTTTCAAATAACAATTAGCCCTTTTCGTATCCGCATAGTTCTCTTCAATGATGAAGTTTGCACCGTTTTCTGGAAAGCAAGAGGCAGCTCTTTCGAATGTTGGTAACCATGAAAATAATGAATGGAATAGAAAAAAAGATTCTTTTCAGAAAAATTAGGACACGTAAGTCTGATGTTTTTTAAATTCAAATTGAATTCAACGAATTTATCTATGCTAAAAAATAGGGTACGTAATGATATGAAATTACAGCAAGAGAAAGAATGAATTTCGTTATATAGACGTCCACAATATCGACTGCACGTCGATGATGAAATAAAATAGCTATTGTAAGGATTACTACTACTTTACTCTTTTCCCTATGAATAAGATGGAATGACTTATGTCAAGATCACTGATTCTTCAAATGTAACATATAGTTAGATACGGGATAACATGGGATCTTAAGCGACTTAATATATTTGATTTAGAAAATAGCGTTTAGGAGATGCTAAAAAGCGTTACTTTAACACTTACGTGGCTGCTGTACAGAGGTGGTGCTACTTATTGTTTCTGTCGTCAACGGTTGTGATTCTGCTGTCTCCATTGTTTCTGTTGTTATTGTTGACATTATTGTTGTTTCTGCTACTATTGGTGACGATATTGTTGGTTTTGTTGTTAGTTGTACCGCTGCTGTTGTCATTGTTGTTGTTGTTGTTGTTGTATGCAACGATTCTTCTGTCGTTGATTGTGGTATTGATGTTACTATTTGCCGTGACGTTGACGATAGTGTTGCCGAGGATGTTGTTGTTGTCACTGATGATGGCAGTGATGCTAAGGATGTTGCTGTTGTCACCAATAATGACAGTACTGATACTGTCGTTGTTACTTGTGACGGCAGTGTTGATACTGTCGTTGTCACTGATGTTGCGACCCAAGTTTCTGACTGCTTTGGTGCAAGAATGGCGAATTTTAACACAAGAGTAAGGGTAATCGCAAGAATTATTAAAAGGACAAGAAAGATGCCAATGATCTTTACCCAACGTCGATGCCACCATTTGCGTGATTGAATATCTTCAGTGATACACTCACTGTACACCTGATTTTGATCCATACTATATTTCTACAAGACCCTATAAAACAAAACAAAAAAAAACGAGCTATTATGCAGCACTATTTTATATATGCCTGTTAATCTCAAACGGGTCGTAGAAGAAAAGCAATATTATCTTCAAGGACGTAGAGATTGTTATACTTTTATCTTTATATAATAAGTTTTAGATATGATCATCAATAGCATAAAACAACACTTTACTTCTAAGCCTTTTCCTCTCAATTCTTCTTATCTCAACATTATTGTTTTAGTAGGCTCATATCAAAATAAATGATAGGATCGTTTTACTAGACATTATAAATCTATTGATTTATATGGCTGTGCAGTTAAGGGTAAGCATATGAAATAAATACAATATCTATACACATAAGCACCGGCACCAGCACTCTCAAAACTGATTATTTGAAACACTAAAAGTAAAATAAAAAACTTTACAGGTATGATAGATAAATTTTTTAAAGATATAGGATCTATAAGCAAAACAACTGAAAAGAATGATTTAATTATGAGAGATGAGAGTGTTAGTGTGAGTATGAGTGAAAAAGATTTACATTCGCAGACACACCCACACCCATACCTACACCCTCAAAGAATAACTGTTTGACACTAATAATATAGATAAAAAAAGAAGGAAAGATCTCCAAGTTACTTGCTAATCATAACATATAGTGTAAATGTTGATTTAATATTGTCATTATATTAAATTCATTTTATTTTACAAAAATACAAAAAGAAAAAAGAAAAGAATTTACAAAATATTCAACTTTTTAATTTAATTAATATAATGTTGATGAATAGAAGCAGGAATACCAGTTATTGGTTGATAATAGTTATTACCTATTGGAATAAAATCAACTTCACGTTCAACATTAACACGTCCAGTATACGGATTTCGATACAATTCAACATCTTGTGTATAAATGCCATAACCATAATTACCATAAGTAATAGTTTGATAATCTCTATTCCAATTATTCATTGGACTAATAGCGGCAATTGGTTGAGCAAACATTTTATTGAGAATAGTAAAGTATAATAACAATGAGTTTATATTTGTATGAATGTATGAAAATGAGAGAGAAATGTATGTGTATTTATACTATATGATAATACACCTGTATAATGATAATACGAATAAGAGCGTCATCACTGTACGTCATCAATGATGTCATAGTTATGTTGTACTCCCTTTAATGATAAAAATAAATGTTGTTAAGTGCGATTGAGTCGATGAAGAATATTCGTGAATATATTCTAAAATTGTTTTATTTTTATTTTGAAAGAGAAATAGCAAATTGAAAGTGAAAGGAAAAAAAATTGTTTACATGTTCAAAGACGATTTAAGATTTTCCATAAAAGTGTTTAAGTAAATAAAAGAAATTATTTTTCAGTTTCATTATATGCAATATTTGTAAATTATCAGTCAAATGTAAAACTATCGAACAGCTTAAAAATCGGTTTCATAAAAATATAATAGAATCAATCTCTAAATTTGTGATACAAATATTTAATTTTAACTTTATGAAATTACTTTCTTTCTATGAATAATAAATCATAGAATTACGATTGAATATTTTCAAATGAGGTTATACAAGATCCCATTCGTTTCACAACTTGATGATTAAGATTCACTTAAACTTATATGTTTCTGTTTTATTGATTAAAGTCGTTTGTCATTATGTTACGCTTGCATAACGATTTAAATAAATTCAAAATAAAAATTAATCATGAAAGACTTCATTGTATGAAACAAAATTTTGTAAATCATTCTGTGTGTTCAAGCTATTTTTTAAAAAAGTCGAATCACTTTCAAGAGATATTAATAATTAAGTTTTAATTGCTTTATAGTTGAAACAACATAAGAATTATCAGAATACACTATTAGAATAAAACAATTTTAGAATATATTTACGAATATTCTTCATCGACTCAATCGCACTTAACAACATTTATTTTTATCATTAAAGGGAGTACAACATAACTATGACATCATTGATGACGTACAGTGATGACGCTCTTATTCGTATTATTATTATTATTATACAGGTGTATTATCATATAGTATAAATACTCATACATTTCTCTCTCATTTTCATACATTCATACCAATATAAACTCATTGTCTATTATACTTTACTATTCTCAATAAAATGTTTGCTCAACCAATTGCCGCTATTAGTCCAATGAATAGTTGGAATAGAGATTATCAAACTATTACTTATGGTAATTATGGTTATGGAATTTATACACAAGATGTTGAATTGTATCGAAATCCGTATACTGGACGTGTTAATGTTGAACGTGAAGTTGATTTTATTCCAATAGGTAATAACTATTATCAACCAATAACTGGTATTCCTGCTTCTATTCATCAACATTATATTAATTAAAAATGTTGAATATGCGAAATGAATATTGTATAAATTCTTTTCTTGTTTCTTTGTCTTTTTGTAAAATAAAATGAGAAATATAAAAATAGCTTTATTTTTTTATTCAAATAGTATCTATAAATAAGTTTAATAGATTAAAGAAAAAATATAGTTCTATTAGAATCTTTATAAATATAAATAAAGAGCCGATAGTACATGTCAGTATTCTATGTTTGATAATCGATTGTCATTGATCTTGAATTTCATCAATCCAACATAAATATTAGACATTTATCTAGTGAAAGTAATCCTAGATTTGTATTGTGCTCAGTAAAGTTGTACTCTATCTACTTGATCTAAATGTATAATTAAGAATAAAAAATAAAGTTATACATTATGAACACTCAGACTTAAATATACTACATAACGTCAATATTTGTGTTATGCAAAGTGAAGAGAGGAATTTTCATCTTTAGGACACAGATAGAAACGGAGTAAATATAAATAAGTATAGAGAATAATACAACATCAATACAAAAGAAGGATTTAAAATTATTATTAAAATTAAATTTGTATACAATAACAATCATAATAAACGTATATTATCAATCGTTATGTGAATAAATCAAACTCGTCCGTTATCTATAGTTAAGTTGAAGTTGGTAACATGTCGAAAATAAAGAAAACAAATGTTGAGTGTGGGTCTGAGTGCTAATCGGGAAAAATAGAAATTTACAGGTTATTGATAGTCAGCCAGCCGATAAAAAAGAATCCGAAACTCAATAGGAAAGGGATTAGCTATTTAAATAATTCATGGTTTTAAATAACTACTTGAATCATATAGTTTGGAAAATTGAATGCAAATATCTTGTTTTATTTAAATAGTTACTCCATTCGTAGTGATATGTGGTTTAATAACGTACATCATTTGATGATAAGGTCAATGCTGATATATACATATATAGAAGAAGCCGATAGTTAGTAATGAAAAATATATTAAATATCATCCCAGGAATGAATTTATCTTGATTCTCCCTGTAGTTGATTTGATTTTGATGTTATAATAGAAGCATGATTAATATTTATTGATGATGAATTTGTTGGTATATGATATTTGGATAAAACTGACTCAATATCACGATGAGAATTGATGTTGGTGTGGGTATGGGTATATTAATTATAACTCACCCACACCCTCAGCTATTTGATCTTCTTATTATCTTCTGATACATAGCTATTTAAATCATTGTTGATGGTTAACAAATATCCAAAATGCATATTTCTTGCTGATTTAATCTAGTATGTTACTATTACTTGCCCCACATGGGTCATTTTCAAAACCGATACTTTTTAATTTACATTTCTTTTATAAATATCTCATAGCTAGTTACATAATTCTCATGTATTTATTAAAGAGATAGATCACTTGATAGTAACAACATAAAAGTAAATAACTTATCATTAACTGCACTTATCTCTATATTTACTTTTATGTTGTTACTATCAAGTTATCTATCACTTTAATGTTGACTTATTCATATGCAGTACTTATAAAACTTGAATATTATTTATACATTGTGATTGATGCTGGTGTTGTCAATTAATTATGTATTATGATTATTATGATTACAACATTAACATTAGTTTACTGATGATAACCGTCTTCACCAACTCTTAAGGTCGAAAATTCTAAATTAAATTATATTGTTATTTTCTTTAATATATAAATTTCCATCGCTAAACTTCATTTCTTTCTATTCTCATGTATTTATTTACATGTAATATATATATATATATCTATTCACGAGCTGCTATTTAAAAAAATCTTAGCTATTTATTTAAAGCTACTAATTTTTTTCGAGCAGGAGTTGTGAAAAAGAATGAAATATTTATTATTCTTCAAATATCTACTTCATTCATTACAAAACTTGATTTTTTAATGTATATATCATTTTATGAGTTATTCAAAACCAGAATTATTAAGAAAATATCAAAACAATTCAAAGTATTTGAGAAATAATCGCGAAAAAAAGAAATTTGCAGATTTTTCATAGTCAATCACACAATAAAAAATATCCGAAAATCAATAGGAAAGAAGTCAGCTATTTAAATAATTGATGGTTTTAAATAACTACTTGAATCAATTAGCTATGCTGTTTAATTAAAAAGTATCTCGTTTGAGAAACTACGAATATTTTCATCCATCTTATAGAACACATGTTGTTTTAGATATTTATGAAGCTGATATTAAATAAATCACGCATTTCAAAACGACCATTATTGTTGGTAGTTTTCTGTGCATGTCTTTTAATTATTGTAGTTTATACAAATTCTATTAATATTTGTCTATATAATTCCAATATTTCACATAATTATACAAGTAAATATCCATATATAGCATTAATTGTTGATGATCGAGCAACGCAGTTACTTGTTAATGCTGTTATAAATGTTTTACAACATATTCCAATTGACTGGAAAGTACAAATTATGACACCACATCAACATTGGTTATTCTATAATAAATCTTCACTTAGTTCATTAATTCAAACTAATCGTGTTTTTTTAACACCATTAGAACAAACACGAAATGGTTTATCAAGTGGTGACTTTATTAATCCTATTTTAACTTCTGCATCATTTTGGCATCAAGTTCAAGGTGACAAAGTATTATTTTTCCAAACCGATTCTGTTCTTTGTTCCAATTCTTTATATAACTTGACAGATTTTTTACAATATGATTTTATTGGTGCACCTTGGTCTTGGGGTGGTTGCTGTAATGGTGGACTTTCTATACGAAATCGACAAAAAATACTACAAATGCTTGAAAGTAGTTGTATTCATTATCGATTACATACATTAAATGAAGATCAATGGTTTACGAAATATTTACCTTATTTTAATGGTTCTATTGCACCTATTTCAGTTGCAAAAAGATTTTCGGTTGAAAGTATATATCATTCACGACCATTTGGTGTTCATAGGACACATATTAATGCAATAGGACGAACGAATATGACACATTTATGTAATGAATGTCCTGAAGTTAGCACTATTACTCCCGATTGTCAAACACTCAAATAAATAATCGAACTTAATGTTCATTTTAAGTTGTGAATTTTAGAATAACACTTAAATATCATGTTTCAGTAATATTCTAGTGCCTAAGATCATTTAAATCAATCAATTATTCGCCATAATCCTGTCACTTATTAAAAGTTTATTAAAGAAATGATAACAGGAAACTTCTGAATATCATATGATTATTTTAGTACAAGCATACATAAGACAATGTCGTAAATAATAACAAACACTAAATTCGATATGGTCAATGCTGACATATATATATATATAGAAGAAGCCGATAGTTAATAATGAAAATATATTAAATATCATCCCAAGAATGAATTTTTCTTGATTCTCCTTGTTGTTGATTTAGTTTTGGTATTATAATAAAAGCATGATTAATATTTATTAATGATGAATTTGTTGGTTTATGATATTTGGATAAAACTGAATTAATATCACGATAAAAACTGATGTGGGTATGGGTATGAGTATATTAACTATAACACATCCATACCCACACCCACACGCTCAAGATGGTTTCAACGGTGTCAATTTTTATTAATCATAATAATCAAAATACAACTATCAACTATTCAAAAAAGCAAATGTTTATTTTTTTTTTCATGTCTTTAAATCTCTTCAATTTAATTATTGTACGACACCAAGTGATGATGTCTTTTCGTCCATTCTTTGTTTTGTAAAACCACGTTTTATATCATATACTGATGTTCGTGGTACCATCGTAATACAATCAATAATTGGACAAACAGATGTACATAATGTACATCCAGTACAATCTTCAGTAATATGTGGAATATGTGTTATTGGATCAAATGTTATAGCTTGATAACCCGAATCATTACAAGTCATATAACATTTTCCACAATTAACACATAAATCCTAAAAAGAAAATCGAAAGAAAATATTTGATTTGACTTTAAAATTTTCATATTTATACATCATCAATAATAGCCACAGATGGTTGTCGAGGATCTAAGTCTTTAAAATCACCTATTCGATCCAATGCTATACCACGAACATCAACTAAACGAGGAACTTTTGTTTGTGATTCTCGTGCTGGACGAACTTGTTCCGGTTGAAATTGTTCATCAAGTAAATCGGCTTTATTCAAAAAGTTTTGAGTTATTTCCTCACGTTTTTTTCGATATTCACCAAATACTGGTAAATGCTATTTAGATATTATTAAAAAGAAAAATGTTTTTTTTAAATCGAATTATACAAGGAAAAAAAATACTTACTGAACCAACAAGATCTTTAACAAGAATTGCTTTACCCCTTTGATGTTTTGGTGTTGGAGGTGATTGACCATCCCATCCTTCTAAACCGAGTGATTTCAAATAAAGTAATGCTTGTAAACCAGTTAAATAATCATCAATTAATGTAAAATCTTGATTTTGTACTGCACTACAAACCTATAAAAAGCAAGAAAAAAAATTATTCAAAAAAAAAAAAAGAAATTATTCATTCATACTTGAAGTGCAGATGCTCCAGCATATAAAAATTGCATACCAGCATCAGCTGAATCAATACCACCTAGAAAGAAGTAAATTTTAATTAGATAATAGTACTTTTGTTTCTGTTTTATTACCAGTTGCAAGGATTGGAAATCCTGGAAGAGCACGACTGAAAAAAATTTTAAATTATTCATTTTTAATAGGAAACTTTTGTAACTAACGCTATTGCTGAAACAGCTCTTAAAGCAATGGGTCGAATAGCATTGCCTGAAACACCACCATATGTTGTTTTTTTACTGTTTCCAACGGATGGCCATGCTGTTCCATCATGTCGTATACTCATAAGACCACTGACTGTATTTGTTGCTGTAACACCATCAGCTCCACCTATTTAAATTAATTAATAAACGCTTTTTTTCCGTAAGAATCGTCTTACCTTCTTTTGCTGCACGAGCAATATCGACAATATTAGTTATATTTGGTGTCATTTTAGCAAAAAATGGAATTTTAACAGCAGCACGAACCCATTTGCAAATATTGTAAACAAGATCAGTTTTTTGACCACAAGCTAAACCCATACCCTTTTCACCTAATATGAATGAAAAAAAAGAATCCATTGAATTAGATTTATTTATTAAATTTATTTACAAACCCATTCCATGTGGACAGGAAAGATTTAACTAAAAGAAGTCAAATAAATCTAAGAAATACAACAAATTTGTTTTTACGAACCTCTAATGCATCAGCACCAGATGCTTCCGTTACTTTTGCTAATTCCGTCCAATCTTGTTCATCAAAACTACACATAATCGATGCAATAACAATCTATATACATTAGTTATAGTTCAGGAAAATATAAAAACGAAATATTTTACTCGATCAGGAAAATCTTTTTTTAATTCTGTTATACAACGAAGCCAATATCCACATGTTTTTTCCGAAATAAGTTCAATATTTATAAATGAACCTTGTCCTGGACCATATACATGACCTGATGTTGTACCACGAGCCATACGTGGACTTACATTTGTAATAAGATCTTTGTCAAGTCCGAAGGTTTTTGTTACAACAAAACCCCATCCACTCTCAAAACTTCGTCGAATCATTGGACCTGATGTTACAGGTGGTGCACTAGCTAAAATATTATTTCAATTATAAATAAATATATATGATTTTAATAAATATATATTACCAAGTCCAAATGGATTTGGAAATTTCATACCACATATTTCAATACTAACATCAACTTTATCAATTGCTGTATAGAATTTTGGTAATTGAGGTTCGAGAGGAAGAGTTTCATCACCCTAGTTAAATATTTGACAGAACGTATATTTCGAATTTCTATCTATTTTTAATCATACTTGTAAATATCTATGTAAATGCCAAGCAGCTGTTTTTCCATCATTAACACTTTCAACTGTTGTACTAGCTATTTTTGCTAAATCACCACCACAAAAGACACCTGGTTCACTTGTAGACATTGATTTTAAATCAACAACTGGATAATTATATTTATCTAATAGTACAGGTTCAAGTGCTTGAATAACTAAAAATATATTTCAAACAAGAATTTAATTATTTCTTCACAAAAAAAGTATAACTAACCTGAAAGTTCATTCAATGTTGAACCAAATGCTGAGATAACATAATTACATTTCAAACGAATTGTTTGATCTTCATCTTCAATCCAATCACCTGTAAATTTAAAAATATATTCAAGAACCTATTCGAATAATAATAATAAACAAACCTGATTCGTTTTGTTCAGTCTTAACAAATTCCATTGATGTTATTTTTCCATTTTTAACAATAACTTGTCTTGGAGAACAAAACGGAAGAAATTCACATCGTTCTTCAATTGCTACATCAACCTATTCATTGATTAAATATTACATTTAAAACGAAAAAATCATTGTTTTTTTTACTTCTTCAGGAACAGCACGCATCTGATTAAAACCTTTTCGAAAACAAACAAATATTTTTGTTGCACCACAACGTATAGCCGATGTTGCACAATCCATTGCTGTATCACCAGCACCAAGTACAACAACATTACCACTTAAAACAGGTAATGAAGCTTTACATGCACACATTCCTATGAAAAAGAAATATTTTTTTTCTCCAAGATAAAAAAAAGCCTTGTTATTTTTACTTTACCTGCTTTACTTGATTTGGAAACTATTGGTAAAAAATTTTTTGAAGTATAAAAACCTTCAGCAGTAGTTAAATCTTTAAAAATTGGATCAATATTTGGATTTGGAAGACCAATACCAAGAAAAACAGCTTTATATCCATGTTCATTAAGTAAATTTTGTACTGTTAAACCATCTTTTTCAATTGTTAATGGTTTATTACGTATAATTTTAACGCCTAAATCTTTCATAAGTTCAACTTCAAAATTAACAGCATCATATGGTAAACGATATTGAGGAATTTCTTGTGAACTAAGACCACCTAAATAATCTTGTTTTTCAAATATTGTTAAATCTTTATAACCAAGTCGAGCAAGAAATGTTGCACATGATATTGATGCTGGACCACAACCCATTAATGCTATTTTACTTGAATATTTATCACTTAAATTTGTACCATCATCCCTTGGATCTCTTATAGCTGGAATATGCATTGCTTTAAATATCTAAATTAAATTATAATACAAATAAAATCAAGAATTTATCTTTTCTTTTATTTACATCAACAGCAAATTGTTGTAAACCACCGATATTAATTGGACCTTCTTCACTAGCATATAAATTACAACCACCAACACAAAGATCACTTGTTGGACAGACCATACCACATGTAAGACCTAATGGATTATCGGATAAAATTGCTTTAGCAGCTCCATAATAATTTTTATTGGAAATTGATGTTATAAAAGATTTTATATCAATTGATGTTGGGCATGATTTTTGACAAGGTGCATCAGCTAAAATATATTACAAAATAATAATAAATATTCTAATAATTAAATATTTCATACCGCATTTAAGACATCTAAATAGAATAAAAACTTAATTTAATTTAAACGATTGTTTTTTTTGAAAATTTACCTTGATGCTTCACGTAAAGCTCCACGTTCGCTTAATGTTGTATGTTTAACATCGAGAAAATTTCGACTTAAATCTTTACTACAACCCTAATGATATCATAATAAAATAAAATGAATTATTCAATATAGATGAGATTTAAATACATACACTTGCACATGTATGTTCGTCATTACGTTTCCAATGTTTTTTATCTTTTACAGTTTGTACTGATGGTCTTGAATTTGCATATCGTTTTGTTTTTGGATTTAATGCAAGAAGATTCTATTGGGTTTTTTTTCATATACATATACATATAAAGAAATTGTCTATTTACCTCAATATCAGGTGGATCTTTTGATAAAAGTTTATTTTCTGTTTTATCTGCGCCTGGCATTTTAAAAAGAAAAGAATCACGAGTTTGAAGCTTGAAAAGTAAGATATGTATGTGATATTATTATTCAGTCTATCTATATATATGCATGATTGTTTGAAGAAGAACGCAAATAATCTTATCAAATTTGTCCTTCCTCTGCTGAAGAATAGACTTATGTTGTTGACTGGAGAGAAAAAAAAACGAATCTTTTTTAGAACAAAATTAATGGGTATTTATTTTCTAGGGTTTGATAGATTTTATTTTAAATATTTTCGTTTTTTATTAAATATTAACAACAATAAAATAACAAACAACAGAAATGACTAGTTATTTTAATAAATAGAAGTGTCCATCAACAAGACACACATGAACAAAATAAAAATAATCCTATTTTTCATTTATAAGAAGAAGAAAAAATACAATAAATAAATGACTTTAAAATACAGATACAACAATAAAAATATTCATTCGATTAAATATAAACATATTTTTCTTTTAACAATGATTTACAAAACAAAAGCAATAAATATATTTTCTAAAAGAAATTATAATTGATTTATGCTCGAAAGAGAATTTTTGCTGATGCACCACGTTTAGATTCTTGGTCGTCATGACTCTAAATATGTAAATATGGTTTTTTTAAATATAATCATAATTTAACTATATGACTTTATCGACGTCTTTTTGTTCTATTTATTCTTTATCTTTATCTTCACTGATGAAAACTTTTTTTTTTTACTTTTTTCAGTACATATTTTATAACTAAGCCCGTTTTAAAAAAAAACATCAGATAACAATAGATTCTGATTGGTTATAAAGTAATATCGATTATTGCACGAAAAGCACATGAGTAGTGGGAGTGGGTACATAAATAGGCATTTGTAATAAATCTCTTTTTTTCGATTATTTTCAAAATTGGAAAGGGCTTACATATAGTTTTCTAATGCATACAAAACGGAAGAAACTTATAGAATCGATTTTTTTAAAGTTTAACATAGAAGTTTACAAAATTTTGGGAGTGGTGGGCGGAGGCAGATTCAGCTCGCCTCTTGCACTCGGTGAACCCGGGACTAAAATATCAGAAGAGAATATTTTGCACTATGGTTTCAAAATTTTCAGATAAATTAGCAAATTTGAATAGTTCTACACTATGCTAATTAATTTAAGCAACTATTAATCTAGTATGTGTTAAATTAAAAATGGGTAATAATCACTAATGATGATATAGTTACTGACAGATTTGGTCAAGTGTTTATTATACGATTAAGATGATTTTATGATTCACTAATATACTAGCTCCGTTTTTACGAATATTATGTATATGATAACATAGAAGTTTACTAATATTCATTATAGCATTACTACTACATCAAAGATTGAGTCAACAACCATGAAAATATGCGTGTCTTACACTTCTATTCAAATTCATTAAAAAACTATAATCATAGAAATGCGATTATATTGAAATTGATATTATTGCTACAGAAGATAGGTATACTCATTTCATGATTTTTAGTGTTCGATAAGTATTAGGAAAATCGAAATTTGTATTAGGTCTGCGTATATATTCCGTGTAATACTTACTTCAAATACTAATGGTAATGCTCGCGGAATGTCAGCAACTTCACGAAAACGACTTCTGAAAAATACAAATAGATTAATTTATATTTTTAAAAAACAAAAAATTTAATTTTTCACCCAATTCTTTTGGTAACGTCAGCATTTCTCCAATCACGTGTCCATAAACTTATTCGATCACCTTTATTTCGAACTGATACTACACAACCATTCACATTATATGCATCATCACCATATTGATCACCAATTAATGACAATAACTATTCACAAAAAAAGAATTTCAATTAAACCTAATAATATCAAAAAAACCTAACTGTATAAAGCCAATAAGTATCAAGTTCATTTACTCGTTGAGGTTTACTCAAACCTAAACACCATCGACCACCAGAACGATTATATTGATCTTCCCACATAGGTTGCTAACAAAAAAAAGGAACAATTATAAAAATATATTAAATATAGAATTGAAAATAAATTACAATATGTTTTTTGAATAAGAAATAATCACAACCTTGACTAATTCCACTAGGTAATTTTAAACGATTAAAAACTGACCAAAAACTTTCAACAGTTGATATTGTTGAAAGTTCTATTAAATTATCTTTCCAATCACACATACGATCATTTTTATAATACCAAAATGTCCATGAATCTTCTAATGGGAATGTTAAATCATTTGATGATTGAATTAATGTTTGAATATCATTAACATAATCGGATTCTTCTTTTTCATTACTGGAAGAATTTAATGTTAATGATACAATCAATGGTGGTAATGGAAGTGGTTGAGGTCGAGGTGATTTTTCTTGTGGTGATAATGGACCAAGCGGTGTAGTATACATGTCATCTGATTGACTATCATTTCTGTCAAATTCAAAACTAATTGTTGACATTTTTTTTTTATTATCTAAAAGAAGAAAAAAATATATATATTGAGCATTAAAATCATATAAATTTTCACAAAAATAAAAAAGTATTTCAATCTACAAAATTAAAAAGGATTGTGGAAGAAATATATAAAAATTTAAATATATATTGTCATTATTTATTGCATATTCAATTGCTTTTGTAGTTGTATATTTTGATTTTGTAATTGTTCAATTTTTTGATTTAATTCAAGTTTTTCATGATCAAATTGTAAACGTTCTTCATAGGAATTTTTTCGTAATTCAATAATTGTTAATTCTTTTTGTTCTAATAATTCTTTTAATATATCAACATCATTTTGTAATTGTTTTAAAGAAGAATTATTTGATAATTGATAATCGAATGTTTTCGATTCGGATTGAGAAGTCGATGATGGTGAATCAATTGTTTGAGATTCATTTTCATTCGATGATGATGTATGCGATGATTGTAACGCTTTTGACATTGTTGATTTAAAACTAAAAAATGATTTACCAAATTTATTGGCTAAACCTCTTTTGACGGGCATTTTTTCCATTTTACGGATTGTCATTGGCGGATCAATTATTGATATTGGACGAGATGTATTATCTAAAAATATTCTATATAAACTATGGGTATTTTAAGAAATGACAAATAAATATTTAATTAAAGATAAATCCTACAGTAACTTGATCTGTAATTTTTCTTTTTTCATTGAAAGCAAAGTTTCATATTACTGAAAGTATCGTTAAGAAAGACTAATTATCTATTATTCTTATATTTAGTATGAAATTCGAAATAAAATTTAAGGCACTTTCAAATAACAAATAATGTCTGAAAATTTATCTATAAAAATCTACTGTGAATTTTAAATGGCATATTTATAAATCGTATGTAAAAGAAAAACATACTTGAAATTCTATCCATTATTACTGTTTTACTCCTACTGCATTTTAAACATATTATGCACATTAATCAGTATAGAAATGAAAAGCAAGAATGTACCCAAAGTAAGCTCTTCTCCTAGACTTTGATTATAATCATAAAAATCTATCGTAAAGTTTTAAGTTCGACTAATAAATGTATATAAGTTTGCTGCTGATCAAACTGAATCTAAAAATATTTATCTTATTTATTAGACAAATCCATCATTGTAATAATTCAAACGTTCTATTATTCTTCTTCAGTCATATATTTGACATATTATAAATCAAGTAACGCTCGTCTGGAGACTCGCTCAGCTATTTCTCGTAGAAACGACGTGTTCTCGCTACCAGTGAACTATTTATTCAAAACCAACTTCCGATTCGTGTTCCTCGATCCCGATTATCCTTCGGTCAACCCTTATAAAAAAATTCCTTTTATATCTTTACCTGTTTTTTGTCTTTGTTCAACGATAATATCATCCAATGATCTTTGATTATGTTTAACATTATGTTCATCTTTTTTTATATCTAACAAATCAATACTTCCATATCTTTTTGGTCGAATATTTATTTGATTTTGATTTGTATCTAAATATGTTCGTCTTTTATTGAAATGATCTGTTGCATAATCAGTTGGTTTTTCAGTAAATGAGATTTTTCTTTGTTTAACATTATTCATATCAGTTGAATTTTCAAGACTCGAATTTCTACTATCATAAGATGAAAATGTTTCCATAAGTATTGATGGCATTGATGATGAACGAGAATTGGCTGTTACATGATGATCATTTGCTGATAATAATGATGAAAATGATGAAAATCCACTTGATTTTGTTACCGATTCAGTTTTTTGTTCATATGTTGTATCATTTGATTGATTTACCGAAAAAAGATATTCACTATGATCAATTAATACTTTAATTAAAGGAAGTAAATTATAACTAAAAATGTAAAAATTAATTTTTAATAGAAAAACATTCAAATTATTTACTTATGTCCTTTAATCATATTAAGATCAAGATCTTCTATTGGTCGAATAAGATTATTTCCAAAAACAACAGCTAAATTATCTGTATCCATTTTCGTTATTTCAACATGATCAGTTAATTTTTTTAAAAATAAACATAAATATGCTAAAGTAGCATAGTTTATATTTGAAAGATTTGTTTCAATTAATTGTTTTAAACGATTTAAATCATTTGTTTGATTATATTTAAAACGTGAACCTATTTCAAGAAAATCATCAAAGCATTTTGTTGGAATTATTGATTCAGGTAAAGATTGTAAATAGATTTTTAATAGAGATGATATTGTTGCAGGTGAATAACATTGCTTTAATTCAATAGATAAACCACGATCATACATATCACGTAATTCTTTTATTGCAGATTGTTTACCGGGAACACTACGAAAACAAAATTTGACTTTTTTTTTCTAAAAATTAATTTTTATTCACCGAAATAAACCAACAAATGTTGAACCATGTTCAAGTAAATATTCACAACATTGTCGGACAATTAAAGGTACAAGAGAAGATTTATCTGGGGCAAATTTATAAGTATTCTCTAATGATTGTCCAAATATACCTAAAAATTATCGAAAGTTTTATTATTTATTCGAAAACAAAAAAATGAATAAAATATTCCCATATTCACAATTGTTTTTGACATTTATTCTTATTATTTGTAATATGAATAATGTGACATATTTTTATTTCGATTGCATGTCATTATACACATACAATGACCTTAATATCAACATATATGTGATCTTTTTAGGAAATTTTTATATGTACAACTCAATTAATCATTTTTTTTGTTATCAGTAAAACCATTCGATTGAAATTTATGGATCATAAAAGTATAAAGATAAAAGCAGTTAGAGTATCTCTTTTCATAAGTGTTCTGATAAAGAAAATAAACCAATATTTTATATAGAGATTTCTGTTTTCAATAATTTAATTTCTCTTTGCAAATTAGTAATAACATGACTTATCATGATTTTATCAAAAACAAAAGTAGCGTATCTTATTGATGACAGTATGACTCATATGTAAAATATTATTCATCTGATTGTGTACCTATTTACCTTAAAAAATCTTGTATATCAAGAATAAATTTAGATAAATTATGAACAACAGTAGACTTAAATGTACATAGATTTTAACCTAGATTCAAAGGCAGCTTATTAATAGTTCTACAAAAAATAGTCATAATTATTCAAGTAATTAGTTTATTCCGTAGCGGTAAATAGGACGACATGTTGTGAAATAATAATTAATATTTGCTAAGATTACATAGTACTTCTAATAATAACTAAATCATTGCTCAACACAATACTATCCCGTAGAGAAAGCGATACCGCCTGCTGTCCTATGAATTATTTTATAACATGTCTCCTTATTTATAAAATTTGTCATTATAGATAATAAAGATATGAAATATATTCATCCTACATCTCTCTACGTGCCATATAAAGTATAATGAAAATCAAAAAGTCATTAGAATTTTAAATATCTTAATAAACTTCATATTTTAATCTCTCATTCATTTTTATCATAATAATATCATTGATAGTTTAACACTCAACTAGTAGATTATCATTTAAGATTCACTGCTATGAATAACAATACAATATTTGATGAGAATATAATGTACAAACAGTTTTCAGTCTGATTCCTGTTTGTTGTAAATAATCTTTAAAAAACTAAACTCACCACCACCAATTTGACTATATGCTCTTTGTTTCAATGCTAATAGCCAACTATCATAATCATTTTTTGTTTCTGTTTGTAATAAATGTGTAGCTGTTACATCTTAAAAATATACATAAACTATTTCTATTTACTTATTAATAAAAATCTTTTTTATTACTATTAGTAATTGTTTCAGTAATACTAATTGATAAATTATTATTATTTATATCATTATTAATTGAGGAACTATCACAATCATTAATAATAATATTTGGCGAAAGTCTAATCCAATCTCTATAACGTGTATCAGCTCTTGATGCAGTAAATAAAATTGCTTTATCCCAATCAATAATACAATATCGACGATGCCATTTGATTTGATTATGTAGTTTAATTTTTAACCAACCTTATTCAATTGAAAAACAAATAAAATCAAATTTTGTTCTTTTTTTTCAAAATTACCTTCTTTAGATTTCGACATCTTTCAAAAAAAAATGATGTTCATTTAATACGATTATATTGGTTTGAATTAACCAATGATATTCATCAGAGCGTCTTTAAAGAGGAAAATAAATAGATTTCTATTCGTCCAAGTAATGATGACGTATTTTTACTCATTGTATCTTTTCATTTTTCAATACATTTCATTTATTATAAGGAAAAAAACAAGATATCTGCGATGAAAATCGTATTTCTATTAGGTAGTATTTTATATTTGATATCCCCTTTTGTACAAGGTAAATATATAAAATTTTGAAAAAATTTCGAAATTATATTTATAATCGGTAGGTGGTGGTCATCAGAGTGTTTTACTTCAAAATGTGCAAACATTAACACTTTATAAAGGACAAAAAACACAAGCAAGACGAGTTTCATCAATTCCACAAATAAAATGTGTTGGTGGTTCAGCAAGAGGTGCATATGAACCTGATGTTGTACAATGTTATAATCGTGGTTCGAATGGTGTCGATATTCAAGTAAAGTCAAATTTTCTTTGATATTTAATAATAATTTCTTGTCTTTTTATTATTCAGTGGGAATGTACAAGTGAAATGCCAAAAAAATATAAATTTGGCAAAATTAGTGTATCATGTGAAGGATATGATTATCCTGAAGATCCATATATTTTAGCTGGATCATGTGGAGTACGTAAAAAAACAATTTAAAATAAAACATGACTAATATTTTTCATTTTAGTTAGAATATAATCTTGAATTAACAGACAAAAGTTTCTATGGCTCATCAAATGTTCAACAATCGTATGTTTTCTCATGGAAAATTTTCTTTTAAATATTCGACTATTCTAGATCGAGTTCAAAATTATGGCCATTTTTATTTAAAGTTGGAATTATTGTGACGATATTTTTTGTTCTTAAATCATTTATATCTGGTGGTAATCGAACAGGTGGTCCAGCATCAATGTCAGCTGGTCCTGATCATCGTCCACCAGGTAAATTCTCTTCGTTTATATTTCATTGATTTTTACTTATTTGAATATAGGTGGTGGTGGTGGCGGCGGTGGTGGATGGTTTTCAAATTTATTTCCAGGTGGAGCAGGTGGTTCATCAGGTAGTGGTGATGCTCGTCGACGACAACCACCACCACCTGGTTTTCGAGATGATTTTACAAATTATGGAAACAATGGAGCAGGTAAAAAATATGATTAATTAAAATAAAAATTATAAATATTTTTTTTTCTTCTAATCAAGATTGTCATACTAATCAACGACAAAATGCTGCTGGAGGTGGTGCAACCAATTTTTTAACTGGTGCTGCACTTGGAGCTTTAGGTGGTTATGTATTCGGCAATCGACGGTAAATTAAAGTATTTATTTATATACATATATATTTCATAAAATATTTTTCTAGAGGTAATAATAATAATCAATATATGCCTAATACAGCAAATACTGGTTGGTTTGGTGGTGGAACAACAACTAATACAAATCGACATAGTCCATCACCATCATCAGGTGGTACTCATACTAGCAGTGGTAAGACAATTCTTATAGTTTATCTTTAATTCTATTTTTATTTCCAAGGTTTTGGTGGAACTACTCGTCGTTAAAATTCTGTAGAGCAAATAACGGCATTAAACTGTACTTAGCATCCTTCTCTTTGACTCTGAATCACATGCTTTATATTTTGAATCTTTTTTTTCTTTTTTTTTTGTTTTGTTTTAATTTATATAAACAAGCGAAGTCAGGTGTTTTTTTTTTATTAAATTGTACAGTTTAATTCTCGGCATTTGATAAACATATTATTTTTATTCTTTCGAACAAAACATATTATTTTCTGTATAGAACTTTCTCACTTATGAAGTAATTCAGACATTCTCTGATCAGATTTTTGTCCACTATGACTTTCTCTTATTCTACAATCAGCAAATATTCACTATCATCGATGCTTCTTACTTTAGTTATCTCATCATTAGAATATTATAACTTAAGATATTATTCTTGCGAAAAAAATAGAGATACTAGATGCATTCTACGAGTTATATGTTTGTTATTTAAATCGATGAATCGATAGAAATATAAATCAATGAATATCATGATTGTTGGAAGAAAATCATTCAACTGAAATATGCAACATAGTTCAACAAAATAACCATCTTATTTATTTGGTTAACATTTTACAATCTCAAAAAAAGTAAACTTTAAGATCTAATGAGATGATTCCAAGAACAATATATTTATTTAGTATACATCAATAAATATTGAAATATAACGGTTAATATAGAGTGAATCGAAATCTACGATCACTGATAATTACAAATTCATATTAAAATATTATAGTTATTATTATGTTGGTATAAAAACCAATGCCACGATATTATATCATTCAGTCTGATTCGCATTTCTTCAGTCATCAATTTTCTAATATGTATATTTTTTTTATCTTTTATAATGTAATATGTAAATTCTTTAGATTCTATATCTTTTCCGAATATAATACATTAGTTCATGTATTTATAAACGATACCATAGATTTTAAATTTAAGATATATATAGCCCTAAAGAGGGCTGTTGGGTTTTTATTTATAATATAAGAGTGATGTTATTCATCTTATTTAATTTTGTGCAGTAAGATAACCGCTTATGAACCAAAACCGTAGAGTGTACGACCTTGTCGTTTAAGTGCATAGACAACATCCATAGCTGTAACTGTTTTTCGTTTAGCATGTTCTGTGTATGTAACAGCATCCCGAATAACATTTTCAAGAAAGATTTTAAGAACACCACGAACTTCTTCATAGATTAAACCAGAAATACGTTTTACACCACCACGTCGAGCAAGACGACGGATAGCTGGTTTTGTAATACCTATAGAAATAAAATAAAAAAAAATATATTAATATATATGTATAACATAGAATAGAATAGACAATATACCTTGGATGTTATCACGCAAAACTTTACGATGGCGTTTAGCACCACCTTTACCAAGACCTTTACCACCTTTACCACGGCCGGACATTGTTTAATATGTTTAAATTTGAAATAAAGAAGAAGAGGGTTCGATGAATATGAAGATAAAAACGAGTTAAACAACTGTTTTTATAGTCTACATATATCGAGCTATTGATTGGTGTATTAAGAAAACAAAGACTCATACTATCCATTGGTCAGTTAGTGATGATATTAACGCGCCAATGATACATAGATGATCGCCTTCGTTATAAAAAGCGTTCGTTTTTCTTTCGTTTCTATATTCAAAAACATTTCATCGCTCTCATTCACACTTCTATTAAATATTCTTTAATATAATCAATGGCTCGTACAAAACAAACTGCTCGTAAATCAACTGGTGGCAAAGCTCCACGAAAACAATTAGCAACAAAAGCTGCAAGAAAATCAGCACCAGCTACAGGTGGTATTAAAAAACCACATCGTTTTCGTCCAGGTACCGTAGCTCTTCGAGAAATTCGTCGTTATCAAAAATCGACTGAATTACTTATTCGTAAATTACCATTTCAACGTTTGGTTCGTGAAATTGCTCAAGATTTCAAAACAGATCTTCGATTTCAATCATCCGCTATTATGGCTTTACAAGAAGCTTGTGAAGTAAGTTATTATTCATTTTTTTTCAACTAAAACAAATATTAATTTTCTTTTTTTTCTTTTCTATTATAGTCATACTTAGTTGGTCTCTTTGAAGATACTAACTTATGTGCAATTCATGCTAAACGTGTTACCATTATGCCAAAGGACATTCAATTGGCCCGCCGCATTCGTGGTGAACGCGCTTAAATAATATCAACGATGAAACAATGAGATGAATAACATCGCTCTCATAAAGTTTTAAATAACTAAAAACCCAACAGCCCTCTTTAGGGCTAAAATTTTCTAAATTCAAATCTATGATATCGTGTTTATTAACTATACTGAATTTCATCTGAATAATAGTCAAATATTTCTTATGATTCAATTTTTATCTATGAATCACGAAAGAGAGAGATTATCAGAATATAAATATATATACAATTTCAAAATGAATAATTAAATTCTATTGAAATTTATAGAGCAGTATGTATCGATGAATATATTTGCTGTTTATTATCTAAATAATCTGTTTATATGACTTTCATGCAATGTGTATGGTTATAAACAATTTTTGTAATAGTCATTCATAGGAGACATTCGAGTGCAAATATATTTTTGTTTTCTTTGTTCGATTTTAGTGCAGTTATAGCATATTCAATGTAAACAATGGGTTTATTCGGCATTCAACGATTGGTCGAAAGATTTTAAGAAAATGAGGGCATTTTTTCTTTGTTTAAGTTTGTTAGGTCATAATATATTTCATTCGTTAGATAACGCAATCAAACAGTATTTGTTAAAATAAATTTCTGACTGATAAAAATATTATTAATGTCATTATTGTAAATTAAGTTGAAGAGAGCATCAACATTCAAAGAGAAATACTAGTACTATTTTTTTGTTTAATCTAACAGTCGAAAATGAAAAATTATAGATTCAATTATGACATCGTCTTAGTTGCTTTCGAGAATGAATACAATTGGATATATTTTTCATACAATGAACAATCGATTATCATACATGTTAGGTCATTTTTTCTTATATGATTGGGTAGATTACAAGTCTACTTTGTATATAATAAATCATCGAATTTTGATAGATTTATATTTGAAAAGTACAGATCAACAACAAAAACTACTAACATCATTAGAACGTCTTTCTCTTTATCAAATAGCCTATTTTGAATGAATTCTTCGTGATATAACAGCAAAAGAAATGATTACTTCTTCAAACATGTTTATATTAATTCAATACACACCATCACTAAATATCTTTCTAAACTTGTTTCTTTTTTGAATAATAGAATCATAATATATTCTAAAGAATTTGTATTGAAAAAAAAAAGAAATTGTTGAATTAATTCTAATCTACAATATGTATTATTTATTCAAGTACAACAGTAAATTCAGATAGTTTTATACGATATCCATATTTTTTAAATGTATGATATATAGCCCTAAAGAGGGCTGTTGGGTTTTAGATATCTATATATCAATTGAGAGTGTTGTTATTCATCTCAATATTTAGCCATTACTTTATTTAGCACTGGTGTATTTAGTAACAGCTTTTGTACCTTCTGATACAGCATGTTTAGCTAATTCACCAGGTAATAAAAGACGAACAGCTGTTTGAATTTCACGTGATGAAATTGTTGATCGTTTGTTATAATGTGATAAACGTGACGATTCAGCTGCAATACGTTCAAAGATATCGTTCACGAATGAATTCCTATTCAATTAAAAAAAAAAGAATTTATATATGTTTCTGTCTAGAAAAGAATTCTTAATTAAACTTACATGATCGACATAGCTTTGGACGAAATACCAGTATCTGGATGAACTTGTTTAAGAACCTTGTAGATATAGATTGAGTAGGTTTCTTTTCGTCGACGTCTGTGTTTTTTTTCACTTTTTGGTCCAGCTGATCCTTTGCTTGTTTTAGTAACAGCTTTTTTTGAACCTTTTGATGGTGTTTGAGCTTTTGGTGCCATAATAAACTTTGTATTAATCGAATGAACGAAGTAAAGTTATATGTGTTGGATATGAGGATGATTTTATCGAAATAGCTTCCTTATATAGACCAATTCATTGACAACATTTTTCAACCAATAGGAAGACAAAATAACTTCATTTCTATTGGTTCTTTTTTGTGTAATAACATTCTGTCGACATATATAAACAAAGACATATACAAAGAATATGTTTCAATGATTTTGACTGGTGAAATATGTCTATACAGCTTTTTAAATTTTTGTAACAGTTTATTTAATAAATGCCTGTTTTATTTTATTATCATAAACAAAACTTAATAAATATAGAAAAATAGTTTATATTTTTAATCATTCGGATTTGACCATAACCATGTTCTGTCACCCACAATTGCAGCAGTTGTAGAATGTATTGGAAGACGTTTTTCTAAAATAATATTTAATTAAATGACAAAAATAAATAAAATAATAGTTTACATACGTCGTGATAATTTCTTTTGTGTTCGTTCACCTATAAAAACAATAAAATAAACATTCGAACTTCGAGTATGTTTTATGAAAACTTTATAATAAATCAACATATAAGATTACATTTTATCTGTATAGTTAAGTTCGAAGAACATAAGACACTTTTAAACAAAGTAAAACTTTACAATTCGGTAGAATAATGAATACCAAAATCATTTATATTTCCTTCAGAGTTAGAATCATGTTACTGTTTTTTTTATCTATTATAACATATTAGAGAGAAAGAACGAAGCTTTCTTTAGATTTGTATTTCGAAAACTAAGTGCTTGTTTGTGTTAAATTTCGCTTTTGTTTTTAGTGTATTACATCAAATCAAAAGCATAGAACAATAAAGATGCCTTGATTAGAGAGGCCCACATTGTAATAGTATCTACATAATGAGGAAAGTTTCAACTGAAAAGTAATTAACCACTTCGGGAATTATCCTAAACAATAGTTTATAAACTTTTACAAAACTAAACAAAATTACTCATGATCAGTTTATTGACTTATAAAATCTTTTAGATTGCATTGTTATAAATTCCTATTATCTTGCTTTGTGATAACTGTAGAGATCAAGATATTAGACATTTCGATTTCTCTTACAATATATACAATCTATTCTTACCTTTGAATAACGCACTAATATAAAAAACCAAAACAATAGTTGGAATAAAAAATGATATTCCCATAACAGCCATATAATCTGGATCATGTCTTTTACATTCATAAATTTTACTCCATAATAATCGTGTATAATTCATCTTAAAAAATAAAATAACTATCAAAAAGAAATATATTTGTACTTCTTACTGTATCAACAATATCCATACAAACACCATTTTTAGTATCTTGTGTCATTTTTATAAAAAATTCATTGATATCATTATAAACTGGTAAACATACTGTACAAACATTTGTATTCAATGTAACATTAAGATCAATTGGAATAATTGGAACTATGCGCTAGAAACATAATAGAAAAATAATATAATTGAATTCATTAAAATACTTACACCCGTCGCATTAAAAATACAATAATCAAATGTCATTTTTTTCTGAATAAATTTCGTTGTACTTTCAGTTAAACTATAATGAATTGTACCATTCGTATCATTATAACCAGTGATACAACCTAAAAGAAAATGATATAAGAATATAAATTCAACTCAATATAAACACTTACTATCACAAAACGATGAACTCCAAATATTTTGAACAAATGAAATAAGTTGAGCAACAATTTGTATTGTATCATAACTTTCAAGAAATTGTTTACATGTTATCGTCCTATCCACATCCGAATATGTCTAAATAAAATATCTATTTTTTTAATTTAAATAAAATTTACAATTACAAACTTTATCTAATAAACCTATAAGATCTTGTAATCGTGCAAAAGTATCTACACAACCTTCACATAATTTAAATGGTCGTGCTCGACTTACAGCACAATTTAGGAATGAAGATGCCATATCTGATAAACGATCGAGTATAGCCAGACAGGGATTTTGTACTGGATATATAGGATCTTTATAATCTCCATGTATTAATTGAATAGATAGATAAAAAATTAGAATTTTTAACATTATTATTATGATATTTTAGAATCTTATCTTATCATTACTATGATTCATTTTCAGCTGTTTTAGAAAAACCAATCAATAGATAGAGCGCTACAATCAATAAAAAATTATGTTAAATAAAAATAATATTTAATTTAAAATTCAAACAATTTATTTAATAAAATAAATTAATTTCAAAAACAAAAATTTTCTATTTGCTATTTAATGTCATTCGGAGGTCGATGAAACGGACAAGATTAAATTAATTTACAGTATGGCTACTAGAAATCTAAATTACTCACGAAAAAAAAACTATTTTACAACAATTGTTTTGTTTCTTGTAGATCATGCCGAATAGAAATAGAAATCAATCAAGAGAGGGAAATGAAGAAAATGCTGTAAGTCAATTGAATAATAATTAATATTTTATTATTATTATAAATTTATTTTTTAGAATGAACAACAAGAAAATGCTGTTACACCAGTAGATGAACAAAATAATAATGTTGCTAATAATAATAATCCCAATCCCACTCCTCCTGCTCCAGCACGTGCATCAACATGGGATACAATAAAATCAATGGCTTTCCGGATGTTAATGTTTTATTTCGTTACACAATTTTTCCGTCGTTCACCTGCAAGTAATACTGCTGGAAATAGTACACTATCAACAAATCTTAATAGTGGTTTTACTCCCGGTAATCTTTATGCAAATGGAGATTTACTTGTAATGAATTTTTCTTTCGAAAAAAAAACATTTTGTTATTTTTATCTTATTAATTTGTTTTTTTCTTATTTTTCAAAGGATATCTACATGTTTATTAATGAAAATGAAGTTTATACATACGATGCATTAAGAAAACCACATTGGGAAATCGATGGTTTTAAATACGGTGATTGGTCAGCACAAAGTACTTACACAAAATTTATTGAATTTCCAATTTCAAAAGTATAGAGAGATTATTGTTGTTGTTTATTTTTTGTAAATATTTTATTTTCATAGAATGTACAAAATAATGGATCACTTTATTTACATGCTGTTGTAACTAAACATGGACTTTCAATTGATCCTGATGAACGTGAAGATCATTCACCACAATATATATTTTACAAAACCAAACGTATTATAATTTATAAAAAAAAATATGGAAGATAATCTTTAGATTTTATATTTAGGTTTGAATAAATATAAGAAAAAAATTTATAAAAAAACTAAAAATCTCTTAACTGGAAGTACAGAACATGATGAAGAATATCAAAAGGTTTTTTCTTTTTATTTAAAATCGCAAAAATGTATTCTAATATTATTTTTATTTAGAAAGCGGATGATAAAATTGTTGAACTTTTATCTCATTGGCATCCGAATATGACTATTAATTTACTTGATGATCAATCACCATGGGCAAAAGGAAGCATACCACCACCAATGGATAAATGTAAGTTCAGACATTCTCTCTATTTGAAAGAGATAAACGATAAATAAAGTTCAAGGGAATTAAGAAAATGTTAAATTTTAAGGATGACTGAAGAGAATATTATTTCATGTTTATGCATTAATTTTCAAAACAAAAAGGTCATTTCACTATTAGCAAACATAGTGGAATGAAATTGCACGATAATAATCATAGGATAATTTTAACTTTTTATTCCTGAATTTTTTCTATAAAATATTTGAAATTCTATTACCATTCCAAGATAATCAAAAATGAAGAGACTTGAAAAAATAAAAGTTCGATTTAATATACAAGTAGCACTCGTTTAAAGACTCGCTCAGCTCTTTCTCATAGAAATCGCGTTACCAAGCTATTGATTTATATAATTAAACAAAACAGAAATCAGATTTGAATTCTTCGGTCAGTCCTTTTATATCTTTACCTAATTTTTGGATCAATCAGTGAAGTGCGGACATACAATCAATTAGACAATTTCGAGTTAAATCTTATATTTTTCTATTTAATTTAGTTTTTGAATTCGAAACATATACGGGCAGATATTATCCAGTACTTTATTTAAATGATTATTGGAATCTTCTTGTTGATTATTATCCAGTTAATAATACATTAGAGTAAATATAATAAAATATTTTTAGAAAATTATTTTTATTATTATTTTTATAGTAAACTTAATTTAACAATTACTGTTGCACCAATACAATTATGGAAATGGCAAATGTATATATCACAAAATTTACGTCAATCATGGTATGGAAATATGCTTGGAGATGAAGAAAATGATGAAGATCAAGATACAATGAAAGTAAGTTTTCATTCATTGTGAAATATATTATTTAATTTAAAACAAAAATTTCTAGCGAGCACTTGTTGAAACAAATCCATATTTACTTGTCATAACTATAGTTGTATCAGTAGTACATACAGTCTTCGAAATATTAGCATTTAAAAATGGTATGTTGTCTTTTTTTTTATTCATTTAAATAATGACCTTTCACTAAAAAAAGAAACTCGACATGAAATTTTTCTTCTCGAGCTATACTAATGTTTGTCTATGAATAGATATTCTAAAAGAAATTACATTAACGATTTTCTACTTGATAATTTCCTCAAAAAAATAGATCTCCTAAGGGATAATTATATCCTGAAATTTTCAGTTCAAACGAATAATATAAATCATATTCGAATGATTTATGAGAATTGTCTCAAAAGAAAAGACATTTATTTTGAGAATATGATTGATGAAAATTAGTCTCATAATGATCAATTTGAAATAATTTAGATATTCAATTTTGGCGTACACGAAAATCTCTTGAAGGTTTATCTGTTCGAAGTGTTTTCTTCAATATATTTCAAAGTTTAATTGTTCTATTATATGTATTTGATAATGAAACAAATACAATGGTTCGTATTAGTGTTTGTGTTGGTATACTTATTGAATTATGGAAAGTACCAAAAATTCTTAATTTCGAAGTAAAAAATTGTTTTTTTGGTAAACTAAAATTAATTTTCCTAATTATTAAATAGCGTGTACCAAATGAAACATGGTTGGGTTTAATTCCAAAATATAAATATGTTTATAAAGAATCTTATACTGTTACATCAACATCAGATTATGATCGAGTTTGTTATAAAATTTCTCTTTTTTTCGTTTCTAAATTTAATTTTAATTCTTTAGATGGCTTTTAAATATCTTTCATGGGCATTATTTCCATTAGTTATTGGTTATGCATGTTATTTATTGATGTATCACGAACAAAAAAGTTGGTATTCATTTTGTTTAAGTACAGTTTATGGATTTTTATTAACATTTGGTAAGAAAAATATTATTTTGAAATAAAAATATTTTTGTTTTTCATTCTTAAGGTTTTATTATGATGACACCGCAATTATTTATTAATTATAAACTTAAATCAGTAGCGCATTTACCATGGCGTATGATGACATATAAAGCATTAAATACATTTATTGATGATTTATTTGCTTTTGTTATTAAAATGCCAACAATGTATCGACTTGGATGTTTTCGTGATGGTAAGGAAAAAAAGAAGATTTCTTTTTAAAATTCATTCTGTGTGTGTGTGTTTAGATATAATATTCTTTATTTATCTTTATCAACGTTATATCTATCGAGTTGATCGTACACGTCTTAATGAATTTGGTACAACTGGTGACCCAAATGCAGAACTTGTACCCGTTGAGGAACAATCACAAATCGATACAACAACTGAACAACACGAAAAAACAGAATAAGAAATTCTGTTGCAAAAAAAAATAAATAAATAAAACCTTCTTTAGTTACAGCAATAGAGAAATTTTATGTTTTTCGTTGTTTTCTTTTTTCTCGTTTTTCGTTCTTTTTTTCAATACAAATTGTTATTTTGTATTTACATTCTCTTATTGTTTTTATAACCTAGAGATCTATGTCTTAATTAAGACACATATTTCATATATATTCTTCTTCAGATTTTTCCAAAATCATACAATTCAATGCAATGTACATTTCTAACTATATAGAAAAAAGAATAAGTTGAACAGTATAGAAAAGTATATGGATACACAAAACTAATCGATATGGGTTATTGTATTTAAAAGAAGAATATATTTTGTTTTTGTTTTATTTTTCAGATTCGCGTGTCTTAGAACACAAATATATAATAAAATCTTCATCATGGTTCATATGAATGTACTTGCCGACGCGCTTAAATCAATAAATAATGCTGAAAAACGCCACAAACGTCAAGTTATTATTCGACCATGTTCCAAAGTAATCATCAAATTTCTTACTGTTATGATGAAACATGGTTATATTGGTGAATTCGAAATCATTGATGATCATCGCAGTGGTAAAATTGTTGTTAATTTAAATGGTCGTTTAAATAAAGTAAGAAATTTCATTCGATTCTTCTTCTATTTGATTTTGTTTTGTTTTGTTATTTAGTGTGGTGTTATTAGTCCACGTTTTGATTGTCCAATTCGTGATATTGAAACTTGGACAAAAAATCTTTTGCCATCACGTCAATTTGGATATGTTGTTTTAACAACCTCACATGGAATTTTAGATCATGAAGAAGCTCGACGAAAACATACTGGTGGCAAAGTCCTCGGATTTTTCTTCTAAGGAAAAATATATTCGAGAATCAAAAATGAAACAATGACAAATAACAACAAAAAGAAATATAGATATATTATTGATCATTTTTGTTTGTTTTGGGTTTTTGTTATTGTATCAACATTATTATGATCAACAAAGAGAAAAAAAAATAAAAGAAACAATCCGCAAAAAAAAATGACATATATATATGTGTATACATTTGTATATTATTGAATGATTGATTGTGTCGTATGTTTTTTTTAATCTATATACTATTGAATAGCATATATATATATATATATTGTCAAGTGGTCAACTGCTACTTGACTTGGTAGAAGTTAGTCTGAACTTCTCAAAGTGGCTGTTTGAATGACATTCTATTATTGAGAAGGAAAAAAAAGCGAAATATGATTAAAGAAAGTAGAAGAAATAATAATGACAATGCAACTATTGAATAAAAACAAATTCATTCGTTCCATTGACACATATACACACACACACATTTGTTATAGTGTTTAAAAATAAATCTATCCGGCTTTCTTTTTCTTCTTCTATTCATTCAACGACCGACAAAGATCTATCTAATCATCAAGTCCATGTTTCTTCTTCTTCTTTTTTTTGTGCTCTAATTCTCTTAGTCTCCCTTTTTTCCTCCTCTTCCTTTTCTCTAATTAGAGTTTGATGAAAGGGGTCGAAATAGATAGAGAGAAAAAGAAGTAGAAGAAGAAGACGAAGCTCATATATATACACACCTTCCGGTCCGTTATGTAAATGTGTGTATATACGTCATTTACCATATAACGAAGGGCGCTTTAATGATCCTTTAACGTATATAGAGGCTATCGCTGTTTAAGCAGTAAGTAAAAAAAATAACTAATACGAATAGTTTCCGTTTTGAGTATATATGAGTGAAAGGATTGATGTCATTTCCACCCCCACACGTCATCCTGCCAAAAGTATATAGAGATTTAGTGTTACTATGTTTATATGGCTACAAAATAACAACAACAAATTTGTTCGTTTGATCGTTTTCCCTCTGTATATTTCTCTTGTGTGTGTGTGTGTATATGATGAATCGTCTTAATATGGCTGTCATTGGGTCCCTTTTTCTCTTTCACGTCGACGTTGACGATCATCGATCAATATTCTTCCATTTGCTCAATAATACGAAGGCAAATTTTAATGGTTTATCATCATTGTCTCGACATTATTTTTAAAGAACAAATATTTATTAGCTCTAACAAACAGAAAACCTCAATAAGAGAAGAATAGATTTTTTTTTTCTTTACTTAATGACAATAAGCATTTTTCTTCTTCAATACGTATATGTTCATTTTATGTCATCGATTTGGAGCAGTTTTATATTTAATGGACATACACAAAAAAAAAAGAGAGAAAAAGAAATACGTGAATAAATTCTATAGAGATGGTAAGTAAAAGGAAATTTGTGCATTTGTAGAATTTTTTTTATTCACTAATGTTCTCTCATTTCCGCTTTAATCATATGAAAAGAGTTGCCGCACCAAAAAAAAAAGACAGTCAAACAAAGAAGAAGAAGAAACAACAGAGTTAATCGCCTTTCCTTTTCTTCTTCTTCTTAATACGGCACAATTTTACATATGTGTTCTGAACTACTACTTCAACTAATCCTTATAAAGAGAAAAAAACACTAAAGAAGAACAAGAAACATTGTATATGTATATTTGCTTTATGTATACTCTCGGACTTCTTCAATGGATTATGCACGAACATCATTATTAGCATATAATAATAACAACAAAAACATAAAGAATAAGCGTGCTTGCTCTCATCGATATTTTCTCACATTGTAAAACTTATTTGAAGTTTATATAAGAGATATAAAGTATTTGTCTTTGACTCTCTTGTTTGATGATGAGCAGATATGCGTTTACCATATATATTATATTATATACATATATTTATATATACCATCGATTAGGTAATATGTATGTCTAACGAGAACAGGCGCGTTCAAATTTAATGATCTCTAATCTCGAATATGTGTGTGTGAATGATCGAGTTACTGTCTGATAAACAATACTTATTTAATAGTATCGGCAACTTCAATTTCGCTATTTCTTTCATTTGTATTAAATTTTGTTTTGTGAAAAAAAGAAAAGCGAAGAGAAGAGAGAGAGAGAAAGTAAGAAACCTAGTCTTATTCTTTCTATCATTTATTACTTTTTCTTTCTTGTTCAATGAGCTTTACTAGTAGGTCCGAGGACGCTTACAGCTACATTATTATTATTATGATTATTATTATTAACATGTACTAGATGATTAACAGACGCTATTGTTATAAGGACTAAGTGATTCAATTACTATCCTGCTGTGAGTTATATGTTTCTTTTTCTCTCTCTCTCTTCTTCTTCTTCTTTTTTACAAGTTTATTTAATTATAATGATCTTATTCAATTGTGTCTATATATGCTTTTTAAAGCTAATTAGTTTGGTCAGAAGTAATATCATGCATTTGATAATGTCTATAGAGACATTTAAGACAAGAAATATTTGACAAATGAATCAAGAGAGAGACATCGATCTTTGTAAATATATATAACTAGTAGTGAAAGAAAACATGACAGATGTTTTTCATTTATATGACGATCATCATCTTTTAACATTCAAAGAAAAGATTGAGAGAGCGAGAGAGAGCGACAGATAGAAGAAAATCGATGATTATATAGACAAATTGTCAGTCAATTTTTATAACAGCAATCCAGAAGAGAAGAAAATCGTTCATTCATTTTTTTCTTCTTCAGTCTATCAACTCAAGTGCATTTATGCGTATATAGCAGCTGTGACATTTTCACGTTTGTCCTATGAACGCATTCATCTAAAGGGCTAGACATGAATAACTAGATGGGGGTATGGTAACAAGAGACATATATATAGACTGAAAACGATGATGATGACTCTTGTTACTTGATGCGAACTTCATATACATCAATATGATTGTACCTGTTGATGCTCGATAAAGAAATGTACAGACATATGACACGTTCGTTATGTCGAGAGAGAGAGAGAGAGAGAGAAGCAGTTGTATTCGTACGATGACGCCGACGATGAAACCTTTGCAAATGATGAAACCTTGCAATTTATCTTGGTTCATCACCTTTCTACATATTCATGTATGTATGTATATTAACGAAAGTAGAATAAAAGTTTTTTTCTTCTTCTCTGTTCTCATTTTTTAGTTTACAAATATATATTAAGGTGTAAGGCTAAAATTATGCGAAATAAGAAGAAGAACGGTAAAGAGAAATAGTTCTTCAATTAAGTAATGATCGAGCAATTAACTTGAATTTTACTCGTATCATTCTTTTTAATTGTCGTTCAATGTCAGTGATATTTTCATTCTATACCTATCTCATTTTGTTCTTTTGTTCGTTTGTTCTCATAAAATAAAATAAAAAAAACGAAATGAATAAAAGAGAGATCGAAACGAAAGAGAGAAAATATCATCGATTACTTCAGGTAATACGAGCACAAAAGAGAAGTGAGAAGATGGGCTGTCTTTTCATGTTAAATTAACCACAGGGGTATATGACACAACAGGTTCGTTCTTGACAATGTTTTTATGGCACTTTTTGCAGAGAATGAGTGTCTCGCTCAATTTTTTTTTCTTCTTCTCTCTTTCTTTCATACATTTTCTGTTTCTCTTTTCAACTCCCATCGAACGACATAGAAGAGTAGTGACATACCGATCGGGTCGACAACGCATAAGGCGAAAAATTATGTGACATTCTTATTTTTCTTTTTTGTCATCATCGTCATCATTTTTCTAAATATTCATAATAGCACTTGTCTTATGTTTTAGACGTTAGTAGGGCAATGGGTGGTGGTAGGTCGTTAAAAATTTTGATAATTGTCCTAAATGTTCATTCATTCATTCTCTTTTTATTTTATCGTCTGTTTTTCAGATCTTTATGTAGTACAATGTAACTTGGCATCAGCTTGCATAACAACTTGCTATACGAGTCACGTTCGAATTTCTCTATATTATATATATATATATACATATACATATATACTCATATTTTAAATCCATTTCGTTCTGACCATGGCATCGAATTCTATAAATAAAGATTTTTTACGTTCGATTACATGTACACATCCACCATCATCATCAACTATGATCAATAATAAACATAAAACAAATTCATTTTTATTATCATGTTGTACTTGTTCTCGAACATATAAAAAATCTCAACAATTAAATACAAATACACAATTAGATAATACAAGAATAACAACAGAAGATGCAAAAGTTGATGTACACAAAGGATTTTTTAAACGTATTCAATATTTTAAAGGTTTGAAAGCAATTTAAAATATATATGTCTTTTGAATTTATCAAAAAAAAAAAAAGAAAACGAAGACACATTGCGTCTACTTTTTTAGTGATTAGACTTAAATTAAAGAATCATTTTTTTTCTCTCTTCTTCATACTTTAGCACAAAAAAGACAAAGTACTGCTCGTAAACAACAGCTGGCAGCGGTCGCTGCTGCTGTGTCAACTACAACAGTGTCAAAAGGACAAACTAGAAACGAAAATGAAAAATTAAGTAATGATAATGATGAACGATCATCAAATATAAGTCCTCCATCATCATGCCAACATGCGGCGAATGATACATATATGAAAACATATTCACATCGTCCAATACGTAATTCACAATCAATTCCATTACTTAATCGACATGATAATATAACAACACGTCTTACTTCAATTCCATATGGTATAGGTGGTTTAAATAATGGTCTTGATTCTTATTCATTTACAGATATTGAAGTTGCATCATCAATAAATGATGATAGAAATCATAGACAAAAACAAAATCTACCTAAACCTATAACAACAAATGATCAATCAATATCAATTGATATGGATCATCGAAATGATGATGAATTACAAAGTGCAACACCAAAAAGTTTTGCATCAAGAGATTTTTCATCAGTAACAACAAATCTTTCAGCATATTCAACGCAAAGTTTACTTCGACGACTTCTTGATAAAGCTCAAGTATTAAATGAATATTATAATGATGTTTGTAATAAAACAACAATTCAATCACCATTATCTATTTCAACAAAACGTTCATCATCAATATCAACAAATTCTTTATTAGGAGGACGAACGGGTGCAACACCACGTTCATTACTTCATCGTGATCAATCAAATGAATCCATTAGAAAATTACGACGTAAACATCGAAGTATTTATGATAATATGTCAAATGATAGTTCAAGATTTAATTTATATGCTGATGAAGATAATGTATTAAGAGAATTAATTCGTTTTAATAATGATATTGATCTTATTTTATCACGTCTTGAAATGGAAAGTGGAACTACTGGTCAACAAAATACAAATAGTAATGAGAATAATAATGATAGACGATATTCATCTAGTACACAAGCATTACTTGATGATAATGATCAAGATAATACAGAATCAAAATTAGATGATTTAAGAAATCTTATTCAAGCAGCAACTATATATCCAAGTGATGATTCTGGCCTTGCGGCTAGTCCACAAATTGATGATCGGTAAGTTTTCATCAAATTTATCATTCTTTTTCTTTTTCTTTCTTCTTATCTGTTTAACTGAATTGATGTGCTACAAATATTATTCATGTGTGTTGAGCGATAGAGAGATGATTGTTGTCAAACATCCGGCCTTTTTCTTCTTCTTCTTCTTCTGTTCTTTATAATATTATTTTTTGTCTTCTGAACGAGTCGATTGAGTTTATTCGGAAGATGAAACTAACGTTGTCTATATACATATAATCATTTGCATTCGATACTCGCTCAATTTCTCGAGAGAATCTCTTTCTTTTTTTTTGACTGATCATACACTAACTTCTTCTTCTTATTATTATAACTATCGTTGTCGTCGGCAACATAGTAGCCACTTGACTATTTCCGTATTAATGAATTGAGAAAATACCAATGAGAGTAAGAGAGCGAGAGAAAGAAGAAAAAAAACGTAAAAGTATATGCTATACGATCTCATACATTCATTGTTCATATAAAAACATCAGCCAACGATCTTATTCAAACAATGCAAAAAAAACTGTTAAATAAATATTTGTCTCTCAATAAATAGAAGAAAAATCTTTAGTCATCCCACATATACATACACGCACACTCACTTACACACTGGCAACAATTACCTATTTCGAAAATTCTCCATCATCTGTAACTATCAATAACACTATCGATGAGTGTTGTACTATCGACAGGTAAATATATAGATGAATAACTGACAGTTGATTAGGAGAAGGTACTTCAAATGAAGGTTAGAATTCTTATGAATCTATTTTAAACGTCTGGACATTTTCAATTTTCTTTCGTTTTTTTTATTGATTGAAACAATTCAATGATTGTTTAATATACTAAGATGTTGTTGACATAATTTTGAATTATATTAAGTTGTATGACCTTGTTCTTTTAAAACAAAAAAAAGATCTTTTAATAGATATGATAAATATAAAGAAGTTTTTCTATTTATATAATATTTTAATATTTAAAATAAGAATTTTTTTGCTTTCGTTTTTTTTCTCTTCTTTTATCGATAATAAATGAGTTCAATCACACCTATTATAACATCTATTGAGTAAAATATATATATGAGAAAAAAAGAAACAGACAATTCTCATTGAACTCATTCGAATTTTTCATGCATATTGAGCGATATCGATGATGATGATGATGAAAAAAGGAGAAAAAAAAATATTATATATATATATATAATAAAAATATATACTGATTGAACACTCGTACTAAACAAGTTGTATAACTATTATGTATATATTTTCTTTTGCATACCAATCAATATAATCTTCTTCTATTGTTACTCGAGTATAGATCGACAACGACGAATTCGAAGGTAATATGCCTCAGACGACGACGTAAATCGATACAGTCTGATAAAAAAACGGCGCGTGCATGTATTGCCCATATATACATACATTCATATCGATTAGTGACCCTTTCTGTATCTCTGTCTCTCTCTCTTTCTCGTCAGTACTGATGACGTCTTCTGGTTGATCGGGCATATGTACGCAATCCGTTACATCATAATGATCTGTCGTCAATCGTATAGTACGATGGAACAAATTTTCTTTCTTATTCTGTGTTCTTTTTTTAGCAATATTTATGAGCACTATCATCTTAGTTGTGCTAATACTATATTGTCGCAGAGAAGTAACAAAAAAAGATTACTTTTTTTTTGCTTAAAAAAAACTAATTCTTTATAAAAATTTAATGTCCTTCATTTCATTTATTCGTCTTTGTTAAAGTAACCTTCAAGATTTTTTTTCGAAAGATGTGACTACACACATATCATTTTTCTCATATATGTATATCTTAGCAATCTAAAGGTTTCTTTTCTATTCTACATATATATATATATTTATATGACCACACAAGGTCAATACATGTTTTAAATAGATTTTCTTCTAAATTAATTTCAATTGAAATTTTCAATTGAATAAAGGTAAAAGAAAACGGATAAATGAAATAAGTAGAACAGTAAGGTTATCGATCAATGTTCATCTAGTTTTTTTCTCACACATAATGATGAAGAATATACATGAAACTATTCAACGTCGTTCACCCTCTTATTCTCCCTCTCTCTCTCTCTCTCTCTCTCTCTCTCGTTCTATTCTCTCCTATCCACACATAAATCAATTTCGAGCCTCAAGACTCATACAACGTTATATACTATATGCGCCCTATCGTTCGCTCACGCACACACCCTACATATACACATAATCGATGTTAATCCATCCAGTGAACCTGCTGGTTTCGTTGAATATCGATATGTCATCATGAATGTATATTATAAAAGTATATATACATATAAATATATATATATATATACTTTATTTTAGAGACGAAACTGATCAGACAAATCTTCAATCAAACGAAGTAATAACAATGCGTACGAATACAAATGAAATAAATATTCATTTACTACTATCAAATGATATTAATCGTTTACGAGAAACAGGTTAATAAAATAAATATACATATATTATTTTTTTAAACCTATTAATTTATTTTTCTATAGCTCTATCCAAACTATTGAAATTAGCTCAGCAAAATTGTAATCATGATAGTATGCATAATCATGATACTATGTAAGTTTTAATTTATCTGTATTATATTGATTATAATTAATTTAATTAGAACTTTAACAAAATTAAATAAACTCCCGAAAGCAACAACATGGAAAGGCAAACGTGTATTTGGTGTTCCCTTACGTGTATATCAACAAACAACAGGACAAATTCTTCCTGTGGCAATTACAAATGCATTACAATATGTTCGTATGAATGCTGGTAAATGCGAAGGATTATTTCGTAAACCAGGTGTTAAATCAAAAATCGATCGTTTACGTGCACAAATTGAAACAATAAATGATAATAATGGCGAATCATCATTAGATACAATTAAATTCGATGATTATCAACCATTTGTTGTTGCTGATGTTATTCGACAATATTTTCGTGAACTACCTGAATGTCTTATGCCACCTTCAATAACACGTTTATTATGTGATTTAATTAAATGTAAGCAAAAATTGTTTAATAGCAAAAACAAAATAAATGATTTTTTATTTTAGGTGCAACACAAGAAGAACAATTAATAGCAATACGTTATGCTTTTTTATTATTACCAGATGAAACACGTGATGTACTTGAAACAATTCTACGATTTTTACTTGATGTTTCAATACGATCTGGTAATAGTCAGGTAGAAAACAATTAGAAAAATAAAAATTCATCTTATAAAAATTAATTCTTCTTCTTTTAAAGATAACTTGTCGTAGTTTAGCACGTATATTTGTCCCATCTGTTTTTCAATCCTATCATGATATGCATAATACAACATCGAAAGTTCTTTGGTGGAAATGGAAAAAAGATAAATTAGATGCAATACAACAAGAAAGTGAACGTTTGACACTTGAACTTTGCTTAATGACAATGATACTTAATGTTGATTTACTTTGTCGAGTATAAAATAAAAACCCAATAAATTAATTGACCTACATATTTTTTTTCTATAGGTTCCAAATACACTTTCGGATGAACTTAAATTACCAACATTAAGAAAAACAAAACGTCTTGATGATCTTGTTCGTAATGCATGCAATGGAGAATTTCATATGAAAAAATATATTACAAAAGATAGTGAACAATTTTTACAAGTAATATATACATAGCTTAAATCGAAAAAATGTTTCTCTTTCTTTTCTTTACAGCGTCTATCAAACACAAAATTTAAAAATATTCAAACAAATATTGATGATGTTGATATATCAATACATAAACCTTCAAATGTAAATTGTGATAATGATGATATAAATTTACCAACATGGAAATGTTCTATTGATATTCCGAATACAAATGTTAAACAAGTTTGTCAAAGAATTTTACATGAAAGATATTTATGGGATAATCATTTTGCTGAAAGTCGAACAGTTGAAAAAATTGATGATGATAAAGAAATCGTGCAATATGTACTGAATTTTCTTGATCTTGTACCTGTTCGATCATTTTGTGAATTTCGGTAATTTTTTAATTTCTTTTTTTTATAACGAAAAATAAATATTTGTTTTGTTAATTTAGTTTTTCAAAAAAAATTACATCTCGTTCAATATCTGACACAACCGCAATGCTTATTGGTGCGATATCAATTGATCATTTACAAAATCATTTTCTACCAGGTAGTATTGGTATAACTAAAGATATGCATTATTATATAACACCCTCAACGACACAACCAGGATATACAACAGTTACTCAAGTAGCTTGTGTTGATTTTAGGTATTATAATTGAAAAATAACAATATAATATTTAGTTTTTTTTTACTATTATAGTGGACGATCATCTCAATGGTATGAAAATGTTTTTGGTTGTTTATTAGCACATAATCTTATATCATTACGAGATACATTTACTAATGCCAAAATAGTTAAAGTTTAAACAAAAGAAAAAAAAAAGATTCAAATATCTTCATTCGCATTCCTTCAATGAAAATAAGAAGATAGATTTCTTCTTGTTCTTTTTAAATATAAAGGATTAAAAAATATATGTAATATATTATCTCCTCAAAAATTTAAAAGAGGAGAAAAATTTGTATTATTTAATCCTTACAATTCTCTCAGGATACCGTCCTTAAGTTTTCATTGTCGACCATTCATAAGGCATTTATCTTTTTTCTTTTTTTTCACTTCGTGTTTTCTTTTGCTTTATAAAATGATCTTCTTCTTCTTCTTCTTCATTTCATTTTAATCTCTCTTGATTATCTTTTGTTTTCTAACAGATTTCTTGTATTCAAATTTTCTTGTTCTTTTTCAAATTCAAGTAAAAATAATAAAACAGTTGATGAGATGCTTTTTTTTCTCTCAATAATTAAATCATTTTATATTTTTACAAAAACAAAAAAAAAAGATGAAGCGGAAATATAATGCAATGATGTTATCATACATTCAAAATGAAATCATATCTATCGTCTATACTCTGAAAGATTATATTGAACAAACCGGAACAAAAGTTTCATCTTTATTAAACAAGTGCTTCCTTTGTTGCATTATATTGTATAATACATCGATGTTTTTTTCTTGAACTACTATGTCCACCACCAATAGTTGAATGTTTATTTGGACTCATAATAATTGTTATTGGTTTATAACGTAGACTTCGTCGATGATGAGCCATTGATGATAATGATTTAACACTATGTCTTAAACTACTAAAACGCCGTAATGTAGCTGGTGTTTCAGGTGGATTTAATAGATATATATCTGTATTTGTTATCGTTTGATGACAGTCTTTCAAATTATAGCAAGCTGAACGTTTACTATAACATGTACCCATTTGACCTAAACTATAATATAGATATAGATATATATATTCTAGCTATCAGTAAGATCACAATATTCATACATACATACTATTAGTGTTTGTCAATTATTGTCATTGTTGATTATAAGTAAGTATGCGAAAAAAGAGTGATATTGTCGTTTACCAAGGTCACTCTCTTGTATGATATTTTTGTTTAATATAACGAAAATGAGAAAGTGTCAAGACACAACGGTCAACTGTAATATAATTTCAATCGATAGTGACCGTACACGTATTTGTATATTCTCTAATGCTATTGAACGAAAGAAGAAAAGTAAGAAAATAAGAGATGACCGATCTACCGATTGAAGGTAAACGCGAAAGAGGAAAGAAACAAAAAATTTTCTCTATTCAAATCATTTAGATATTTGAAATATGTTTAAATTCAATTAGAGCATAACAATCATTACGCAAAGTTCATTTGATAACAAAAAAAAAGAAAGAGAAAATGAAGAACATTTTTTTATTCTGTCTATTCTATGACATAAGTAAATATCAAATAACTACGAAAAGACTATTCTCGCATTTTTCTATACGCTTCATATATAAAGTATTGTTCATTGATCAAAAATAAATTAACTAATTCTATTGAACTTTTTTCTTATTGACACTATGATTCAACCATTTTTTAACTGAAACTAATTGTTTCAACGATACTTTCTTTTTTTATTGTATTGATCAATAGAATGTGATTATATAAGAAGTAAAAATAATGTTTTTTTTACCTCAGGGTTATAGATAATGTTTAAAATGTGTGAAATGAATTGAGAAAAAAAAATTGACTGCTATAATCTACGCAAAAATTCATAGGACAATTTAATCAGTTCGAATACGATAAAATATATGAAGAGATTATATTTGATTTTTTTTGCAATTACTTACTTAATCCTTTCATGGTTTTCATTCTCTACAGAAATAAAATTAGAAAGTTAATTCTATTACAGATGTGAGCATGATATAATTCTAACTTTAGAGATCATACTGAAAGAATTTCAATTTTAGCCATGGGCATGAAGAGATGGAATTGAATCAAACTTTTGTTGATTACTATTCATGTGTAATAAATTCTGAATAGAATAATATATATATTCATGCATTCGTTTTTCTTTATTATTATCTTTAATTAACAGTTTGAAATTCTATTTTTATAATGAATATCAAATCGTTTTTTCATTCATAAAAAGAAATACATTGTTGTCATGCTTAGAAGAATTCATTCAATTCAAAAAAAGATCTTCTAAGTCTTCCTATAATTACTATAAATTAAGGTAAAAAAAACATTGTCATTTTTACAACGAAGAACATGTTATTTGTTTGCTTACAAAAGTAAACATACAAATAATCTATTCTCATACATATATATATATATATATATATATATATATATAGAACAACTATAAATAATATCATAATCAATAACTGTCATGTTATCACTGATTGTATTAAGATCGATTTTGTCTTTGATAAATAATAAATGACAATCATATAAGAATTATTTATGTTACTTTAATATCTCAAGTTCAATTTTGATGTATTTCTTTTAATAAAAAAACAACATCAAAATTTTTATGTATTCGAATATTTTTCATCGTCATATTGTTATGGGCATAACAAAAACACTTCTATTTCTTCTACTAGAAATATAACAAGTATTGACATTAACAAAAAAAAAAGAACATTCTTTAGAAGTATTCATACTGAATGTTATTTTTCTCTTATTATGATTTTTAAGATTTACATATTTGAATAGAAAATAAACATGTGTATATTGTACACTCAGTATATACAAAATTATTTAAGTATATTATATAGAATATCTCTTTGTTTTTTTTTTCTTTTTTTTAAATGTTCATCTCTTATATAAAAAAAAGGTTATCTCTTTATATAGGAAATTTGAAGAGATTATAGATAATAGTAATAGTGACAATAATAATAATAATATTAGTTATAATAACATTCAAAATAAAAAGAAAAAGGAAAATTGAAAATGAGTATTAGCTTCGACGAGTTTGGAGAATTGTTGGTGGACGACTACTTGGTGGAGATGATCCATTTGTTACGTGATTGGTTTCTGTTGAAGATGTTATATCATTTTTAGCACTTAATTCATGAACACTTTTACTTGCTGTTAAGCCATTTTCAGCTATTGTTGTTGGAATATCAATAACTGGTACAGAATTCGATGTTTCATTACCATTTTGTTTATAACCCATAAAACGGGAATATGAATTTGTATGACCATTAAGTCGTGATGCAGAAAAATAAGGCGGTATTGAATATCTATCAGCACTTGATGAACGTGCTGCACGAGCTGATATACCATTTCGTTGTGGTTGTGGTTGTGGCTGAGGTTGCTGTTGATGCTGCTGCTGATGTTGTTGTTGTTGTTGTTGTTGTTGATTCATATTTGATTGATTAGTTGTAATTGTATTATATTCATCAGTAATTGTATCAACAACTGATTTCATAGTTCCTTCTAATAAATTTCTATATGTTTCAATTTCTTTTTCTAATGATGTCTGTTTTGTTATCACATCTTCATAATCTTTTGATATTCTTTCTTGTTTGACTTTTAATTGATCAATTTCATTTTGTTGTAATTGTTCAAAACGTGCATTTTCTTCTACACTCATTTCAAGATTAATTTGTAATTCACGTGTACGTAATTTTAATTCGCCAGTTTTTTGTTTTAATAAATTACTATCTGCTTTAACACGTTGAATATCAACACGTGCACGATCTTCTTCTTGTTTAACACGTTCTTGTTCACGTTCATTTAAAAATAAATGTCCAAGTTCGGGATAATCACGAGCTATATCTTCATATGCTTGAGTAAATTGTCCATATAATTCATTACGTTGTGAATCATTTTGTCTTTCAAAATCTTGACGAATTTTTCTTATCGCACTTGATAATTCAGATTTAAATATATGTGCACGATCATTTGTTGAACTAGGTGCTAATAATAATGTTGTTTGTCTAAGATCTTTGATTTTTTGTTGTTGTTGTTCACGTAATTTATTAATATCAACACGTAATTGTTGAGTTGTTTTCTCACATGTTGTACGTGTTATAGTTTCATTCTGTGTTTCATTTTTAGCTTGTAATATAAGACGTTGAATATGTGTTATTAATTGTTTCCATTGTGTATGTTCATCATCTTGATGTGCAAGACGACGTTTAAACATAAGAATATCACCATCAATTGTTGATAATTGTCGTTCAATTCGTTCAGTTTCATATTTTGATGAATCACATTCTTTAAATGTTGAATTAAGACGTTGTTTTAATGGATAAATACCATTCTGAATAGATAAAAAAAGAAAAACGAAATTAATCGAAAATATTTTGTTTTTCTTTCAAAACTAACCTGAGCTTCTTTGGCATTATATGAAGTTGTATTTTTATCTTGAAAAAGTTTTTCAATAACTTCTTTTAATTGTGCAACTTCTGTTTCAAACATTGATTTAACACGTTGACAATTTCCTGTTTGTTTTTCAGTAAGAATATTTGTTTCCATTTGAACTTTTTTATTTTGAGCTTCTAAATATCGAACTTTTTCAACATAATCAGCAAATTTATCATTTAATGTTGATAATTCTAATTTTTCTTTTTCACGTGTTTGCTGAAATAATGATGGTTTAGGAATTGAAAATGATTGGGAACGATATGTTGAAGACGACATTGGATAATTCGAACTACTACTTCCAATATTATTTGAATCACTATATAATGTCGAAGTTGAACGATAAGGATATAATAGATGATTGTTATTATTATTATTATTATTATTATTATGATTGTTATTATGATTATGATTATTATTTGTTGATGACGTTGAAGACTGTGGAATATAAGAACTTGTATATAACGACGGCGTGGATGATGTTGAAGTCTGAGGAATATAAGAGCTTGCGTATGAAGACGGAGCCGACGACGATGATGCTAATGATGAGGTTTGAAACAAAGGAAGGGTGCTTTTAAGTGCTGACATTGAATATGGCGGTGGGAGCAGACCGAGAAAATTATTACTCGGCGCTATACCTAACAAGAATATATTTATATATATATATATATATATATACAAAAAAAGAGAGAAATAATCAATGACGAAATTATATGGTGATGATTTTGATGCACACACACATAGTATGGTCTTGAAATATTTACCTCGGGGGGAAATATTGAAGGTGATACCTGGGAAAAATGTATGTACAAAAAAGTAAATTAAAATCAACAGATGTGTGATAATTACTTTAGTTAACAATTATGATAGAAATATATATTCTAATTATTTGTAAATAATTGTATATTCATAAAGAGAAAATAAATAACTTTTACATTTTTTTTACAAAAATATACAAGATCTAATTTTCTGTTTTCTTAATGGCCTTCAAAATGACATATACACAAGATGAATAGGAGAATAAATATAAATGTATAAAAATGTATATTTAGATTTGTGTCTTGCCATATTAATCAAAATTCCAATGTCTACAAAATGACAGGCGATATAGATGCGTAAATGTATTAATACGATACTATTCTATTTATTAGTTTTGTTTAGTATACACACATATTATCAATTATTCAATAATATTACCTGTAAATTCTTCAGTTATAGTAATTGTTTCGTCATTCGTTGAGTCGTCTGCCATTGCTTATATATAGATGTCTAATCGATTATTAAACTAGTCTATTTAATATAAACTATCTATATGTTAAAAGTGAATATAAAGAAGAGAATTTGTATAAGAAAAATTGAATGACGACCTTTCCTATCAGTCAAATCTTTCAAAATGAAAAAAGTGAGAGAGAGAAGAGTTAGTCATAGAAAGAAAGAACATATGCCTATGTGCACTGACAAAACATACATACACACACACTTGATAGATTCGTCTTATCTTCTGTGTCGCTCTCTCTCTCTCTCTTCTCTATACCCTTTCTCTTCCAGTAACTATACTCAAGACATCATTGTCGATGACGAACAACGGCTACCTTTTTTTCACATACAACCGCGAGACGATGTATAATTTTCTTTTTCTTGTTGGAGTTGACATCGTCACACTCTTGTACACATTCACGTAATCGAATAGAATGTAGTAGAAAGAAGAAAGACGCGAGAGAAAGGGAGCAACTATAGTAGTAAGGTGGTAGTAGAATACAGTCTTGAACTGTACCACAAACATTACTGATTTCGTGCATCTTTTGAATATATTTATCTATGCACTTGAGAAGGCAGTAAAGGCGGATGCCTATTCTTTTTAAAATGTGAATATAATAGAGAACAAATAAGGACAGAAAGAGGGAGAGAGAGAGAGAAAAAAGAGAATTTATATTAGTTACATGGCTATCATTGTTATTTGTCAAAAATTCACCATTTTTTCTTTCTTTGTTCGTTAAAGAATTATAATTTTTTCTTTTTGTTCTCGTTACGTTTTTTTCTGTAGTGTCTGTCAATGATTCATTTTATACAATAGAGAAAAGAAGAAACGAAATTTGTACATAAGTAGTAGAAGGGATAGAGAAAAAAAAAGAAGAGTGAGAAAGCAAATTGTATATTTGTTCGGCTGAGAAACAGTTCGTCTTTCGGGGACATGATGAGTGTGAGTTCGAACGTTTTTTTCACTCTCACTCTCTCTCTCTCTCTTGTACATATATTCTCTATTTTACGATTTCCGCTCGATAACGTGATGTCGAGAGGGTGTATTGAGAGAAAAAAGTGCGATAATGAAAGAGAGATGTTGATTCAGGATGGAAACCGCCAAAACAAAACAGTCAATTCTTTATTAAAAAACCGCAGAACGACTGAACATATAAATATTAAAATCGTCAAAAAAAAACGAAAAGAAAAGAAAAGAAAGACCATGGCAAATAATTATATATGCCTCTTGAAGACCTTGCAGATTGAAAGCGAAGAGAAATGAAAATCATATGAGGTCAAAGATTTATGAAATATATGAAGTATAAAAAAGAAAAAACTTTTTCTTCTTCCAAGAGATTTCTGATAAAAAAAACTCAGCAGCTGTTTTAAATTACCTTCAGATTTGATTGATACATCCTTTCACGGATCATTAGACAGGAATATCTTTGAAAAGTTAATATGTATTGTTAATGCGTCATTTAACTTCGAAGGTCGAATGTAACTTAGTCATACACAATATATATATATATATATAGGTAAATATTTACTATGAACATAATTGAAAGTTAATAATGAGAAAATGACAGAGAATCTTTTTTGCAATGTAACACCTTCGTATAAATGAGAATCGATTATTTCTAAAATATATATATATATATATCAAATGTGATTGAGAGATATAAAATTCTAACAAAGAACATTGTTACATAATTTATATTTAATATGATCGTGTTAACAAATAAAGAAAAAAGAGCTTATTCGTAAAGATAAATATAACTTAAAATTATTCAAATCAACTAGACGATTGTTTTTATACTACATATATACATATCATATAAAAAGAATAAAATATGCATGCATCATTTCTTTTTTTTATATTAACCTGTATAAATAACATTGATAACGTAACTGTCACAATTTGATTATATGTATATATCTTTTGAGAACTACTTGTTATACGTTTATCATATATGAATGAATGAATGAATTGAGTGAAAAAAAAAGGCGGGACGACAAAGACAGACGTTAATCCTCACACGTAAAAAGCTTATGAATAATACCTCACCGTTTCTCAATGTATATTTGTATGATCACAATGTGTAATAGAGTAGACTATCTGACTGACAATTAGACGGAAGAAGAAGAAGACTATTGATCAAATAGTAATATAAATCGGTAATAAGCTCTTTCAACTATCCGATATAAAGCCGATTGAAAATACTCAAAATTTTTTTATAGACAATGGATATACTCATTATTCATCTAATTCAACATTTGCTTGATAAGAAGAAAAAAAGGACTAGACTGATGATCAAAATTAACCTCGAAAACTATATTTATTTACAAGCATTATATTATAATCAATATTTATAAAGACATAAAATCGAAATATGTATATATATATATATTGAATTGTAAAATAATATCCTTGTTCACCATGATAGATACACTTACATATAATATAACTATAAAAAAAACTCATCATGTCAGTAAAACATGTGTTGTTAATAATCTAAAGAATACTTTAGTAAGATTAACTTTTTTATCTTGAAAACTGTTCAGATGAATATCTTTCACGATATATATTCATCGTGTTATAAACTTGGTGATTTCTCCTCTCGAAAAAAAAGTGTCTGTTACACTTTAGATAAAATATTACTAAGATTTTCAATCCTTATTTGGAGTATCGAGAATACTCATCACTCCATAAAATTTCTCATCATAAATAATGAAAGCACAGAATTTTTTTGATTTGCCTGAATTAGTTAATCATGAATATCTGTATTTTAAGTACTTTTCATTTTTTTCTCTCTATTTATTTTGACCTAAATAAGGTTGCTATAAGATATAATCGATAAAAACAAGCAAATATAGAAGCTTAATGTATGCAGGATGCAACAGCTGAATTACATCTAGTATTTGTTTGATTTGTGACATGAAATAAAGAATTCTTCTGAATAGCGCATAGATGGGCCAAACAAATATTAATTTTTTTTCTTGTTTATATTTTCATTCTATAAGTATTCTTCCTATTAATAATATGTTGAAATCGTATAAATAATTATTGCCATATGATTAATTTAAGTTTTTCTATTTCTCATAAGAAAACAAAAGATGAAGTTACTTTTATATTTATTGCCCAAAATCAAAACAGAAAATATTTTTATATATACATTTCAATGAAACTAACATATATACTATTGACCTTGTTTATATCGATTACGACTGTTAGATGTTCACATTATCGTGGATCGATGATTACATGGCGTGTAATTAACTCAAGTTCTAATCCACTTGTTATTGAAATATTTCAACGTCATGCATGGAATTATGTGACGTGGCCATGTACAAATGCACTTATATCTACTGGTAATTATATGATTGGTTCCGGAAGTTTAGTATGTACTGCACCTTGTCCACCAAATATTAGTACACTTAATTCTGTAGCTGTTCCATGTACTGGCTATAATATAATCGAACAATATGTTAGTGGTGAAAATCGATTCAATATACGAGTACCATCAAATTATATCTTTCGAGCAGTATTCACAAGTTCGGCTTGGTTTATATTAGTAACAGGTGGAAGTACATGGTCAGTTTCTACTGAAATAAATACTTATAAACGATCAAATGGTCGATATAATCAAGCACCCATTGTTACAATGTTACCAATCATACGACTTCGTAGTAATTTAACTTATTATATAAAAATTAATGTTGCTGATAATGATTTTGATCGATATACATGTATTTGGTCAAATTCATCGCAAGAATGTGGTGGTGTTTGTCGATCTTTACTTACTCTACCTACTTCAACATATCTTAATGAAACAAGTTGTATTCTTCGTTTTACACCAATTATTGTTGGTTATTATGCAATAGCATTAACTATTCTTGATTTTGAAAACGATACAAGTACAGCATATCTTTCACGAGTTCCTATTCAATTTATTTTAAGAGTTTGGAGTTCACCTAATACATGTACAACACCACCCATCTATATAGGTGATGTACCTGCTGATCAATGTATTTTTGTTGAACCTGGTCAATCACTTACCATGCTTATTCGTATTAAAGTTCAATGTGCAAATGCAACATTAAATAATACGATTGGAGTTTATCCAACAGGATTTACACAATCATCAACATATCTTGATCCTTATGATCCAACTATAAATGTTTTTCAAGTAATTTATGTGGCTAATGCAAACCAAGTTGGTCAAAATTTATTTTGTTTTGCTGGTGTGGATTCAATTGGTAATCAAGGTGATTCAACATGTCTTCGTTTTACTGTACAAATATCAACGGACAGTCGAAATACTCTTTATATTGATAATGCAACTCATTTTCCAATAGGTCTCGTTCCGAAATCACAATCAATATGGACATTAAAGTATCCAGAAGGAATAACATACAATCGACCAACAACTGAAGCTTATATTCGTTTTAAATTATCATCAACTCAACAAGATTTTCTAACATATGATGTTGTTAAAGAAATGTCGAATGTAAACTATCAAACAGATTGTTTAGTCATAACAACAAATGTTATATTTACACCGGGTGAAAGTTTTTTTATTTCATTAGATCCAGGTGTTTTCTTGCCAATTTCAAGTTGTTTAAGAGATTCAATGGGTATAACAGATCCAACATTTTGGCCATTTCAAATTGCATCTGAACCAAGTTCAACATTAACAACTAGTACAACAACACAATCAAGTACAACAACAATATTAAATCGAACAGTAAAAAACAATTCATTTTCTCTTCATATTTGTTGATCATGAAGTTTTTCTTTAGGTACCAACAATACGTACATTATCTACTACACATTTATTATTAACTACGAAAGGAACAACTTTAGTATGTACAACTACAATTAGTTTATCAACAACTATAAAAACAATAGTTACACCATATGTATTTCCTGTTAGTGGTATTGTTGGTATTATAGTTGGTTCTTTATTGATAATAACAATACTTGTTATCATTATTTTTCAATTAAGAAAACGTAGGAATGCTAAATCAACAGTTAATCCTTATCCACCTGCAACTAAGAAACATTCACTTTCGGGAACTCTTCAACAATACTTTATTAAAACTCGTACCAACATTCAAGCAGCTCGTCGATCAAGAAATAATACAACATATTCTGCCCTCTATACACCGGATTCAACTCGTGAAATTCTTGTCGATATCGATTCTTAAAAGACAAAAATAAACTCACTTAATTATATGTATCATTCATTTTTTATTTAAAATAACTATACTAAACTCATCCTATATCAACTATATTGAGTCAGCCTTAGATTTATTATGACATATATAAATATACGATTAGTATTCGTAGACAATGTAATGGTCTATTTAGTTTTTTTTCTCTTCTCCTCTTCGTTTTTGTTATTCACTCATCATTACTTATGGTTACATTCTAGTACACAGTTCTATCTGTAGGCTTATATAGCATAAATGATATTTGATGTATTGAATTGTCATGAATATCTGTTAACGACACGAACAATGTAGATCATATAATCAAAAAAGATACAAGATACTTTATTTGTTATTTCGTATATATGACTTTTTCATTTTGTCATAGGACAAAAATAGTTCTTTTAATGTCTCACACATACGATTTTATTTGACAAAAAAATAGTGATGAATAAAAATACATATATTCTTCAAAAACCATTATTGACATCACAGTCGATCGATAGACAATCTTTATTTCAATTAATAAATAATCAAGTTTATTCGATTGATATGAACAATTTACAGTAAGTTTCATCTGATATCTAATAAAACAATTTTAATCCTCATTCCTCATAACACATTAATCTAAGTTTGATTCAGTATGAAGCGCTATTGAAAACGAATTAAAAAAAATGTTACGGTTATTGTATTACAGATGAATGAATCATATTATTGCGCATCGAAACAAATAGCACGATTGTTATCTACAAATAATAAGTTTTTTAGAGTCTAATTCTTATGTCCAAGAAACTCAAAAGTAACCATCTATGAATATTCATAGTTGTGCTTACAAACGAAACTATTCTTACAGTTCAATCTTCTAATATTATCAAATAATTATTTCTATAACATTAATGTAATTATCTTTCTTTTGTCTATAATGAATGTTTCTTACTACCAATCAGATAAAAAAGATTCGTAAACAATAAAATGTGTCTCTTATGTCTTTTTCTTAACTTTATACGCACATTGTTTTATTGAAAACAATAGACGCCAATATGATCATTGGTGTTTTCTCGTCATTGTCTATGCGGTTACATGCACAAGTTGACCGTTTACGTCAGTTATGTTTTCGCTATTTCTTCTTTTTCTTTTTCGTCCGTCCATATAAGACATATTTGACAAATTTCTTCTTCGTTCACTTCCATCTCATATTCTACTATATGTAACATCTTCTTTGTTGAACAAAACAAACCATTCACATGTCATCTTCACCACCACCACCACCACCATCAACAACTACAATACATTCTAAAAAACCAATACGTGAATTAAGTTCTATTACAAATAATTTATTAATGAAAAAAACTTTACATGCACTTGTAAATAATTCTAATAACAATAATAATAATTCACAAACTACCATTCCACCACCATCACCATCAACATCATCAATAAAAGAAAATATTCCAAATGATCCGAATCTAATTCAACAACAAAAAGCACTTAATCTACGTTTAGCTGCTGCATTAAAACCAGTTGATAGAGATAATGTAGCAGCATTACTTCAATTCTATCAAACACTAACAACTCAAAATAATCAATTACATACTAATGTTCAAAATAATTCAGTATTAAATGAAACTACATCTTTAATTAATAATTCTAATTTAAATAATTTCTCTCTTTTAAAACAACAAAATGCTACGAAAAGGTAGATCTATTGAAGTAAAATTATAAATATTTTTCTAATTTTTTATTTTTTTTTAGATCAACATCAATGTCTTATTTATGTCGATTTAAACAACGAAATCGTTTAATTGAAATTCCATCAACAAGTGAATATTATAATCAACAAAATGGAATTGCACATGAACATCTCAAACAATTAATTAGTAAATTATATATATATTGAATTTATTTTTTCTCTAAAAATTCTCTTTTATAGTACAAGAATTTCAACTACCAAAATCAACATTAATTATTCAAATTTGGAATGAACAATATCAAGAATATATCGATATTGAATCATATAAAAAACTTCCTTTTGATGGTCGATTACAAGTTCTTATGTAAGTCACATTGATCTTAACCTCTCTTTGAGTACTCATCCTATTTTTTTGAATTGCCATCTGACATAATTATTCGATTGAATGACAAATGGAACTTATTAAGGAAATGTCATTTATTCATTCATTAACTATAAGTAATAAGTAGGAGTATATTCAAGATATGTCTAACATCAGTATTACATAGAGTAAAAACGAATTATTATTTCCGGGAAGAGATAGACCATAATTTCCTTGTTAAATGTTAACCAGGATATGAATAGATAATTTTTTATAGTGAAAAAGATGTGAATTCAGTTGGAAATTCACCATCGGTGGTATCAAAAAGTCCATCAACACCTGTATCTTCAAATGCAGTCACAACTAGGACTCGTCCAATTACTCCTATACCATTACAAACAACACCAAATGATAATCATCATGATGATGAATTACCGTCAAAATATTCATTTGATGAACCAATGAATACGTAAGTTGTTAATTTAAATAAATATTCATTTTTCATATATATGATTTACTAGTGCTTCACCAATCGATAATTTAAATCAATCTCAACATAATATTATGTATGACTTATTACCTAAACCAAGTGATGGTATACCTATACCACGTTTTCCACCACATATAGCTGCATTTCTTAATGGTAATGGTGATGCTAATCAATTGAATGCACTTGTTCAAGCACTCTATCAAGAAATTGTTAAATATGAACTGTAAAAAATTGAAAAAACTTATTATTATTCTTATTCTTATTAATTTATATATTTATTTTAGTTATCCAAATGCAGATGAATTACGTTCAATTGTTAGTCGTCTTGTTGATCGACATCCAAATAGTTTACCTGTTATTGGTAGTATTGAATTATTAGTAAGAAAATTATATTATAAATTTTGTAATGAACGTAAAAAATATCCTGTGGAATTAAAACGTCGTCAACCAAATAAACGTAAAAGACTTACACGTGAAGATGATATGAATATGAGTAATAATATTCAACAAGGAAGAAATAGTAATACAATTAATGATCTTGATCGTCTTATGCATTTATGGACGACAACAAATGAATATAAAGATTCAATTTCAAATGAAAATATTAAACAAGAACAACATTCACCATCAGGTTCATCATCTTGTTCATCATCACCTGTATCAAATCATATGATGATTGATAATAATTCTGAACAATCAGAAGGATGTCAAAAATACATTCCATTAAATTTATCAATTGCTAATAATAATAATCTTATCTGTAGTGAATAACAAAACAAAAATGAAGTTTCTATTGATTTGACTTAGATTGTTTTCTTCTCTTTTTTCTTTCTGATATATCTTATATGATTGTGTTAGTTCATCTATTGTATGTGTTTATGTGTCTATTTTCCCGTGATCTTCTTAAAAAATTCTTTACTGTTTGTTATTCATCTTGATTATAAGAATAGATTTATTCAAGTTTTGTGTTTGTCGGTATTCATATAAAAGATGTTTATTTTCTATAAGAAATAGAATTGATTAAAAAACAAGAAACTAAGTCATTTAATTAACTTGACATACATCTGTATTGAAGTGTTAACGAAAGTCATGTGTTCAAATATTTAAGTTTAGTAACAAAGATTATATTTATAATCTAATCTTTTTTTGTCTGAGGTACTTATGAAAGAAAGTCATGGTGGTCTTAATATTGAAAGTAAGTTATTTTCTTTTATAGAATAGATGTAGGTGCACTCTAATGAAAAATATAATATTCATGTTTCACTCTTCTTCGTTTTGTGGTAGATGAAAAAAGATATTCGCACTCTAAGATAAAAATATGTAATTAGTCTGTAAGATTAGTTTAATTCGATTAGTGTTGATAGTTGAGATACAAGTATACTTTGTTTTCTAATTAAAAACAGCACACCTACTGAATATCATTTAATGATTCATATAATTTTCATAAAATGAACTTTGGTAAACTAATAAACCAATATGATAGTGCGTATTTACACTAGACTTTTCTTGATAATATTTTACATTTGTAAGTAAGTAGTCTTTTGATGTATCGTATTCTTTTTTTTATGCGTTTATTTTTACCTGTAAATGATATTACGTAGGTTGTTAAGAAACAAGAGCATTTTTATAGTATATTCGAAATACTATGATAATGTCATGTTGTATCGAATTATCCTAATATGTACTCTATTATTTGAAAAGAAAGAAAGTATTTCTGTCATTTCATTTCACAATTGAATAATCATTTTCGATATATAACATCATGAAATCGAATTTGCCCTTAAGCATTCTTATGAACTGTCATATGAAGTTTTACTTATCTAACTCGGAAGGTTGTAATTATCATGCAATTCTTTACTATAAGATATATTTTTATGATATAAATGAAGGAGGAAAAGGTAAAAAACTTTTGCTCCATTTTTTTCTGTCTCTATCATTATCCTTTCATGCATGTGTTTCATCTTATAACATATATTAGAGTTACAGTAATATAGGAGAAAAAGAAGTGTGCTTATGCATACTAAAAATGTATTAGTATTTCCTACGATATTATGTTCAATAAGCGTAGAAACTATTTTTACGATAAAAACAATCAAACATGCAATTAAGTTAAAAAGGAGTTATTTTCTTAAAATGTTCTCCTACGAACATGCACAAATGATAAATAAACATGCAAACAAAGTGTAAAGAGTAACCTCAATAATCAATAGTTTAAACTGCATGATATAAGTAAGTAGATAATATTCAAAAGTATATTCAAAATCTTACGAAGTGGACCCATATTAGAATAAAAACATTAGGGATTACTATTTCCTAGTTCTCTTGATTACAATTGTGAATATGACTAGAAAATTGTAGTCCCAGTTTACTGATTACCAGGCATGTGACCTCACCCGAACTTAGTTCGGGTTCGCTACATGTCTATTGATTACTAACATCATCGATATTGTATGCACTGAAGAACTGATAATGCTCTGTACTATCAGCCTATACTAGCTTAGAACTATGTGTCGTTTCAGCAAAATATGGTATTTCAGTGTTTCATTGACGTACATTAGAACGAGTTCTTTTATATAATGACGTCTTATAATTTTAAAGGCATGGCATTTATTTAAATATTAAAGTACTAATGACATTGAACTTTAAGTATAAAATATTTCAGAAAAATAAGATTCGATGTCTTTCATTTTCATAAATAATGGACATTCTTTTTTATTCTTATTCAAAACAAGTTTGTAACTTCACACTTCGTAATGTTATATTCTCAAAAGACCTTTCTTTGTTTTTATTCTTTTTTTTGTCTAACACTTGAAGCTAATCTTACAGTAAAATTTAACCTCGATAGAATAAAAACATTAGTATTAAAAATTAAAACTAGTCAGACAAAACTGAAATAAACATGCACAAAGTATAAACATGTCCTTATATTATACATTATACAATGAATAACATTAATTTTTCTTATTAATATTTATAAACAATATTTTTCTTCTGTTTTTTCTCTTTTTTTCAATTGATAATTGAATTAGCAATTCTTTTTATCTTAAGTCTATCTTAGGTTCAATATATTTAAACATTTGATATAAGAAAAATATAATAGAAATTCTTATATTTAAATAAAGGTTTTCTTTTTATACTTTTTATCATTTATGATTATACTCAAGAGAGTACTATTATAAATATATCTATAAGAAGAATTTTTTATTACTAAAACGAAATAATTAATAATTCCTATGAAGTTTTCTCATGCTTTTAAGTCTTTACAAAAATTATAGTTTCTCTTTTTTGTTTTTATAGCTAAAATATGTTCTATAGGTCTATTTCTGTTGTGTTGTCATCGTCATTTTTTCTCTTTTTTTCTTGTTGCCTTCTCACTATGTCATTTTCTTATTTAGCGCTTCGTATATATATAACATTGTAATGTTCTATCTCTCTTTGAATAATTATAAATGTCTAATATGATTATATAGTAATATGAAAAAAAAGTATTTTATTTAATTACGAAGCTCTTTATATATTATTTCCTTTCTTTTTTCAGATACTAAGAAAAAGAAACAAATGGATATGAATATAACAAATTATACAAGTTTATTTGATAATAATTCATTGTCACTATCATCAGCATTAAATCCATGTCCACGACAACGAAATATAACTCGACCATTATTATTTGTTCATAATTATGCACTATTATTTTTTGGTTCAATATTTAATTTTCTTGCATTTGCTATTCTAATGCAACGTTCATTAAGATGCCATTCGACATTTGCATATTTAGCATTTTTATCATTATCAAATGGTTTATTATCCTTAGTACATTTTTCTAAATGGATGTTTAATTATTATTTCAATTTAGTTCTTGAAAATTTTTTATTAACATGTCGTTTTCATCGTTTTTCATCCGATTTTTTAACACATTTTAGTTTATTTACATTAATATGTGTTAATATTGATCGAGCACGAACAGTAACAAAAAATTGTCCAAAACGAAAATATCCCAAATCAAAATTTCGTATTGTTTTAATTAAAGAATTTTTTATTGGAAGTATATTATGTGCATTTCATTTTCATTGGATTATTAAATACGGTTATGAAGGTAATCTTTCTCTTTAATTAATGAAACAGATAAATCATTGAGGGTGTTTATAGATTAGTTCTTTTCTTGACACTTGTCAAATTAAAATAAACTCATATATTGTAAATAATCGAAATAGAAAAGGATTTTACTCAATAATATAATCTGCACTTGATTATATATATGTGTCACAATAGATAATTTTACTAATCCAGTGTATTGGAAGATGTTTTTTTCTTGTTTATTTAGTATTTGATAGTAAATCGAAATCTGCACATTGTGGTTTTAATGAAAATCAAACAACAACAATATATTATTATCTTCTTACAAGAATTTATCCACCATTTGAATTAGTAGTATTTTTTTGTCTTCCGCTATTCATTAATATATTCTGTACGATACTTATTGTACGAAGTTTACGTGTACGAATGCGTACAGCTAAACAATTTCATCAATCAAAAACGATTAAAAAAGATGAGGAAAAATTATTGAGTAAATCTGAAAAATTTTTATCGTATTTTTTACCTCAAACAACAAATAAAAAATCCAATTTACACAATTGTTTTTGTTTTCAAATGCAATGTCGACAACATACACGTATGCGTTTAAAAATGGGTCGAAGTAATCGAAGTTTAAATAAATATGAAGAAGAAAATCATGTAATTGATAGAAAAAAATCAATTTTATTATTAAATAATAATCAAAATCAAGTAACATCAAATTTATTAATTAAAAAACATCGAACACGACGTACACGTGATATACATTTATCAGCTATGCTTATTAGTTTAAATATTCTTTATTTAATATTAAATTTACCATTTAATTTTCATCAAACATTTGTTACATATTTTCATAATGCAACATCTAGTCAATGTGAAATTATGTTTACTAGTTTATTACTTGATGCATTACAACAAACATTTTTTTCAACAAATTTCTTCTTATATGTATTAACAAATCGACGTTTTCGAGAAGAATTTTATAATACAATAACAAAAATTTTATCACATTGTAAACAACAAAATTCTCCAAGAGAAAATTCAAATAATCAAAGTTATAAATCTCAACAAGCGCGAGCATCAAGTTGTAATCCATCAACAACAATAACTCCAACAAATCAAATATTTCAAGTATTACCTACTGATTATTGTGATAGTATTATATCCGATATAGAATTCACTGAAACATTACCAATACAACATCCTCAACCATTAGAATCGATTGATGAAAATTAGTCGTGTTTGATGATTAAAAGAATATTTTAAGTTGTGAACATATTTGTTTGTATTATTTATGTTATAATAATAATAAAAAAACGAAATCTAATTATCAGTATATTTGTCTTCACTATTTTATTCTATTAGGAAATCTCAAGAGATTTGATAATCAAGATCATAGAATATATTATCTGTATTTTCTACTCATTAAACTTTAGTTCATTTTCTTTGTTGTTATAATTAAAGTATTCATATTTAAATATTTAATCTATTATTAGAGTTCCATATACATATTTATACGTAACAGATTGAATCAATGCCATAGAAGAAAATCTTGTTTGTTAATCAACGTCCTTTAAATATTTATATGTTCAAGGATACGTCAAAAAACCTTGATTTACTTTTAAGATGAAATATGCTCAACAACAACATAGGTTTTTGTCCTTGCTCTTATCGTCACATAACATAGAATGATCACTCTATTACATAATGAGGTGAAGAATGTAGTGTGTATGTGGCATGAGAAGAAAAAAAAACGTCAAGAGAAAAGCGCGATTTATACAAATTATACAGAAAAGAAGAAAAAAAGAATCTTGAATGTATTGCAATAACATATGATTATATGAAAAAAATATTTTACGAACGATTTTGTTGTATATTCAACTATTAAATATTATTTTGCATGGCAGATAAATCTCATTTAATATGGCAAATATTTCAAACAATTCAAGAGAATGATAATGGTCAGATTTTATGGAATTTACTTGAACAAATAACAACAGATAATGGAATTGTTTATATGAAATATGGCAATGAAACACCGCAATCATTAGCAGAAAAACTTCATCGACAAAATCTATTAAAATTAATTCAACTTCATCAAAAATTAACTTATCATCGTGCACAATTTTAAAATAGAAATATACTAACAAAAATATATGTATTTCGTATAGACATACTAGTGAATGTCTTTGTTCTTAACGTCTCCTCTATGTTTTCTTCACCGAATATATATCAAGTACGCATTTTCTGACGCATGATCGCATTTCCAACGGATGTAATTACATTAGACTGCCACCCTTTTTTTTGAAAGTGTTTTTTAATAGTTATAAAAATGGCACTATTTATTATATTGTGATTGTGTGAAAAGTGTGATTATTAGAAGAGTGCCAATGAGACTACCTAGATATATATACGAATGTATTTTTATCCAAATGTCATTTTGTTTTTATAGAATATTCTTAATTTATTCAATATCATCTAACATTTAATATTATAAAAACTTGATTTCCAGTCAATAAATGATCCGTGATAGACCGAGAAACAATAATGATGAATTCTATATGTTACAATAGGGTTCTTAATGTTTATATCAAATAAAATTATTGATCTTTACTAGTTTTTGGGCTTAATATCAAATTTTTCCCAAGGCGTTTTTTTTCTAATCAATTTTCGTAATAAAGAAAAAGAATGAATCATAGCAAATGCATTAGAAAACATTATTATATCTTTTTTACTAGAAAAATAGACACATAAATATCATCATCATATAATCATCTGTAAATTATGCTCAGTATATTTTTTTTCGTATGAATTTGTTTATAATAAAAGGATTTAGTAGTAATCTTTTTAGAATTCTGTTGGTTTTTATCTGTGAGAATTAAGCTTAACGAAATAATTGACAGTACTTTTCTCGATAAGAATAATATTGTTTTCTATTATGCTATCGACAGTTTACAGAGAAGATAAGAGTAATAATCTGTTTGAAAATATGACAACTTTCTAGACTAGAAAATTATAATTATATAGAATTAAAACAGGCAGCTTTTCTTGTCTATTTGAGACGGATAATAGTTTATACTTAATCAAAAAATATGTTATTCATTAATGTATGAGATATTTCGAGGAAAAGTTTTGCTATGTAATTACTATTATTGACCTAATGAAATACTTATCAAGTCATGTGAATTCTAACTAGCGTTCAGTACTTTTCACAAGTTCGTTTGGTTGAAAAAATGTTTTACTCGAATTTGACACACTTTATGTCAAATGAAATAGTACATTAACGACATCTATGAAAAAACTTTTTCAAATCGATTTTAATTTAAAATAATTAAAATCAAAATAATTTATATAATTTTATCGAAAATAATTGTAAATAGTAAATATAATATTTCATATCTGAATGGCTATATTAATATTCAATAATCAACGATTAAAACGTGTTCATTTCACATATTCATATTCCGATTCATTTTTAATAAATTTCTATTAGTTTCTCATCAATCAATAATCATATATAATGCCACGCGGTGAAGAACGTGAACCAGATGAATTATTCGAAATTCGAACTAATTTCTATACAGGCAATTATCAACAAGTAATCAATGAGGCAACAAAGTTAAAAGTTCGTTTTTTCTATGATTCATTATATTCAATCATAAAATTCTTCTTCTTCAGGTTCCACAAAATTTACAAACTGAAAAAGATCTCTTTATGTATCGTTCATACATAGCTCAGAAAAAATATGGTGTTGTACTCGATGAAATTCGCCCAAATGTATCTCAAGAAGAATTAATTGCTGTTCGATTACTAGCTGATTTTCTTGCAAATGAATCAAAACGGTTTGTCTTCTTTAAAATTCAATACACAATAATTTATTCGTATTTTAGTGATAACATTCTTCGTGATCTTGACAGTAAAATGGGTGGTAATGTTAAAAATTCCTTTTGTTTACTCATGACAGCATATATGTATTATCTTAGTGAAGTAATAAATAAAACAAATTTATTTTATTCTATTAAATTGTTTAATTAATTTAGAACTATGAAGTTGCTCTAAAAGTTTTACACAATGCTGATTCATTAGAATGGTAAATTAAACTAAAGAAAAACAAAAAATTAAATTAATTTTTTTATTTAAGTTGTGCATTAACTATTCAAGCTTTATTAAAAATGGATCGTCTTGATTTAGCTAAGAAAGAATTAAAACGAATGACAGAAATAGATGAAGATTCCGTTTTAACTCAATTATCAACTGCTTGGGTCAATATCGCTATAGTAAATTTTCTTTCTAACTAAATTTCTTCTTTATGTATATATATATGATTATTAGGGTTCAGAAAAATTACAAGAAGCTTATTATATATTTCAAGAATTATCTGATAAACATACTGCAACACCACTTCTTTTAAATGGACAAGCTGTTTGTCATATCGCACAAGGAAAATATGAAGATGCACAAACTGCACTTCAAGAAGCACTTGATCGGGTATTTTAATTTTTTGTTTATTTTTGAAAATAATACTTTTTTTGTGTTTAGGATAGCAATGATCCTCAAACATTAATTAATTTAATTGGTCTTTCTCAATTAACAGCTAAACCAATCGAAGTTTCAAATCGTTATGTATCTCAAATGAAAGATTCACATGGAAATCATCCATTTGTTAAAGATTTAGCTAATAAAGTATTTTAGATTTATAAATAAAATAAACAACGAAAAATTATTTGTTTTTCTTTTAGGCTAATGAACTTGATCGTCTTGTTCGCAATTATCAACCAAGTGTATCGTCTTAAATAAAACAAAATTAATTTTTAGCATGATCAAACAATAAAAAAAAGACACTGGGGTGTTTGCATTCTTTATCTTATATTTTATTTCAATTTTGTTCGTTTTTTTTCTTTTGTTCAAAGTAAAAATCATTATCCATCGTATATGTTTTTATCAAAATAATGACTTGTTTTTTTTGATAACTAACTTAGTTACGAAACGAGGATATTCAATATAAATAATATTCGCTTTTCTTATTACTAGAATACATAAAAGGATTAACTAGATCATTTTACCTAGGATGTGAATCGATATTAGTTTCGATTGTACTTGATAAAAGAATTATCAGTTTTGCAAAATGATGCGTACGATTTCGAGTGTATTTACACCGTATAAAGAAACTATGTTATACAAATGAGATCTTATCAACTTGATCTAACATTGAATTTTCGTTTATTTATAGATCAATGGCTATTACAGCAATAGGTTTTGAAGGTAGCGCTAATAAAATTGGTATTGGTATAATTCGTGATGGAGAAGTTCTTTCCAATCCACGTCATACATATATAACACCACCCGGCGAAGGTTTTCGACCAAATTTAACAGCTAAACATCATCAATCAGTTATATTAGATTTACTTGAAAAAGCATTAAAAGAAGCAAATATCAAATCACTTGCTGATATAGATGTTTTTTGTTTTACAAAAGGTCCTGGTATGGGTGCACCATTAATTGTTGTTGCAACTGTTGTTCGAACACTTGCTCAACTCTATAATAAACCAATAATTGGTGTTAATCATTGTATTGGACATATTGAAATGGGTCGTTTAATAACTGGTGCAAAAAATCCTGTTGTATTATATGTTAGTGGTGGTAATACACAAATAATAGCTTATTCAGAACATCGTTATCGTATATTTGGTGAAACAATTGATATAGCTGTTGGTAATTGTCTTGATCGTTTTGCTCGTTTATTAAAATTATCAAATGATCCAAGTCCTGGTTATAATATTGAACAATTAGCTAAAAAAGGTCAAAATTATATTCAATTACCATATACAGTTAAAGGTATGGATGTATCATTTTCTGGTATATTAAGTCATATAAAAACAATTATTGTTGGAAATAAACAAGCAAGAAAAAATCAAAATGAAATTAAACAACATTCATATACAAATGAAGATTTATGTTTTTCATTACAAGAGACATTATTTGCTATGTTAGTTGAAATAACTGAACGTGCATTAGCACATGTTGGTTCAAATCAAGTACTTATTGTTGGTGGTGTTGGATGTAATGTACGTTTACAAGAAATGATGGGTGCTATGTGTAAAGAAAGACAAGCAACTGTATGTGCTATTGATGAACGATATTGTATTGATAATGGTGCTATGATTGCACAAGCTGGTTATGAAATGTATAATGCAGATAAAACTCGAAAGGGTATGACATTAGACGAAACAAATTGTTCACAACGATATCGTACAGATGCTGTTTATGTTTCATGGAGAGATGATTAATAAAATAAAAACTCATTTGAATTTCATATTTTAGGATTGAATCCTATGGATTATATTTGTTTTTGAATTATTATACATAAAATACAATTTTTAACTTGACAAAAAAATTTTGCTTTTTTTTAGATATTTTTTTTTAATACAAAAATGAAATGTATATAATTATATTAGAAAAATTATGTTTAATTGATGCATGACTTCTAAAGATTTATTTCTGCCGAAAGTATTCTCGTTCAGGTTGTAATACAGGTCGAAAAAAGTGAGCTCCGAATTTGAAGTTTTTCAGCAAATTGAAGCTTGTAATTGTGCGCTTTTTATCTTGAGCGTCACCAGTCGACTCAGCACAGTCCAGAGTATCTATTAGAGCATTCAAAAACAAATGATTACAGTTTTCGCGAACACTTAGACATGGGGCACACTTAACTTAACCTGTAATACAATATCGAAAATAGATTAATTTGTAAAGACTTCCGACTTAAAAGAATGATCTATTTTAGACATTAATTTGAATAAATGAAAAATGTCTACAGCTGAATTACGATATGCTAATCAATTAGAAATAATTCGTAGTGAAGAAAAAGATCGTTATATGATAAGTCAATTATCGAAACAATTAGATGAACTTTATACGAAATTATTTGGTTTAAATAATTTTCATATTTATCAAACATATTCACATCGTTTAAGTGAATTCTTATATTATTTAACAACAACATTATCAAATCGACAAACAATTGGTGAAGAATATATATGTTTAATACAATATAATCCGCATAAAAGACAAATTCCATCATTATTACATCGCTTATCAATGGTTTTTATTCGTATATTTGGTGATTTAATATCCAAATATATTTTATCATCATATATAATTAAACCATTAGTTGAAGAATATTTTCATCCAAAATTATCCTTACAAACAATTGAACTTATTTGTAAATTTCTTTTAACATTTATTGAACGAACACATAAAATATTTTTTTATTTAACTGGTTCTTATTATAATATAAGTAAAAGTTTAACACGTATTCGATATCTTATATATACACGAACAACATCAGAGAGTAGTTCAATAGAATTCAAACTTAATCGTACGATGAAATTTCTTAGTTTATGTCTTTGTATTCAACATATTATTGAATCATATCTTGTATTAAAACAAATTGCGCTATCAATAACACAACATCGTCAAGAAATAGATAAAAAAACTGATGAAGAAAATAAAATTATATCGGAAGATTCAATATCTTCAACAGATCATGTTCGTTGTCCATTATGTTATGAATTTGCTATATCAAATGTTGCACTTATACCTGAATGTGGTCATGTTTTTTGTTGGCAATGTATACATACATGGGTTATTGAAAATCAAACATGTCCATTATGTAAAACAAATACTATGCAATCGCGTATTGTTCATTTGATTAATTATTGATTTGCTTTTTGTTATTGTTGATTTTTTTTTTTTATTATTTTTTTAAAGAAATATATTAAATTCAAATTGATTTTTTTTTATTTAAGTGTATAGAAAACATTTGAGAGATATATTATAGTTTGATTATTTGATTTATATTCAAAAGATAGTACAATATAAAATATATTCATTTCGAGATTAGAAAAAAAACTATATGTATGAATGACAAGTTTTAATTATTTGTAGAATAAAAATATAATTGTGTTTTTTTATGATTAAATATTTTTTCAAACTGATCTAATCAGTGTTTTATCTAGCTTTTTCGTCCGAGGGTGCGAAATTAACTGCCGGGAAGGCAAAAATCTCTCTTCTGAGGGGCAAACGTAGAGTTTCAGACTCAAAAAGCATAATTTTTCTGAATTCCGGGGGGCAGGGGTACCCTCCGAGAGGACAAAAAGCCCCGTGCCCCCCCCTGCTGGATAAACCACTGGATATAATGATAAATAGCAATGATTTCAATTAAAAAGCCATCCGATATGTCAAAACAGCTTTTGAACTCAAACTTTGTTCATAAGTAGAGCGTACATAGACTAGAAAAAGTCTCAGATAGATATGGGTGCAAATGGAGATATCGATTTTTTATTAGAATTTTCCTATGAAATCCCGTTTTCCACATAAAATCAAAGTTTTGACGTAAAACTTTGCCCATATCAAGGCCTCTTTCAGAGTTTCTAGGCTGAACATTCCCTTATTGGACATATAGGGTCCCATAAGGAAATTCTAGTAAAAAGTTGATATCTAAACTTACACTCATATCCCCTTCGAGTTTTTCTCTATTCTATATACTCCCTAGTTGAACTCAAAAGCTTTTTGACACCTCGGATGATTTCCTCGTTAGTTCAGACATAGTGAATTAATTTGTTCCTTTATTTTAATTCGGATAGTTTTCGGATATCTAATGCAGTCTTTCATTTCCTCGACTAGTCAAATGACAATTACGTGTCTGAATAATTTTCAACTCCATAATACAATTTTCTAATAATTTTAATTTTAGACTTTTTTTTCTAATTTCTATATGTTTTTAAAACGAATTGTTTATTTTAGTAGAAAAACTCTTCATTTATATTTACAATCATCAACAATGTCGACATTTACTTCACGTATAAATATGGTTACAGGAAATAATGAATGGATATTTGTTGATGATGATGATTTTGATTATAATCAAGAATTAGCACGTTCAGCATTTGCTGATATGCTCCATGATCATGAACGTAATATACAATATGAACAAGCAATTATTAAAACTATTCAAACATTATCAAAATCTACAAAAAAAATTCATGTACTTGATATTGGTACAGGTACAGGTCTTCTATCAATGATGGCAGCGCGAGCATTTAATCAAACAATAAATTCATCTTGTTCATTACGTATAACTGCATGTGAAGTATTTCAACCAATGGCTAAAATAGCTAAAAAATGTATTGAAAAAAATGCACTTTCTCATTGTATTCGTGTTATCGATAAACGATCAACTGAACTTGATTTAGAGAATGATTTACAAGGTGATAGAATTAATATTATTGTTGCTGAAGTATTTGATACCGAATTAATTGGTGAAGGTGCTTTACGAACATTTTCTGAAGCATGTAAACATTTAACTATAGACAATGAAAATCTTCGTATAATACCAGCACGTGCTACAATTTATGTTCAATTAGTTCAATCATCATTTCTTCAAGAATTTCATACATTAAAAAATCTTTCAGAAACGAATCAAAAAATCAAAATTCCAGATGGTTGTCGTCATTTAGCTGGTAATACAATATTCGATTTAAATGCAAATGAAATCAAAAATTATATTCGTCCATTATCAAAACCAATACCAGTATTTGATTTTGATTTTAAATCTCTTAATGATAAAACTAATTTTACTAAAGAAAAAATTCTCGAAAATATTCAATGTGATTATGATGGACAAATTGATGCATTTGTAATGTGGTGGAATCTTGATATGGATGAACAAGGTGAAATACAATTAGGTACAATACCTAGTTGGTGTTATGATGATAAAGAAAAAGAACAAAATGTTCAATGGAGAGAACATTGGATACATGCCATTTATTATCCACAACAACCAAAAATTGTTAAAGCAAAAGATCAGGTAGATATATTATTTGACTCTTGTTGAATTTCTCTCACCTAAACTTTCATAAGAAATATTACAAATAACAGGTGAATAAGCCTCTTAGTATAATCTAGCATAGAAAAAAAGGTTTTTTTTATAGAAAGATTCTCTAAATAGTCTCGATTATCTTCTGACATGCGATACCATTGATTGGCCCAAGAAACACAACTTTTTTATTTTTAGGTATCATTATATTGTTTTCATGATGAATATAGTTTATATTTCGATGTTGGTATATCACCATTTCCACCTAAATCATTTACACCAGCATTTCTTAGTCGTTCAGCTGTAGCTGGATTTAATAATGATAAACGTCGTAATAAATATATTCAAGCACTTGAAAAATCTTTTTCAAATCCATCTATAAATCGTTGTTTATATATTGGTGATGGTCTTTTACTACCATTACTTATACTTGAGATGTATCCAAATATCGAATTAATTATTTTACAATCATCAAATATTCATTTAGCTCATACGTTAGAAAAAATACTTACAAATTCATCAAAACAATTAAATTATCGAATTATTCCATCATTAGATAAAGAAAATATAGATTTTCAAACAATTGATATGATTCTATCTGAACCATTTTTTACTAAATCAATTTTACCATGGGATAATCTTCATTTCTATTATCTTATACAACAATATCATCATTCGAATATAAAATTATTTCCATCAAAAGCTCGTATACGTTGTATAGCATTAGAATTTGATAATTTATATAAAATTCGTTCACCAGTTAACCAATGTTGTCAATTTGATTTAACACCATTTGATGAACAAATTCTTCAAGCATCATTAAATGTTGATGCAACAATTGAACCACAATCATTATTTGAATATTCATCAAAGAAACCAACACTTTCATCAATCATTGATCTGATTGAAATTGATTTAGAGAAAATTTCTCAGAAAAATAAAATTGAAACGATTAATTTAGATATTCCATTTAATGTTGATGGTATTTGTAATGGTATTGCATTTTGGATTGATTATCAATTAGAAGATAATATATGGTTAACAACTGGTATTGAAAATGAAAATGATTCTTGGGCTAATTATTCAAAACAAGGTGTTCATCTTCTATTAAAACCAATTGAAATAAAATCAGGCATGAAATTATCAATTAATGCAGCTTTTGATTTTCAAAAAGGACAATTTAGTTTTAATATTATTTCTTAAAAGAAAGATATATACTTTTTTCATATTCCGTTTTGTTTGTTATTGTTTAATATAAAGTTTAACAAAAAAATTGATTAACACATAAATCAATCTAACATCTGGATATTATCTCATGTCTATTCTCTATGTAACATATATATATATATTTCAATGATGCATTTATGTTTCCAATAATGTGGGATAAATTCCTCACTATTAGATAGTATGCATACTCATCTAATTATCCGAGAAGAAAAAAATTTCGATTGACGAGATATTTCCGCAAAGAAATTATTAATTAATCATTCAGGTTTTTATTTTTAACATATACAAATAAATCATAGATTGCACATTAATATTAATTAGAAGAAAAAAAATTCTTTGAATTAAAAGCTGAGAATTGAATGTTATTTATAAACAATTATTTTTTTTTCCATGACAATCTATTTGTTGTCATATCAAGTGATACTTTGCGTTTTGCACTTCTGTCTAATATAGAGTATCACTACTCATAACACCAGGTTTGCTTCATCACGACACCATCAAGGTAAAATGCTAGTATTCATACTGCTGTTGCTACTGCCGCCGCTTGCTGCCTTCTGTTGTTTCTCCCAATGTCTCACATCGATCCGACCGTCAACTTTTGCTTCATTCATCTGTTCTTCTCTTTCGCATCAACCAGCATATACTCTCCACACGCACACATCTATTCATTTTTATATTCCTACACACATACACTCACATCTACCTGAGTCGAGAACATGGATAGACAAAAGAGAAAAGCTGACGCCGTATGCTCGCTTACAGTTAGTCTGTCGACCATTGCTTTAGGAAGCATCCGACAGGATGATAATAGCCGTTCACTTTTTTCATTTATATATTCGTTTGCTTATACTCTCTCTCGCCCATCATATATTTATTCATTCACTCACTCACTCATTCGTTCGCTCCTTCGTCCGTCCATATAGTACAACGAATGGGCGAAATAAATGCAATTGCTTTTTTAGTATGTATGTGTGCGTGCTTTTGCTTATAGTCTTTCGAACGAACAAACGTGTTCTTTTGCTTGACAGCATGCATCTCACTTGGAAGGAGTAGTAGTCGTTGTAGACGAAGTAGTAGCGGTGGTGGTAGTCGTAGTAGCAATAACAGTAGCAATCTGTAAGATGGGCGAACGCACGAAAAGAGTAATAAAAGGGAGAGAAGAAAAAAAGAATGCATTTGGCAAGCAACCAAAGCTAGCAATAACAACCTTCATTTTCTTTAAAGAATATCAAATGCATATCTTCACAAGCAAATATATATATTTTGTTATATAAAGTCAACTAGAACATTATTATAATGCAAACGAATAGTAAAGTAATTTAATATTTAATTAGAAATAGGTAATATTAGTTCTTATAGTTTTTTTTAGTTATTTAGAAATAATGAAAACGAACATATATTTTTAATTATATTTATCATTATTAAAGATTGAATATCGAAAATTTTTTAAATAACTATAGAAATTTGTCATCAGATTAAGAAAAAGAAAGTTTTTTTTTCTCCACCTCTTCTAGCACTAAGCAACAGGCTATCTACGATAACGAGGGAATAGAAATCGAAAGAAAATGAGGAAAAAAAGGAGAAGAAAAGAAAGAGAACGGTCAAAATAGAGAAGGTGACACTATGTACTAGTAATCGTTTTTGTTTGTTGTTGATATTCTCCGTATTGTCATTATTCGTTTCTATATATGTCCAGACTTACATATATATATATGATTAGGTTATCAGAAAAAGTTATATCGTATAAATATAGCAATTAGAACATTTTTTTTCTGTCTATTCTATACGACATTGTCACTTGTCTTATATTGATTTCTTGACTTTTTTCAATTGTACTGTAATCGTTGACATTTGTCTTTCTAATCCTATATCATGTGTACACCACCCCATAGCAGTCAATATGTTTCCGGAATATATATATAGAAGAAAAAAAAAAGATATACTGGCTACCCAAGCCCATTACTAGACTTTGTAATTATTTTCTTTTTAATATAGTCGGCAACATTGCTACAAGTATAGCCCTTCTTCATCATCAACCTCTATGTAACATTAGGCAAAAGTACTTGCATTTACACTGGCGGCGTCTATAGCTGACTGGCGTATATGTCCTTGCTTGTGCGTGTATACGCCTACCCTTCCTTAACTGTAAAAAAGAAGAACAGACAAGAAATCGACGACTTTGCTTTCCGTCAAAGCAAAACTGCAATGGTTGTTGGGTGCATCAAAACGTATTGCAAACCAACCTTGGTGGATACTCTAAACGTGCTGCTCATTGGGTGTCACATATAGTAATGAAAAAGAAAAAAAGAGAGAAGAAAACAGATACAGACAACTACAAAGATATGTATTTAGTTATTATTTATTTGAAATGTCGAAAAAATATATTTGCGAATGAGCAGACATAAATAAGGTAAGTTGTTTTTCATTGAGAAAGCTATCTATTGAATAAAGAATAGAAAATATATATTCATTGAAAATCAACTACTATTCTTATTTATTTAAACATAAACGATTGTATACTTTGCATTTATTTTTTCTATAGTTTTCATTATAGAGAAAGGTGATTCGAACTATATAGATTCTTCTGCTACTGCATTTTGCCTTGTCGTTTAGTCTGCCTGCACCAGCTCGACGCACATATATGCACATGCGTCTATTCTTCTCTTTTCTCCTTCTTCGACAAGGCAGACAGCAGAAGCATACACGCGGCATACGCACACACACACATAAGCATAGTGATCATATCGGAAGACAGAGAGAGAGAGAGAGAGTGAGAGAGAAAGAAGGCAACCGCGTCGGCGGTCAACTCTATTTCGCTCTTGTCACTCCGATATAATATACTTCGTATATTTGTAGATTAGATAGACAACTATATACTTTCAGCAAGATGATGATGGACACTACCGTCGATACTGACGGTACGGCGTTCATTTGTCCTGAATGCAATTTTAATGGTAAAAGCTTACCAGAATTAATTAGCCATCTAGATGAAGCACACAGTGAAGGTTTGTTTATTTTTCAATTTTTTTATCTATTAAAATCTTCTTATTTATGTATTTATATAGAAACTGCAAGTAGAAGCGAAGCACCACCAAAAAATCTTTCATCAACAGTACAACCAGAAAAACGATCGAGACGCAAACCAGCTTTTAGTCATCAAGTAATATTTTTTTCAAAAAAATTTTCCATATAAAATTTTCTTTTTTAAAGATTATTTCTCAAGCATCTCGACCATCACCCGTTATATTCAATCAACAAATTCAATCAAGTATTGAATCAGGTATACATCTGATTAGAATCTGATTGTTTATTTGGATTTTTTTAAATAGATTCAAATGAACTATGGAATCGTATTTCACCATCGGATAGAAATGAACCATCAATCTTTCATTCCCATATTACAGATGATTCATCAATATCAATAATTAGTGATGAAAATACAAATATAAATATAAATTCGAAACATTTACCAAACTCAATGTGTGTCACTAAACGTAATCCAAATGTACTTCATTCAATTCTTAGTCAACAACGACCCATAGCACCAAAAAATGGTTCACCAACATCAACAAAAAGTAAATAAAAACGAAAAAATGACTTCATTCTATTTTCATTCTATTATTATTAGTAACACCAATATCATCACCAACTACAGATAACAATTCATTTTATTCACCTATACATTCATCTATACAACCATATAGAAAAAATTTTCAATGTCGAATGTGTCATTTAACTTATAAAGTAATTTCTTTCAATGATATTTATTTTAATTTATTGTTTTATTTTAGAATTTTCATGATTGTACAGCACATATACGTAAAAAACATGAAATAAGTCATGCACAAGCTGGACGATATGTTGAAAAACTTGATACAGATGCAACATTACCGCCATCAGCAACAGGAAATTATAAATTTCGTGTTAAAGGTAAATCATTACCGCCACAACAAATAAATTTTCCATCAACAATTAAACGAACTTCATTGACATCTAATATGAATAATGTATATCAATGTAATTATTGTTCATTTACAAGTAATTATCCTCATGAAATAAATAAACATCAACGTATAATACATCCAAATTATCCTCCACATATATTTCCACAAGAATATCTTAATGAAGATAATGAAATAAATAATAATAATAATAGTTATAATGATGATGATGATAATAATGATGATGAAGAAGAAGGTATATCAACACTTTTAATTGATCCAATACGAGCTTTTGGAGAAGTTATTGATACAATTGAAAATGACAATGAATGTCGTGATGAAGAAATTTTGATAGAACATGATATTGATGATGATGAAGAAGATGCGTAAGAATTTAATAGAATTTCTTTTATTTATATTCTCTTTTTGTTTTTCTAAATAAGTCTTTGGAAATATCAGCAAGAAATAAATGATTTATCCGAATCAGATATGTTTACAAATAATAATCATTCAAATTATTCATTATCGAAATCATTTAAAAAATTTCGTTGTCCACATTGTGAACATTCGTATGTTACTTTTACATGTTTGATTTTTATTTCTATTCTTAAATTTTTAGAGCACCAACATTAACGAAACTTAAACTTCATGTTGCAACACATATTAATATTAAACCATTTATGTGTTCAATATGTGGATGGAGAGCAAATCTTCGATGGTATATTCAGGTATGTAAATATTGCATACTTCTTAACAACTAGCTTTCTTTCGGTAGTACTCATTTCACATATACTGGACGAACCGATGAATGTAGTGATTAGTTTAGTCGTTAGAATATGAACGCTCTCCTCAAGCGCTTGATTGATAGTGTTATGTTCGAACTAGTAGATCATCTGAATTTCGGTAGTTTGGCTTTAGGCGAAGTATATGTATACAAGAGAAATTTCAATGAATATTTATTATATTAAATATAATAGTCAAACCTTTCAATAGAGAACACCTATGTAACTGTCTAAAAGCATTCATTATAGGAAGGTTAACGTTTTGCGACGAATCAAACGCATTTTTTTTAATATTTTGAAGGTTATTAATAAATCAGATTTTTAACAAGCGTTCACTGATATTTCTTATTTGATGTCCCTTAAATGATTAAAATCTAGAATGCTCTTCATAATATGAAAGCACTAATATTGCTGAAATTTCTCTATGAAAAAATGATTTCAATTAAATAATAAAGAAAAAGTGAAGAGATTGTGTGAATTTATTTCTATTTGATAGTGTCATGCAAGAAAACGTCATTCAAATATGAATTTTGAAGTCTTACAATTATCTCATGAAGAAGCTGAACAAACAATAAATGCTTATATGAAAGAACGAGGTCTTGATATAAAATTAAATGGTAATCAAGAATCAAAACGTTATTATCAATGTTCATCATGTCAATTTCGTGCAACACATCCAAAATTTCTTGAACAACATATAACTATTAATCATCCAAATAAATCCTATACAAAAATGATTCCTAATAATAAAAAACATCAAATCAATAAACTTAATTCTTTAATACAACAAACAAATGGTCATACTATAAAATCTACACATATTAATGAACAACATAATGATGATAAACTTTATTCGAAATTTATGATAAAATCTTCAATAAAAAAATCAAATGGTGGTGGTGATTATCATCATGATGATAAACAATCATCATCATCATCATCTCAAGCACTTTATAATCGTTCAAGTTTAATACAATCCGATGGAACTGTTATTTTACCTGATCCATCACAAATTGTTTATCCAAATTTTTCTACACATGCAAATTTTAATTCCAATCGTTTATTTTATTGTGCATTATGTTATCGTGGTTATCGTTGGCGTTATGATGTTAAACGTCATCATAAAACAATGCATGAAACACCTGAAGATGAAGCTGCTATGGGCTTATCAATGAGTCCAAAATCAATAAAACGTCGTAATAAAGAATTTAATCGAAATTTTCGATATTTAGAATATGTACCACAGTTAGATGGTCTTATACCAGCATCAATGTCAAGTGTAAATAATAATCATATATCATCATTTAAACATGAAAATGGTTTAGATGATGAACATACATTTGAAGAACATATAACTGATGATGATGAAAGTCAAGATGATGATATTAAATTAAGTATTGCCGATGCACGGACAGTTGATATAACTGAAGATGAAGCAGCAGCATTATTAATGATTGAACCACAAAAATCTGATCAAAGTTCAATACTTGTTACTGATCATGTTGATGATTCAATAATTATATTTGAAGATGATCGTTTAAAAACAAATGAAATATGTAAAACATCAAATCGTACATCAACTGGTTTTAAACCATATCGTTGTCCATATTGTTTTTATCGAACAAATTGGCGTACAGATTCATTACGACATATACGTGCACGACATAAAATTGAACCAACACAAGATGGATATTATGAAATGACATCGGATGATGCTGAAAATACTTATGCGGAATATGAACGTACATTTGGTTTTGTTGTTTCAAAAAAAGTTTTGGGACGTTTTACGGATTTTCGTCATATTGAATGGCAAGATTTACAAAAATCAATATGGGAAAAAATTAAAGATAAACAAGGTTATGAACAAATTATTTATGATCGTCTTCGACCTGATAATTATTCTGATGTATCAAAAAATATGTCACCTGCACCATTACAAACAATTGTAACAACACCAACATTAAATAAAACACCATCATCATTATCTGTAATAAAACCGAAACGAATGTTTACTTGTATGGAATGTGCATTTCGTTCACATAAACTTGTAGAATTAGATAAACATAATTGTACACAAATTCAAAAAGTAAAATTTTTTCTTCTTATTATTTAAAAATTGAATTATTTTTATTTAGTTTAAAAATGAAAAACCTCATGGAAAATGTCTTATTACACTTTATGAATGTACGAAATGTTCATATCGAACAATATATAAAAATTATGCAAGAAAACATATTTATTTACATCGATTTAAAAATAATAATAATCTAAAAATATTTTATTATTGCTCATTTTGTGGATATAATCATCAACAACGAAATATTATTACTGTACATATTGCTAAACATCATCCAATGATAAATACATTAACAACTACAATTTCTTGTCAAGTATGTGTAAATATTATAAAATCTAATCACAAAGTATTTACTTAGTAAAGAAATTAACTGATAAGAATAAGTACAATTGAAATAATGATACTCAATTGTATTTCGATCTAATAATAAATAGGAAAAAATCCGAATAACTCACGAATGCAGAGCGATAACGAAGTGTGGCTTTCACTACGACATAGAAGAGACTTTGACGCACATATTTAAGTAAGATTAAAAACCCTACTGAGTCAGTTTTTGACTTCCTTCCGTAGTCGATAATATCCAATGCTCATACGAAGTATTAAGTTTTAAAAAGATTCCGTTTATAGGTTAAATCATCGGCCTCAAAGGGTTAATATAGTCAATCTAGAGAATGTAATCAAAATCGGTTCTATAAGGGTATTCCAGATCGTTATCAAATAATACTTTCGCCAATGGTGAAACTTTATTGTAATTTCGCCAATTGAATTTTATTGATTTAAAAATAAATATGTTTTTAGTATAATTGTGATGCCGATTTTACAATAAAACAAGTTAGTTTATATCGATCATTTATTGAACGTCAATTAACTAATTATCAATTAAATAAATCTCGAGTTTTCTATTGTACGACTTGTCCACATGTATCAACATCAATATTAGAACATAATCATCATCAATTATGTCATGAAGAAAATCCAATAAATATTTATAAATGTTCATATTGTTCATTTGCATCGAATTCTTTATTATATACAGTAAATAAGAAATTTCTATTATTGTTTTGTGTATTAATTTGAAATTATTTTAGCATCAACATAATTTATTGCATTCAAAAACAAGTCGATTATTATCATTATATACAGATACAAAAAATTTAAAAGATCTTTGTGAGTAGTTTTTATTTTTCCAAATAGAAATATTTTTATTTGATATATTTTATAGCTGCTTCGATGATTTTTAAAGAAACTCTTGGTAAAAATCGTCGTTATCATTGTCCATTTTGCAGAAAATTTTCTTCAAGTACTTCATCAGTCGTACTTTACCATATTAAAGTATATAATTTCTCTTTTTTATTTTAATTATTTAATTAATTTCTATTATTTTAGAATATTCATACTGGGAACAGTAACCAACTTAATGATAGTTTAATGATCGGCTCGGATATGGCCAAAGAAATACTTGCATTAGGAAGTAATTATTATAAATGAGAATTTTTGTCTTGATTTATTTTTAAATATATTTAGAGACGGTGAATGATGATCAACAGATGGATATTAGTTGATTATTCTCCAGGAGAATGTTGCTCAAATATGTTCATTCGAACTAAGAAGAAAAATAAAAAAAAGAAATCTAAACATACATTTTTTTTGTATTATGTCAGATGTTTTTTGTTTCTTTTGTTCTATTCCATTTTGATTATTAACCTGCAATGATGTATCGATATTTGTTGATGTTATTGCTATTATTTTTTCTCTTTTGGTTATTCTCATAGTCTGATGTTCAATTTATATGAACATTATTCTTTTTTTTTGTTTTCCTTTCTTGATGAACATTCATCTTCATTATTGCATCAAACACATTCTAATAACTTCATTTGTACACTATGTGTTCAGAACTAAAATTAGAGAAAAACTGTTCTTTCCTTGACAATAGTATGTTTCTGTAACGGTCTTCTTTTTTTCTTCTTCTTGATCATCTTCTTTTTCTTCTTTATCATTTGGTCTTCTATCTATTTTTGTTGCCTGTTTAACTCTATACCAAACCTATGAATCTGATTCTCATTCATATAGTGTTTCTGTTCTTTTCTCCGTGCTTGATTTAGATCATGGATTAATAGAAGGATAACGAGACTTTATTATGAATGAAAATAAAACTAACGAAAAAATGCTTATATTCATTTATATTTCAATAGACAAGATAATATTTATAAGATTAAAGAAAAGTAGAGTTCGATGAGGTATAAAAAAACCAGAACGAATTGGTGCCCTCATGTATTTATTCTCGACTTGCTACGAGATATTTCGAATGCTACATTATTCAAATGAAATCGTGCTCATAGACAGATCTCATTGGTGCTAGAATAGATGCATTCTTCTTGAAACAAACGAATTATAAAAAACTGATCCGTCTTGGATATCCACTGTCTCGTGAAAGAAGCATTCGTCCGAGCTAGGACCTGTAGAATATCCGAACGCCGATGATATTTGTTTATAAGCATAATTTCAAGTGAACATTACAGCAGTCGAATTTTTTTTAAGTATCTCGCAGCAAGTCGAGAATAAAGACGTGAGAGCACAAATTCTTTTTAGTTTTTTTATACCTTATCGAGGTCTGCTTATTGTCAAAAGATGTAATTCAAACGGCTTAAATATAGTGGCATAACCAGGATTTTGCCCTAGCGAAGCCGATTTTCATTCTCTTTTAATCAAGATCGTCTAACAGTCTGAGAGAATCTCAAAATTTCCTAGGGAGACCTCAAAAATTTCTAGGAGGAGCGGTGCTCCCTATAGCTCACCCACTAGCTACGCCACTACTTAAATATATTCCCCTTAATATTCAATTCAACTCAGTACGTTTTAAATTTGTTCACGTGTGTTAATCTATATTATTTTTCTGTTAATATCATGATTTCATGTTTATTTAATATTGTATAAGAGAAAAAAAATGATAATAGACAAGATTAACAACAACAACAACAAAAAAATATATATATAATGAAGAAGATTTGATTTTTGAGACATTAAAATTTACAGTTATCAGGTGGCATAAATGTTGTACGTTGTTGTTCTTTTCGTTTTTCTTGTAAATCAGCAAAGAATGTTGTTACATCAGTAGCTGTTAATACTCCATCACCATTTGCTTTATCACGAAGAAAATCACCAAGTGATTTTTTAAAATCATTAATACCTTGTAAAACTTCTAATTTTTTAACATGATCAAGTTTTTGTAATGAACTAGCTAATAATTTATCGGCATCAAGATTTTCACTTTTAGCTAATGCTTGTTTTTCATATTCTTGTATAGCATCATCATCATTAAATACAACTGTAAGATTTAAATCATCATATATTTTCTAAAAAGAAAATATTAACAAAAACAAAACTTTTTTCAATTAAATACTTACACAACATTGAACACATCGACATAATCGATTTCTCCAACCATCACGTAAAAAGATTGTATGAAGTTCATTTTCATTTACATTTGAAGTAAGAAAACATGGTGGGTTATTACTAGCAGCTAAATTTAAAAATCATATGAACAAAGGAATTCATTCACTCAGTATACATGCTGAAGTATTTAGAAATTTGTATGTTTACTCTTGAATTTAAATATTACACTATTTCAATTACTCAAATATAAAGGCTCACGATGTATGACCCACTCTTTTTAATTTTAGTTTCTAAATGATAGAAATAATCAATTTTGCTAATTAAATCATTTCTTATTTACTGATGTTCTACTCTAGTTAATTATACTATTAAATACATATACAAATTTCCTTTTAATATTATAGAGATAAGAAAATCTCACATATGCTTACCAGCATTGTTTTCTACTGGGCGTGATGGAATAGCACTAGACTCTAAAAAAACAATCATGTTTAATTATGAATTTATTTCTCATTTTTCTAACCATCATATTGAGCTAAAAATGGATGTTTAGTTACACATGCTTGGCATATCATATCCATTTGATCAGCTTCATTTTCTTCCATAGGTGTTGGAACACCCAAATGCTACAAAACAGTTCTTAAAAAATACAAACAAGAAATCGTTTTTTTCTGTTTACTTGACTATGAAACCAATCTTCGCATATCATACATTGAATCATAGCATCATCATCGGACTATTTTGTAAATAAAAAAAAGAATTGACTTATGATAGAATTCTATCAAAATAATTTACTGGTAATTCTTTATCTGGATAAGGACGTTTACATGTACAATATAAACCACGAAAATTATCATCATATTTATTTGAAACATTTTCTGGATCTTTATTCTAATAAAATTCAAAGTTAATATTTTTCTTGTAAAATTAAATTATCTCACTGGATAAAGTTTACATGGTTGATGGCTTAATTTTGAATTTCCACAATCACACCGAAAAAATCTAAAATAATTCATATGGAAAAAAGTTTTTTTATCATTTATTTTAAGTTAAATACCGTCGTGTATATAATTCATTAACTTCATGATTATTATGACAATGAAATGCACATGCTGCACAAACACCAGCTAATTGTCCATTCCCATTATTATTACATGTCATACAAACAAATAAAGCTTGTCGTTTAACATATCCTTGTGGATATGTACATGTATCTGTATCACAATTACCATAGAGTGCACGTTCTCGATCTAATTCAGCTTCTTCATCATCAATTTGTTCAAGTAATTCACTACATGTTACTATTTCTTCATTTTCACCGTCATTAGTAGACATTGATTAATTTTCTAATTAAATAAAGAAAATATAGTACTTTATCTACACGATGAAAAATCTTCGTATGTCATTTTTCTGTTCGTTAAAATGAACCCCTCCCCGTAATAAAAGGGCCGGGGTCTTCTATTATGGTTTCACAACTTGCACTTTTTTGTGGAAAAATCACCCTCCACTTCCTACGGCGGTTTTTCCCGATTTTTGCTCCAGAGGGGCCTTCTATTGTAGAGGGGCGTTTAAAGTCAAGATAGGATATCATAAAATATTAAAAGAATCATACTAATCGATTCATTAGAGATCACAAAATAGTTCAAGCTGATTAGATTCTAATTCAACAATGATTCTTCTATACTAATCATATGACAGTTTATCAATAAGATATATGTCAAATCTTGTCAATACACTTGAATTTTATGGATTGAAAAATGTAGGTGTAAAACAAATTTTATTTAATCAACTGACCTTATTCCCTAGCGACAAACTATATATGTAAAGAAAATGATTGTTAATCATTTTAACTGAAAAAGTTTAGTTCATTTTAAGAGTAAATAATTGACTGACACAATACCAATTAGTATCAACAAGATATTCTTTTACTTTCAAAATGAATCTACCACTTTAGTCGTTCTATTCTTTTCTCGATAGAATATAACATTAGCTTACCTATATAACTCTCGGTTATTTAAGTAAAAGTATTTTTTATTTCGGCGATGTTTTTTTAAAAGAGTATTTCTAGAACAAACCAAAAAAAAAACAAGATGATGAATAATGACATGATGTCCTAGAACAGTGCAAAAGATTAATAGAAAAAAAAATGTAATAACGTTAAAAACACAACAACAATAACGATAACAAAGTCATTCATCAGAGGGTGAAGGGCATCATATGCACACGCACACATTCACACACACACACACGCGCACATTTGTTGTCTAATTTTTCCTAATCATTTAATCATCATTATCCCATCCTTTGTTTTCCTTTGGTTTTGGTCCACCAGCTGGTTTAGCACAAATAATTTCATCAACACTTAAAACCGTACAAGCAGCTTTTGTTGCAAATAAAATTGCCCATTTTTTTGTTAAATATAAATCATATAATTCATTCAATTTCACATCACCTGTATCATATGTTATATCATTGGATTGTGTTGCTTCAGATTGAATTTGTCCAATAACAAAACCCAAATTAGGATTATCATGATGACCAACATAAAGTTTAGCTAAAATTTCTGTACTTTTAACACCTGAGTTTTCTGCAAGAATTTTTGGTATAAATTCAAATGTTTCAGCAAAACGTTGAATAGCATATTGTTCAATTCCAGGACATGTACGAGCATATTCCGAAAGTTTTGATGCTAATTCAATTTCTGTTGCACCACCACCTGGTAATAACATTGTATCACGTGTTAATGCTTTGAAATTATTAACAGCATCATCAACAGCTCGTTCACAATCATCAAGAATCTAGAAAAAACAAAAAAATTTATTTCTATTTTTCTCTATTTCAAAACTTACTTGATCAGTTGATCCACGTAAAATTATTGTTGAAATATGTGATTTTTCATGTTTAAAAATGATAACATGTGTTTCACCAATTTCATCAACATAAATTGAATCACAAGCACCAATTTCGTCATGTGTTGGTGCACGAAGTTTTGGTAAAACAACAGCATCAATTGTTTTTGCAACACGACGTAAATCAAATTTCGACATTAAACGTACAGTCATTATTTTATATTTATTTAAGAAATGAAGTGCCATTTCACCAACTTTACCTCCACTAACAATAACATTAATACCCATATCAGCTAAAGCTTTAATTTGATATTCAATACTTGCTTCTTCATCTTTTGAAAAAGCTAATAATTCATCAGCTGATTTTAATAATACTGTTCCTTTTGTTTCTGTTACTTGTATATCAATTGGACAACTAAATACAGCAATTCGTGCTTGATTTACTCGTGTTATTTCAGATTCAACTTCACGTTTTAATACCATGCCGGGTATCATTGTTGATTGAAATAAACCTCCACCTAAGATTTTACATATACGAACATTATCAACATTAAATGAAGCGGATGAATCACTTCCAGTTACTGTTAAACATGCTTTTGTTACTAATTCACCTAAAAATTCATGATAACCAAATAATTTACTTCCAATAGCTGTTTGAAGAACTTTTGAAACAATTGGTTCATTATCACGTAAATTTTCTTTTGTTAAATTAGCTTTGATTTCAAATGTTGGAAGTAATTCTAATGTTTTTTTTAATGCTAAATTAAATCCATCAGTTATTTCACTCGGTGATAAACCCATACGAAGAAGACTTTCAGCATTCTCAAGTAATTTAGCTCCAAACAAAATAACATAATTTGTTCCATCTCCAATTTCTTTTTCTTGCATATCACTTGCTAACATTAAAATTTTTGCTGCTGGATGAACAACATCAATTTCACGAAGAATTGATGCGGCATCATTTGTAACAAATAATTTTTCAATATGATTTATAACCATTTTATTTAAACCATTAGGACCAAAACTTGATGTTGTTGTTTCACTTAATTCTTTGCAAGCATTTATATTACGATAGACAGCTTCTTCAAGACCTACGAAAATAAAAATTTTTATTATTCTTCTAAAAGAAAACACTTCGGATTGGGTGAAGAAAAAAGAAAATACATCGTTTTATTTTAACGATAGTGAATAAATATTTCACTTTTTTTTCGAATTTAGAAATAAAACGGCTAAGTTTTAATTAATTCGTGAATACAAAAAATTGATTAGATGATTGTTTAATCACTTACCATGCGTATATTTTGCTCCTTCTTTCATCATAGAAGCGAAACCGGGTGCTCTTGGTACGTGCATAGCCATTTTGATATTTGATTTATGGAGATGAAATTACTTGTATAAAGATATTATCTAAAAATAGCAATAAGAAAAATTTTAATAAATATCCTATGATGTTCAAATGAACATATATATATATTTATAGAGTTTCTTGTCATTTGTTACCGTTTATTTGAACAATATATTTCGTTAGATACGGGTTTATATATTCATAAAACTATTATTTATGAAACAAGTTATCATTAGTTGAACTCTCATTGTTACTAACTATTCCTAAACAAAGTACTGAAATGACTTTTGTTGGTTAATATATAATAGTCGATGGTTAGATCTATCAAATAATATAAAAGTAAAAGAAAGAAAAAAGAGAGAAAATCTAATCTGTTAGTTACCATTATTGTTGTTGTATTACTTAGTTTGTTTGATTGGATACAAGAATATAACATGTATGACTGCCTTCATAATAAAAATACTTTAGATATATTTTGAAATATTTAATATTGATTATACCTTTTCTTTATTTAATTTTTCTTAATTTTCGACTTTTTAGTCATCGATCAAACCTGACATCTATCGAATTAGAAGAATTATAATCAATGTTTTCTGAAAGAACATTTACTTGATTTTTATCATATTTATTGGGCTATCACGAGCAGGGAGAGAGGGGAAGTGACTCCCTCCAAATATGAGTCTCAGTTGAATGTTGACTACCTGGGTAGGACTGTCATGAACCGAGAGTGGGAGGTGATCCTCTCTCCAACCCCGAAAGGTTTGCGACAGCGCTGCATATTTATTTTCTTAGTTTATTTAACACAGATGAACAATCATATAAAATTTACCTGTTAACAAAAACTAGATTCAAGTTACAACGTTGCACAAAGTATTATTAAATTACATGCATATTAATGTTTCTATTAATAATGTATTCAATTTTTGAATAAAATATACTCCTCCTATTTAATGTTTCATTTTTGTGACCCATCATCCTTATCAACTATAAGATTTGAAAAAAAGTTGTTTTTTTCTAAGAAGCTTTCTTTTTATTCCGAATCAATGAAAAGATGTGCCAGATTTCTTTTTGTATAAGATTCTTTACAAATTCATATAGAAAAGGAAATACTTTCAAAACTACTTTCTGGTCTATTACACATCCATAGATAAAATATATTATCTAGGCTTTTTATTGAATATCTAGAAAAGATTTTCTAAGAATATAAGTTATGCATAAAATTAAGTCATAATAAGTTCTTATATCAAGATGAATATTCCTGACGACATCTTTTCTAATACTGTAGAGGGCTATGCGTTTATGTCTTCCTTAGATGTTCAACACTTGGCAACCAAATACATTTATGTCCTCAATAAAGGTGAAAAAGAAAAAAACATAAACAATGAAGGTATGACGCATTAAATAGTCAACTTTTTTCTCTCTACTCCTGTGAATGAGTACAAGAGAAAGAAAAAAAAATAGTGTTTTTGTCATTGATTATTCACTATTCTACTTCTTTGTTTTCTTATTTTTCTAGTTCAATGCCATATAATTCGTAATAAAATATTCTATTTAATATATTTATAACTGCGTCTTTGAAACAAAACTTATTTCAATATAAACAGTCATGGGTGGAACACCTTGCAAAGGCACACCAAATAGTAACAAGTAAAATTTATTCATATTAAATTAAAAAAGAAAAAAACTTTTTTCATTTTTTATCTCATAGAACCATTAGTATTGCTATTCTCGGTTTAGATAATGCTGGTAAATCATATAATATAAAGTCAATTTTGATATAATTTTTTTTTTGTTTTTGCAGGAAAAACAACAACAACTCGAGTATTAGAAAAAGGTATCATATATATATTTATTTTTTCTATAAATATTTAATTAATTTAATATTTTTAGCTCCAGTTGATTCTGTTGCACCGACAATTGGTTTTTCTCAAACGGAAATAACACATAAAAATGAGAAAATTAAATTAATTGATTTAGGTGGTGCAAAAACATTTCGTGAAGCATGGCGTCATTATTATGATGATGCATATGGATTTGTTTATGTTCTTGATTCAAGTGAAGAAGATCGTCTTGGAGAAAATCGTGATGTATTAAAAAGACTTTTACAAGAAGAAAAAGTTAAAGGAAAACCAATTCTTATGTATATATATTTCAAACAAATTGAACTTAAATTTTTATTTTATTTTGTCCATTTAGTTTGGCAAATAAACAAGATAAAGCTGAAGCACTTGATAAAAATACAATACTTGAAGATTTAAAGATTGAACGACTTGTGAACGAAAATCAAACATTATGTCGAGTGGTAAGAGAGAAAATATATTGAAAATGAAAATTTTATTTGCTTTATATATAGGAATTATGTACAGCAAAATCAATGAATCGTAATGGAAAAAATTCTAATATTGATGAATCTATTCGACATGGATTCGATTGGCTTATTAAAACAGTTTATGAAAATTATGATATTTTACATAGACGTGTAGATCAAGATGTACAAAAACGTAATGAAGTTGAACTTAAAGCTAAACGTGAACGACAAGAACGTGTACAAAGACTGCGTGAAGAGTAAAAATAAATTTTGTTTTTTTCTTTAAATAATTAATTAATATTAATTTAGACGAGAAAAACAAGAAGCAGAAGAAGATAATAAAGACAAAAATAAGGACGATGATGACGATGAAGATACCATAAAAAAAGGTTTTGTACCAATTGGTCAAGCTGTTAAAAATGCTGAAGTAAGAACTCTGGCTGCTACTGCTAACAATTCTTAGAAAATAGTACATTTGAACTGTCTTCTGTCTGTAATTATTTTATTTTTTATCACATTGATATCAACTGATAATAAACAAAAAAAGAAACAGTTGAATATGAATATATTATTTAATGATGTATACATAGAACACTACAAAAGTTTTTCCACTCGGGTCTCTTGACCAAGAACTAACTTTACCACTGTAATGTCTTGTGCTCTGTTATTTCTTTTTTACGAAGTTAAATAGTCGTGTTTTGTGTTATAATTTCATAGTTTACTTTCAAAATGAATCGATCGTGGGAAAACGATATTTTGTTAGTATAGAATAAGTTTCTTACTTCATCTTTTCACAGTATCGAAATTTGATATCTCAATGTTGTATTCATTCTGAATGTGAATTATGCAACTATTCAAAAATCGGTCTTATATAAACTGCATTTTGTGATTTGTTTTAAATACAACCTGTTAAAAGATTAAATACTGATGAACAAAATACGATCATTCAACTCGTCATGAGCTATGCTGGAAATCCCGTATACCTAAAATAGTACAGCACAACTCTTAGGATTCTAAAATTTTGAACATCGTCAAGTCTTTTAAGAGATCCCGGGCGAAAAAACTTTTGCAGTGTTCTATGTATTTTCATACTTAGTCGATTAGTATTCTATGAATATAATATTATCGGATGAATTAATTTTGAAATTTGTTTTATCTACTTTAGAAAAATTCTACAGAAAAACCAGCAAAAGATAAGTCAAATCATAAACCAACGAAATCCAAATCAACTGATGAAAATTTATCTCATCCACCCAAACCAGCACCACGATCTTTTTCTCAAACACGAACAATAATTAATGATGAAAATAATGATGATCAAGATCATTCCCGACGATATAGTATAGAACATTCACCACAAAGAAAAGAATCACCTATATCTCGACCTGTCTCATCAAATAATAATGATAGTGAACAATTGAATTCCACCGATGATCAAACATCAATTCGATCAATACCTGGAAAAAAGAAAAAAGTTATTGGAGCTGGTCGACATCGTTTAAATAACGATAGTCTTCCACCGTTAGCTCCATCATCTGCAGCTTCTCGTCGTGAAGATCTAACACAAAATAAAGGACCACCTGTTGGTACACCGCGACCACAACCACTTGTTGCACAATGGGCTATAACAATGCAAGCTCCTCAATCAACAGCTGAAAAATTAACAACAATTGCAAGTGATAACGAATTAGATGATGATAATGATAGAAAAAAATCCAAATCATCGAAACAAATTGTTTCTCCACGTTCAAATAATAATAATAACAATGAATATATAAAGAATAATAATCAGAAAAAATCAATTCGTCAAAAACAAAATACTCATTCAAATGATGATGATGATAATATATCTCAAAGATCATCATCATCAAGACAAAAATCTCGTTCAAGATTAAGTAATAATGATCAGGAAGATGAAATTAATTCAAAACAATATTACAAGAAAAACAATGATGGTGATGATGATGATGATTCCAATACACGAAAACCATCATCACTTCGTAAATTAGCGAATAATAATTCTTCACATGGATCTCGTTCAAGAAACAACGAAAACAGCGATGATGATCTTCGATGAATAAAAACTAAGGAAAACAAAAAAAAATAAAAAATAGTTTACAACGAAATCTATTGCCTATATTTCTGTTTTTTTTAATGTACACTTTATTCTATTATGTTTATGAATGTCTAAAAAAAGAAAATATTTTTATTGGTCATTATTTCGAAAGAAAAACAAATATGATATTTATTTATATATTGAACTAAAGAAGAGATTATAGAATTAAATTTAAGAGAAGGGAAAAGTAAAATACAGTCTCTTCTATGATCATCGTCCGTATTGTTCGAACAATAAAATACATATCGGACGTATACTGTTACATTTCATTTGACTGTATATAAATAAATGGTAAATTTCTTCGATCATTACATTCACATCGACTTCATATTAAATTCTTTTCCTACGTTACAATGTACAGTATTACTAGTATCATTCTTCTTATGATCGTATCACTTTGTTATGGTCAAACTACAAATGAAGGACAATGTTTACCAGATACAGTTGATTTTGCTACTAAAGTAGAAAAATCATCTGTTGTTGTCTATGGAAAAGCAATGGCAAAAATAATGAATGATGGAAGTGATTCAATATTTCATATTTTTTTTCAAGTTGATTGTATTTTAAAAGGACCTGCAACATTACGACAAATTAATATAACAAATGCCGGTAAATAAATAAATAAATAAGAAATAATAAAATCAAATAATTTTTATTTTGTTTTAGGTCGTGTACCAGGTAAACAATATTGTCAAGAATTTCCAGTTGGTAGTGGTTATTCAATCGCTTTTCTTGAACCAATCGCATCAAATAAAACCACTCATAGAACATTTACTCCAGCTGATTTTGCTGAAATACGTGACGATGGAAATTCAACAAGTCAATTATTAGCTCGAACATGTAATCTTCATCGAATTGTACCACGTCAATCATTAGCATCAGTTAGTGATGTATGTCCAGCTGTTGGTACTCATCCAATATGTCACGAAATTGTAAATACAACTATTGTTACACAAACTGAACTTGTTAATATAACAAATGTTATTTTATCTGATGAAACAACAATGCTTACAAATATTGCTAATAAAACATTAGTTATTTCAGGTGAAGCTGATCGTTTAACACAACCAATTCATTCACCACAACAAGAAATTGATGCTATTCGAGGTAAATCAAGTGTACATCAAGTTGATGTTGATAAAAGCAATAATGCAAAATCAATCACATTTAGTGTATTACTTATGGTTATTTCTATGATCTTCTGTTCAAATTAAAATATTTTTTTATTAACCTTTTTTTTTTCTCTCACTCTCTTCTACATCTATCTCTATTTATCCATAAATATATAGTTAAATAATTTTATTTTAAAAACAAAACGAATTTCTTCTATTCTCTTATTTTTTTTCTCATTCACGTTTTTATTCGGAACGAAATTAATAAATCGATGAAAAAATAACAAAAACAAGAATGTAAGGTGAACGAGAGGGAAATTTGTACTTCAATATACTCGCGTTTTTATCATTTTTATTCATCGATATTTTTATTATTTTTGCCTACGGACATTTTCTATTAAAAATTCATTTCAATAGTCTCATATTTATGTCTATATCATTATCATGACAGATATTATTTCTACCTATGCATTTATCAATATAAGAAAAAATTCTAATATATATATAAACATTTATTTCTTATGATTTCATAGTTTGTCTATGTGGAAATATTTGATTCTATGGTAAAACTGCGACACCTGTGATGTTTAGAAGTGCTAGACTGGTAAATATCCTCTCCAATCAGTCACATGTTTGTTTAAGACAGCTGATAGATTCATTACCAGTATAACTTTATTCTACCAACAGGAAGAAACAAAATACAGAACTATTTTCCATATATATGTGTATATATCTATGCTATACTATAAAACATGTCTTTTTCACGTGAAAAGGACAGCGTCGAATAAAAAATGTCAATCAATAACCTTGTGATTTGTTCTTTCATTTAGATTCTTAAAAATGCATCTCGAAAAAACAACAACATCACTACAAGAACCTCAAATAGATCCTCATGATTTAATGTGTCCAATATGCATGAGTAAAAAAAATAATTTTTATTTTCAAATTTTTAAAATTTAAATTTTTTTCTCATTAAATTAGCTATTGCTGAAGATCCACATCTAACATCATGTTGTCATAGAATATTTTGTGCAAAAGATGCTAATCCAAATCGTTATGAAAATGGTTGTCCATTATGTCGTGAAGTCAATTATTCATTTCAACAATCTACTAAACATAAATTAATGCTCGATCAATTAACAATAAAATGTGATTGTTCAGAACGAATTGTTCCACATGAATATGAACATCATATGGAACGATGTTCAAATGTTACATTTACATGTCCACATAATGTTTGTCGAGAAAAAGTATATTGAGATTTATTTTTTTTAAATTTAATAAAAACATTATTTTCTAATAGAATGATTCAACAAAATATAATTCTCAACAACTTGTTAATCATCTTGCTCGAGCACATTGTGATGAAGTACCTGTTCTTGGTTCAACATATATAAATAAAAAATCTCTTGAACCCTATAAAAAAGCATCGGGAAAATATGATGATCTTGTTTCAACATTATATACAGTACTTTATCCGAAAATGATTGATATACAATTAAAAAATTCACCAAATATTCAAGAAACTTCACCAGTATTTCAATGTACATTAGGACATAAATTAATTGATGCTGATCGTACTAAACGTAAACGAAAAAATGGTACAGTTTATTCAACACCGGGATTTAATTGTGATATATGTCATCGAACATTTTCACATGGTCAATCATGGCATTGTTCATGTTCAGAAAGTGGTTTTGATAAATGTGTTGGTTGTATTGTTTTTCAATTATATGATATTGATAATGATATATTACAATTAGCAAGTCAAGATAATGAAGAACAACAACAACGTTATAGACGACAAACAATACGAAATACTGTACGTTTACCTCGAGGTTTATTTCGTCTATTGACTGGTAGTATGGATGAAGAAGATGATGATGCTGATGCATTAGCATTACGACATCGCTCACCATTTTTAAGTCAACGTAGTACATTTGAAGGAACAGATGATGAAGAAATTGAAGTTAATCTCCGTGAAGATTAATTAACAGTATTAATATATAAAAACCTTGATCCCGATAAATCATTTATATATGTAAATTTGCATTTTGTATATTTATTTTTTTTTCTTCTCACTTGCATTTCTAACCTAGCTAATTGATTTATCATTGTTTAGTTTTTCCCCTTTTCCCATTTTTTTTTTGTTTCGACGATATATGTGACATATGATTTTTTTCTTCTTCTGTAAATATTTATAGATAGAAATGATAATAAAATTTTGATGTTTATTTTAGAATGAATTCATTTGTAGTCAATTCAATCAACTATAATTTTTTTTCTCCCTTGATAATTATATTCGGAAATTTGTTTTTTATTATTACTTGAAATTTCAGTTGATTATATACCAAAAGAAAAAAACATTATATTTACTTTTTTGCTTCTTTTTCTTTAACAACATTTGAAGATTTTCATGTATTTTATCAAGCAATGGAATAGAAAAAAAATAAAAATGTTTGAAGTATTAAGAAAAAGAAAGAAGAAGAAGAGAAAAAAAAGAAAGGATTGCTTGCTATTACAAATTATTCCGATTGATTGAGAAGAAAGAAATGCAGAAAGTAAATAACAATACGATGCCAGTTTTACATGAAAATAATAATGATTTGGAATCCGGAGATTTCGATGATGATGATGATGAACCTAGTCAAGGTTTAGTTATTCGACGAACAACAAGTTATTCTATTCGACCAGATAATAAATTATCAAAATCTTCCAATCGTGAAACATTAGAGACAATTGGAGTTAATCAAGCAATAGCATGTGCTTTAAAATCACATCCAAAAGCGTTTCATTATACACAAAAACAATTACAATATCTTCCTTCATCAATTAAATATCTTATTAAATGTAAAAATATACGTGAACTTGATTTACATGGAAATCAACTTAAATCATTACCTGATGAAATTGAAAATTTAAAATCAGTTGAAATTTGTAATTTAGGTAAAATTAATATTTTATTTCTTTTATATATAATCTAATCGATAGATGATCAGGTGAACTTCCTGATGCGAAGTGAATACAGGAAAATGATTAGAATATCATTGATAAATTTCTAGATATTTGCATGCAATATCTAATACGTTTCTACGGAAATTTAATTTTCATATTTCCGCACGAATTATTTTACATGATAAATCATATGTAAATTTGAACTGTATGCGTAGTTTTGATTTGAAAAATATTCCAAAATCTTTTTTTAACTAGAGTTATAAGAATTTTAATTTATCGAATAATATATATGAAAAACATTGCATGACAGTATTACGAGTTAAAATCTGATTTACAAACGGAGCCAATTATAAATAGGATATCCTTGAAATAATACCTTTTTTCAAGGAAATCTAAAAGACTAAAGACTCACGAGGAATGACGTTGCGTACTACCCCTTACGAACACCTAACAGCGTGACCGGGTGTTTGGAATCAAAACTTTTTTGACGATTTTTCGCAGAACTTCGTAAAAGAGACTTTTTTTTAGAGATTTATGCCGGTAGATCCGAAATATCTTGAGGGTGTGGGTATGGGTATGCGGAAGTGGGCGTTAGTTAAGAGAAGATAGATACCCACACCCACCCACGCCCACTTTCATACCCATACCCACTTCCACCCACACCCACCCATACCCACATTCACCCGCACCCAGATTTTCCTAATGCATAGAAAACAACTAATAATTTAATACAATTTTTTTTTCTTTGTATGAAAATAAATATATCTTTATTGAATAGCAAACAATCATTTTGAAACTATACCTGCTGCTCTTGGTAAATTATCTCGTCTTACAAAATTACTTTTATTTAACAATCATCTTGGTGATTTATCAACTTCATTAGTATTTTCTAAATTATCTAATTTACGTATTTTAAATTTAAATAATAATTTCATAACACAATTACCAAATGATATTGGTTGTTTAGTTAATTTAGAAATTTTAACAATAGAACATAATCAATTAATAGAACTTCCACGTGAAATTGGTTTATGTATACGTTTAATTGAACTTCAACTTGGTTTTAATTCATTAACAAAACTTCCACTTGAAATTGGTTATTTAATAAATTTATCAAAACTTATCATACATCGTAATAATCTTCTTGAAATACCTGAAAGTATAACAAATTTAAAAAATTCATTAAAAATCTTAGATATTGCTTGTAACAGTTTACGTATCTTCCCAAGTCAATTTTATACATTACAATTAAAAGAATTTCACAATGAACATAATCCATTCATCGAACGTGTACCAGTACATTCCGTACAAGAAAATGAAATATTAACATTAAAAGAAATTTGTGCACGTCGTTCAATGTATGAATTATGTAATTCAACAGAAAATATTCAATCAAATTTACGTGATTATTTACAATACAATACGAAAGCTAAAGAGATTTTAATGCAATGCACTGAATGTCAACTTTGTCATAATTATTTTTTAAATACATGGTTAGAATGTGTTGAATTTATTGATGCACAACAAATATTTCCAAATATGAAAACGAATACAACACAAACAACAACAATTATACCACAACGTGTACTACTATGTTCATATAAATGTTTTAATAATCCTGATCATAATTATTTTGGTGTTGCTTTTGTTTAATTATGAACATAATTTAAACGACAAACAATACAATATATTCGATTTATTCTTATGTCGAAATCTCAATCGGCATTTGTTGACTTTTATTTTATTTTTTAATGAGAATTTCCATTCCTTTCACACAAACGTTCTTTTTTTTTTACACACACACACACACACGCATACATATATACTGATGTTTGATAATGAAAAAAAAAAGAAGATAAAAATAAAATAATTCGATTTTTAATCGACTTCCTAAAATAGAAAAAAGAAACGAAATATAAGCTTATCATGTTTTTTTAACCTTTCGAATCACTTACTTCAATAGTTGGACCAGCACTGCCACCAGCGCCTGGTGGTGCTCCACCGGGACCACCTGGAAATCCACCTGGCATACCGCCAGGCATACCACCAGGTGCACCGCCAGCACCACCATAAAGTTTGGTCATAACTGGTGAACAGATTTTTTCAAGTTCTTTTAATTTATGTTCAAATTCTTCTTTTTCAGCAAGCTAAAAAAAGAAATAAATAAATAACAACATGAAAACATATATTTCCTTATTTTCTTACTTGATTGGCTTCCATCCATTTCAATGCTTCTTCAATTGTATCGGTTATTTTTTTCTTATCTTCAGCATCAATTTTATCTGCTAATTTTTCATCACCAATTGTTGTTTTCATATTGAAACAATATGATTCAAGTGAATTTTTAGCAGAAATACGATCACGTTGTGTTTCATCTTCTTTTTTATATTTTTCAGCATCAGAAACCATACGTTCAATTTCATCTTTTGATAAACGTCCTTTATCATTTGTAATTGTAATTTTACTTTCTTTTCCAGAACTTTTATCCATAGCTGAAACATTCAAAATACCATTGGCATCAATATCAAATGTAACTTCAATTTGTGGTACACCACGTGGTGCAGGTGGAATTCCGGATAATTCAAATTTGCCTAATAAGTGATTATCTTTTGTCATTGCACGTTCACCTTCATAAACTTGAATTAATACACCTGGTTGATTATCCGAATAAGTTGTAAATGTTTGAGTTTGTTTTGTTGGAATTGTTGTATTACGTTTAATTAATGCTGTCATAACACCACCAGCTGTTTCAATACCCAATGAAAGTGGTGCAACATCAAGTAAAAGTAAATCTTTAACATCTTCAGATTTATCACCTGTTAATATAGCGGCTTGAACAGCGGCACCATATGCAACAGCTTCATCTGGATTAATAGATTTATTAAGTTCTTTACCGTTGAATAAATCTTGTAAAAGTTTTTGTACTTTTGGGATACGTGTTGAACCACCAACAAGAACAATTTCATGAATTTGTGATTTATCCATTTTAGCATCACGTAAAGATTTTTCAACTGGTTCAAGTGTTGAACGAAATAAATCAGCATTAAGTTCTTCAAAACGAGCACGAGTTATTGTTGAATAGAAATCAACACCTTCATGTAAAGAATCAATTTCAATTGATGCTTGTGATGATGATGATAATGTACGCTAAATAAAAAACAAAATTTTATTTAATATTTTTTGTATTTCAAATTAAATTCTATATATATATACCTTAGCACGTTCACAAGCAGTACGTAATCGTCGAAGACCACGTTTATTATCTTGTAAATCTTTACCGTGTTTACGTTTGAATTCTTGAACAAAATGTGAAACCATTCGGTTATCAAAATCTTCTCCACCTAAATGTGTATCACCGGCTGTTGATTTAACTTCAAAAATACCTTCTTCAATGGTTAAAATTGATACATCAAAAGTACCACCACCCAAATCAAAAATTAAAACATTTCGTTCAGCTGAAACTTTTTTATCTAAACCATAAGCAATAGCAGCTGCTGTTGGCTCATTAATAATACGTAAAACATTAAGACCAGCAATGACACCTGCATCTTTTGTTGCTTGACGTTGTGAATCATTAAAATAAGCTGGAACTGTAACAACAGCTTCGGAGACTTTTTTACCAAGATAGGCTTCAGCAATTTCTTTCATTTTTGTTAAAACCATCGATGAAATTTCTTCAGGTGTAAATGATTTTGTTTCATTTTTATATTCAACTTGAATTTTTGGTTTACCACCATCACTAATAACTTTAAATGGCCAATGTTTCATATCAGCTTGGACAGTTGCATCTTCAAATTTACGTCCAATAAGACGTTTAGCATCAAAGACGGTATTATTTGGATTCATAGCTACTTGATTTTTAGCTGCATCACCAATTAAACGTTCACTATCTGTGAATGCAACATACGATGGTGTTGTACGATTTCCTTGATCATTAGCAATGATTTCAACTTTTCCATGTTGAAAAATACCAACACACTATTTTACAAATAAAATAGTAAAATCAAGGATAAATTTGGTGTTGTTTTTTTTTTTATTTAACTTACTGAATAAGTTGTACCTAAATCAATACCGATAGCTTTGCGTACGTCAGCCATTATTTTTTAATGTTTTTAATGAATAAGAAAAAGAAGAAAAATTGTGCTAGTTGGAAATCTAAAAAGTTAAAGTTTTGAAAAAATGTAGGCAAAGATAAATATGTCTGATTATAAAATGGTTGCAGTCAGTACAACTACCAGCTTACTATATGTGAGCAGCGATAGTCGATGTAGTCGTAGAAGAGAAAAAGAAGAAGAAAAAATGGTCTACGATAAGATTCCAGACTGTTCGAGAAACATCTCGTAGCGTCAAATGGAGAAAGAAAAAGAAAATGGAGAAGAAGAAAAAAAAACCAACGAACGAAAATAAAAGAAACAATAGTGAGTGAGAGGAAGAACAGTAACGATGATGGCTATGTTGGATATTTTGCCCTCTAGCATGAAGAGAACACATTACGTCATTATATATATATACGATTCGGCGACTGACTGCATGCACATTGTTACTTAGTAACAATTAGCAGAATTTTATAAATAAGATTACATATTGTTCGTTTAGATTCAAAAGAAAATCACATATATTTAAATAAATTTTGAATCATATGATTAAGATCTAAATTTTATTTTTTTTTCTTTTGTTTAATAACGAATAAAATGATTGATCATCATTGGTTTCACACAATCACTTAAAACGTAAATGAGCACAATACAAAAAAAAAACGATACACTTGAGTGAGACGAACAAAAAGAAAATGCGCAACGTGCTCCTAATATAATACTCGAATCAATCTTTCATTTTAGAGTTTTTATTCAAATGAAAATGGAATGTAGATTTGTTCTTTTTTTTCCATTGATATATAAAAGAAAAACTGAAATAATTTCTACGAACAAATGATAAGAATAAATGACAATGAGAGAGAGAGAAACATGCATAATCAATAATAATAAATATATAGAGAGAGAGATTGAAATGAACAGAAAAGAAAAACAAACAAAGAAATCAATTATAACACTGTTGAGGAAATGAGTTTAATTCCGCTTCATCATTCATTTGAGAATCATTATATGAATAGTTTATTTTAATACGCATACGAAGTTTTTCTTTATTTGGATTGGAAATTTTTATTATTTGACGAATATCTCCTGTATTATTTGATGGAATTGTTGTACTAGTTGGCGGAAGTAATTCAAGACTAAATGTCTAATAAAAACGAAAAAAAAACATTATATTGAAAATAAAAATAATCGAAATTTTGTTACTTTTGGTACGGCAGCTTTAAAAGTAAAATTTTTTATTGGTGTTTGTGTTGAATTTGTTGCTTGTAAATGAATTAATAAAAGTTGATCTTGTTTTTCAAATTGAAAAGTAACACATAAACCATTTTTATCAATAACATTCATTGATGGAATAGATGAAGTGAAATCTAGAACAATTTATAGATATATATTAATAAATAAAAATTCAAATATACTATTATTTGATTGACTCTTTGGTAAATTATCATCAAACAGTATATCTTCAAGTGGAGTTGATGATGTATTAATTTGTTGGTCATCAGAATTTAATAAATCAAATATATTATTATGAGAATTTAAATTATTGCTACCATTCGTGTGAGAAGGTTCATCAAGAATCTTAAATAAATCTTCCACAGGTTCATTTTGTGTAACAGAACTAATTCCATTAGTTGAAGATGAATCCTCTTGTTCATATGTCGTCTCTTCATTATTTGTATTTGATGTTTGAGTACTAACAAGAACAGGCATACGTTGAACAATACTTGACCTGGAATAAAGAATATATATATATGAAATTTGATATCTCATTATCTATTTTTAAATTTATACCTAATTGGATTATGTTTAGTAAAAAGTGCTGTGTATTCAACAGCACGTGTTTGTAATTCTAAATTCATATTGCATGCATAAACAGTCATAACAGATTGTATTTGGCTAAAATAGAAAAAATGAAATTTCTTATTGTGTTTTTTTTTGTATAATTAAACATACTCTGAACAACTAGGAAATCGTGTACTTAATTTCATTAATGCATTTATAGCATATTCACGTGTAATAACTGTACTTATTGACCAATTTAAAATCTTTTCTAATATATTAACGATTTCTTCTTCGCTAACCTAGAAATAAATAGAAAAATATATAAAATTGATTCGAAAATAATAATTTACTTGAATATTTTCCTGATCATCCGTATGTTGATATTGTTCACTAACAAATAAATCACCAAATTCACCTAAACAAAAGAGAATGAATAATCTTCAAAATTAAACATTCTATATTAACAAGTAAGTTTATCAATCATAATTATACGATCAATTATTGACATTCAGAAGAATTCGAAATCTTTGAACACACGAAATAAAATGACAAAACTCCTTGAATTTAAAAATCATTAGTAACACACTACTTTTCGATTTTTTATATACTAATGGTTGTATATTTAAGACCTGTAGAGCAACTGGTTTCTATTTCTCCTTGTAGAATTCTCGTAAATATATTCAGTATTTCAAAGAAATAGCCATTGATATTACATTTAGGGATGTGCAGTGTCAGTGAAAATACTGAAAAGCGGACACTTAAAATATCAGTTCGGCGACCACCGTTCCACTGAAAATATCGGTGTCAGTGTTCACCAAACACCGAAAATAAGTGTCGGTGTTCACCGAACACTGGATATCAGTGCCAATAACACTACCAACTAAAACATTTTTGTGCTAAACCTTAGTATTTATAACAATATCTTTTTGTTCACCGAAAAACTGGCACGGTGATCACTGAAAAGTGTCAGTGAACATCGTTGTTAGTAAAATTCAGTGCTCAGTAAACCGACACTGCACATCCATAATTACATTACATATAAAGAAGTTAAACTAGAGTTTCTACCTAATGTCCACAATGCAACTTGAACAAGTGGTTGTTGAGTTATATCATTACGAATAATCTTAAATAATTGATAAGCGGTATAACCATGTAAATCCGGTGCGGATGATATAATACCAATTAAACTTGATACAATATCATCACGAACACTATTGCCTGCCTTTAAGAAAAAATGAAATTTGAAATAATTCTTCGCTAATTTTCGTAACATACTGTCGTAAGAACTTTAATCATTTGATCAACATGCCATCGTTTCGATGGTGAAAAACTAAATAAAAATAATAAGAAAAAATCAAGTAATTTCTTTTTCTTTACCGTTCCATAGCTAAAAACATATTTGATGTGCAATCAGCTTTAAATTCTGGTTCACATGTTCCAAGAAATGTTAACATTTCAGTAATCATTGTTCGAATATTATTTGAATTAATTAATGCAAAACATAACTCCATTGCACGTCTAAAAGAAACCCAAAAAAAATCAATATTTTCTTTTCTTTTTTCTTTTCTTACCGTTTAATAGATACATCAGCATCCTTAAGACATTCCACAATTGTTGCTCGATGTCTTTGTACAGCATTATGATCAGCATGTACAACACGTAAAAGTGTATTTAATGCAACATAACGAATATTTTTATCATTATTAAGTAAAAATCTTCCTAAAATATTCACAGCTAATACTCTTAAACCCGATTCTGATTTAATATCCATTATAGTTAAAACTGTCTCATATAAAATAGCATTTCCAACATTTTTGCTATTCTCTGTATTTGTTGATACTTGTGCTAAAATATCATTCATTGTTTCACTTGCTTCGATATCATTTCGGCCTAATATACGCATTAAACGTAAAAGATGTACCTAAAAAAATATTTTATTCGAAAAAAATTTCATAAATAAATTGAATTTTACTTGTAAAAATGGATCACTTATTCCTGATACATCATGTTCAGGACTATAACCTGACATAATTAAATTTTTAAGAATACGAACAAGATTTGGTACTAACTAAAATTATACAAAACATTATTTAGTAAAATAAAATAATTTCAAACAACTTTTCGAAAGATTTGTAATGCTTGACTATTTTGTTTACACATTTCAATAATAAGAGCGGTGGCAGTTAGAAGAACACCTTTGAAAAAAAATAAAATAAAATTTTTGAAAAAGAATTTTTTTCATTTTTAAATACCATGATTTTTTTCACTAAGTAAACTTCGAATAGAATTTTGAAAAACATCAAATTGTTCAGGAACTTTTCTTATGATACGAACAGCACAAAGAACAGCCTAAAAAAGCAAATAAATCGTTTAGTTATCTTCCTTTTTTTGTTTCTATATAAATTGACTTTTTTCTTTAAATATGGATTTGATGATTTCATTAATTTTTCAACTTCACCACCTAAATCTCGACTCATTTCAGGTGAACATATTGATCCTAATGCACATAATGCTAAACCAGCGATATATTGATTCGAATGATTAAGATCACTAAAAAGAAAAGAAAATCATAATTAGAGACATTATTCTCTTTCTCGTAGAGAAGAGTCCAGCAAAAATAAATTGTTTCTTTGATTGATTGTGTGTCCGCAGGGTCAAAAAAACATCGAAAGCCAACTTTTAGGAAAAGACATTTCTAGAGGTATTTCGATGCGGTGAGTTCGAATATGAAGCCTATTGGGTGACCATGATGAGGTGGGTGGGTGAGGATGGGTAAAAGGTCAAAAAAACATCGAAAATCTATTTTTCACGGTTTTCATCTGTTCTTCCAGTAAATGTGAAGGAAATGCATTTCAACGAGAAAGAGCTAAGCGAGTCCTTGGATAAGCGTTACTTGTAAATCTATGGTTACCTGCTCCCTTCTCTCGATTAGTGACGGTCATAGGATTCTAGCTAAGTTCTATTATTTAAGTTGACATATAATTTATTTTCGATATTTTTTTATAAGTGCATGAAGTTATCATCTCGTGAATAAAGTTTCAAGTATCAGTCAGTTCTTGACACTTCAGCTTATCTTAGTTATATTATATAAAGATATGTCAATATTGATTTATTGTTGACATCAGAGTCACTTAAATCTAGTAATCTTACCGAAAAATAAATCTATTATCATCGTGTCATTTTTCTACACTGGAAATGTCTTGAACACATTGAACGATTTTCAAATTCAGTAGTTGATTTTCGCGAATCTATGAATTCAAATTTATTCCCCAGCAAAAAACTACAGATTGAAAGTCGCTAGTGATTTTCTAGTACTTAGAAAAAGTTGATCGAATTCACATAGGCATTTCTAGAATACTCTTCAAAAAACTCTATAACTTATTTTCTAGTTTATTTATCTAATAATATTATGACTACAATCGGGACCATTTAAAGATATTTACTATACAAAACAAAATAAATTACTTTTTAAGTGAATTTGTAATGAGTACATGAATATCTTGTCGTTCATCAAGTAGTAACATTGCTCCTAGATAGCCAATACGTTTATCTGTAAAACGTGTTGATGCAATAAGTTTAAGACATTCAAGCTAGAAGAAAATGAATCGAATATTTTCGTAATGCAATTTTTTCTTTATTTTCTTACTTGACCAAAATGTGCTGGATAACCAAGTAATGAAACATATAGTAATTTAGCAACATTTCGACATCTCCATGTATTATCTTCATCACGAAATGAATCACGTATATATGCACATTCTTTTTGTACAACAGCACGTTCTTCTGCTGCTGTTTTAGCTGAACGTATTTGTCGTATAAGATCTCGAAGTCGAATTGGATTCGACTAAAAATAAAATATTTTCAATAAAACTTGATAAAAAAAGCCTATTTTTTATCATACCATTGATAAATCGGGAAATTTCATGTTTTGTTTTTTGTTTCGATTTATCTAATTGATAATTTTTTTTACATATCTCTTAATAAAAATGAAAGGTGAGGAAAAGAAAACAAATATTATTTCATTTTATCATATGTGTCATTCGGTGTATTGATTTATCCAATAAAAATCTAAGCAGCCATTTTGTTGATCATCATCATCAATCGTAAATTAAAAAGATGGCGCTATTTTGAATAGATATTTAAAGTTTTTTTCTCATTTAATTTAATATTAGATAATGAATTAGACGAAATAATTATTATTTTAGAAGTTTCCATACTAATGATTTATTAATTAAGAAAAACAATTGAACGATATATTGATTGAACCTATCGATATGAATATCGATGCTCATCAATCATTGAATTCTTGAGATCATAGGAAATAATTTAATCGTTATTGAATATTTTTTTCAAATGAAATATTTTAATCGAATAGTAAGTCGTAGCAGAATATACAGATACCATAGAAAATGATTGATGAGTTGTCAACATCAGACATTTCATAAGACTCGTAGTAAGTTTTAATCTTATATTTTATTAATCATTTTCTCATAAAAAATTCTATATAATTATTTATAATGAACAAATATTGTGATTAATAAATGAGAATTATTTTAGTACTATTAATTGAGATAATCATTTACGAGATGTTTCACCGAAAAAAACAGAAATCTTAATTAATATTAAACATATTTATCGTTAGAGAAAAAATAATCATGACATATAGTTACAAGGTTAGATCAAAGAACGTGCGTGAATGAATGTGTACGTTTATAGTCATTTTAATCGGATAAAACAATTTGGCTAATTAATAGAATAATACTCGTCTATCGTATTATACGATAATCATCGATAAGATTATTGAGATTATTAATATGATGATATATCAAAAAATATATCTCTATTGGTAGTCTACCGTCATATATAATACATGGTGGATGTCCTTAGATTGATAAATTTTAATTACACCTCTAGAGACAACCTATGTTTAAAAGGCTAGAACGACAAGGATACTGAATAGCGAACCATATTAGTTTACATTTGTATGAATACAGGCGATTTATAAATACCCCAGACAGATTTGAATAAAGACTCATTTTATGTATTTATTGGGACGTAGTAATCAAAACGGTGAAGTATAATAATTATCGTTAAGATGGTAACTACTAAAAACTAAGAGAATTTGCTTAGATTGGGTATATATATATTGAATCAATTTAATACATTTTTTTATTTGTATTTAGAATAGGTAGTATAAGATTTACATTCTGTTAGTTTTAGCTACTTTATTTCTCAGCTATTATCATAGTCATAAAAAAATTAGAAGACGAGAATGTTTTTTTGATGAATGCGATATATTAATATAATAGAAAAGCAGCCAAGCGGTTCGAAAGAATCATCCATAAATAATATATTAATATTCTGTTTTTGTTAATGCTATATGTTTTGAAATTAGCCCGGAAAGCTTAGTGATAACATTTGCTTATCAATGTAATTTGTCACATATGATTAACAATATTAAAAAAGATGTAGGAGACTGGGTTATCAAAGAATGTATGTCTGTGTCTTCAAGGCATATACAGAATTCTTCTTAGTTATTATTTCTGATAAGTTAAGACAAATTCTTCTCTTTTTTTCTTACATTTTAATAAACATTAAATTCCATTTTAATCAACTAATTTAATATAAAACTTCTTTATCTTCTTAATAATATTTATATAATGCAAAATTAAGTAATTAATTTTTCTTTATTTATCAAAATTGTTTAGTTAATGACACATACTTTGTTCTTTTGTTAAGAATTTATTGTAGATGTTAAACATCCGATAATTACAAATACCATCATTATTATTATCTATTCGATAGAATAGAGGAAATAGATGGGTTCTTTCTTTTTTTTCTAAGTACAAGTTAAGTAAATCACGTACTCAAGAATATGATTACATGAAAACATGTGTTCAAGTATAATTATCAAGTGTATATGGTTACACTTTTACATCGGAAAATAATTAACCGCATAGTTTCATGTTCGATAATTGAAATACATACTGAAAATTTATTTTAATATAGAATATACCTTAATTAGAATTTGTAGTATTTGATACTTGAGTACATAGACTAATATGAACATTCATTTGCTCGATGTAAATACTTTTCTTGATTCTGTTATTTGAGAATATATCTTGTTTCATATTATCTTATTCCGGGCATTATTAATTAAACTCGTTCTTTTTTTCCTTCTATTGTCCATTCATCTATTATTTCAATGCATATACATATGTTCATTATCAATATATAAATGATGCTTGTTCATTTTAGATCTATTAAATAAAGTTATTAAATTACAATGAATGAGGTATTGCATGTTTAAAAAATTTATTGAAAAGGAAAAATCATTTTTGTTTCTAGTCCTTGATAGATGATCAGGAAGAAGAAAAAGCGATGAATCAAACTTCCTCATCATTAGCAAGTAATGATGATTTAAAAGAATTATGTATTTTACTTGATGAAGAACGTTATAAAATGCATGAATTAGCTGAACAATGGAAAATGTTTGGTACAAATACAATACGTAAACTAACATGTCAAATAGTTGATTATCAAAATAAATTAAATGAACTTGAACAACGACAAATTTTACTTGTAAATGAAAATCAAACACTTAAATCATTTATCCAACAAATAATAATAAAAATAAATGAAAATGTAAAAAAACATTTTTTTTTTGTTTTTTTATGAAATTAAAATTTTATTTTTAGAAAAAAATTCAACGAAATGTTTCAACACAAACAAATGTTGAAAAACGTGAATCATTTCGTTATTCATGTTTTCAAAAACCCAAACCAACTTATGATCGTTTAATACGAACAAAACTAACAAATCAACAAAAAATTCCAATAAAAAAATCAATTAATGACCCACTTCAACAACAAATTTCTATCCAAAATATGTTTGATGCTATTAGAGTAATTCAATCTACATAAAATCAATATTTCAAATATATTATTTTTTCTTTTTTCTTTCTTTAAAGACAGCTGAAGTTTATGAATCAATTGAAAATATGACTGGAAATGCTAATGATACAGAAAAAAAATTACTTAAAGAATTTTGTAATGTAAGTTTAACAGTTTTTTCAAAAAATAACATTTGCTTTCTATAAATACATACTTTTTATTCTCGATCAAGGACAAGAGAAAACGCATAAAGGCTTTTATTTTGCTCGACTTTCTACAAAAAAAAAATCTTTTGCTGTTGTTTATTAGCAATCAGATCTTTTTCTTTCTGATTTAATGCATTCTTTTTAATAGTATGAATAGTAACTAATGAATATATATATATTGTTCGATATTGGACCGTATTTGTTTTTTTTTAATATAATAATGAAATTATTGATCTAAACTTAATCTTTACCTGTTTTTAGTTTGTTTGGAAATATCTTGAAGATCGGTCAAAACCGAATAGTAGTTGTCTATTATAATAACATTACAAGTGATTTTTTTCTCACTTTTTTTTGTAGTCAGATTAATCGTATCTTTTTTTTTTGATTATTTGTTTAAAATAAAAAAGTATTCACATAATTGCATCTATACAATGTACTAAGCGAAAATAATAAAGATAAAAGCAATGGCACATGACGAGATGAGGATGAGGGTGATTTAGTCGTATCTTTATTGTCTGATGTTTTACTCTCAGCGACTTCAATTCGTCGACTATTTATTGCAAAAAATGTAGTTAATAGTGTTGTTGGAATCGTCGTCGTCGACGGGATTGTTGTTGTTGTAGTAGTAGCAGGAGTAGAAACGATAGTAGTCATTGTAGTAATTATAACTGTAGGAGATTTTAATGTTGATGCTATCTGAATATATTGTAGATTATCTTCTTCAATTGCAATATCTTCATCTTCACTATAATCTTCATCATCAAAATCATTTATTTCATTTGCTTTTCTCATATCGTTCCGTAAATCATATATAATTTGTTCTGTCAAGGGTAAACTTTCATGAGGATGAAATCTCATTTGTGGAACTATCTAATAAAATCAAAAATCAAAAGAAAAACAAATAATTACAATAGATAATTTCATTGTTAACTCTTACATTAACTGAAGAAAATGATGATATATTAACACTAGTATTCATTTCACCCTGTATTAAACTAAAATTAATAATAAATAAATAATTATCTATTAATTTATAGAATGAATAACAGAGAATTTTACCGTGTTGTACGAAGAACAAGAAATATAAGTTTCCATAGATGACAACAATCAAATAGAGAATGATGAATTGATGGAAATAATTGCATTTCAATTTTATTTATTAATATAATCAACAAAGTGTGAACATAATATAACTTGATCTAAATAGTTTAAGTAACCGATAAGAAATCTTTCATGACTGATGTAAAAAAATAGAATAGAAAAAAGAGAAAGAAAGAACAAAAAAAAATAGATTTTCAATCTAAGTTGATACTTTCATGTTTGTCGTTTTTCATAAAGACTATAATATAATCTTCGACTTAACAATAACGAACAATCATCAAAACAGAGAGAGAAAAAAATGTATAAATATCAATTCATTCGGATAAGAACATTTTTGAATATAAAAAAAAAGAACTATGCTATTTCAATTAATAAAAGCAAGGGAGCGACAAGACTTGTTGACAAACTGTTTCTCCGTTAGATTTTTTCCTGTCTTCTCCGGTTTTTCTTTTTTTCTCTTTATCCTCTCTTTCTTTCTTTTTTTTTGTTCTTCTTCTCTCTCTGTCTTTTACTCAATAATCTATTTTCTACTTATATATGGATATGTGTCTAACTCATTATTTAATGATTTCTTGATAGGAAAACAAATTAGCACCTATAGTGTTTCGCTTTTATATTCTTTCCTGATCACATACCGATCTTATATCAAAGAACTATTCTTGAACAAAAAATCGAACTCGTCACAAGGGATCGCTTAGACATTTATGTTAACCTCTCATAGTCGCCAATTGCTTCTCTACTTTGTCACAAAGTACCATCTTCCTTTTTTCTCTGTCACCCTTCTTGTGCATTTTTCATTTCCGCTATAATAATGCGAATCGACGCATAAGGGGTCTAACGAATGTGCGTCACACGGTGTGAAAGCCTCATTGTAATAAACTCGCTGTATTGAGATGCAGAAAAATCGTTATGAACAATTCCTTTTTCTTTTTGCTTCCATATTTTTCTTTCTTATTTCCCATATATATATAATATATATATATATATATAAAGCTCGAGGACATTTTTCGATGTTTTCTTCTCTCGCTCTTGTTTTACTCGACGTATCTACTATTATGACTATTACTTATAAGAACCTCTTTCATAAGAAAAGCGTCGGAAGATGAACGCATAAAAATAAGCGAAGCGATAGGATGCGATTGGAAAACAATTAGATCTCAAAGGATATATTCGATGAATGAACGTGACATTAACCTGACAAAAATCAAATGATAATGACGTTTCTATGTAAGCGTCAATAAGAAGAGAGAGAGAGAGAGAAAAAAAATCAGAATCCATATGATAGATTAGATGATGAAGACGAGAAAAAGTACAAGATCAACTTGATTGGATGAATATGTTGAAGAAGTAGTACTTGAACTAATTTGACAAGATTATGAATAAGACAGCTAATATGTTTCTTTTCTGTTACGAGTCTTGTCTCTCTCGTTTTATGTATATTTATTTGAATGATCAGAAAAAAAACCGATGTTTCAATTAAAATAACAATACAGAAAAATTAACCATTTTCTCATTGAGCAGTATCTTCGTGTACTTTATTTAAAAATTCTTTCATTCCAACATATGTTTCACGACAAACAGCAGGTGCTTCTGATACTGGTAAAACAAAGCCAATGTTTGATTGTTCTAAAAGAAAATTTTCATTTTTTTTAATCAAAAGAAAACAAAATTAGTTTACGTTGTGTTGGTGGAAGTTCAATTGTATATGAATGTTTAATACCCAATGAATCATAAGCCCAGTCACAAGTGCTACCACTTGCAATATCTTGAAAATAAATAAATAAGAATTTAATTTCAATCGAAAAATAAAATAACTTACATAATAATCCTGAAATACTACCAACAGCATATTTTGTACCACGAACTGCAGTAAGAGCATTTGCACCAGCTTGTGCTGTTGCTAATTGTTTTTGATAATCTTTTGGTAAACCTGTTGTATAACCGTACTAGATAATTTCGTTTAAAGAAAAATTCTTCTTAAAAAATAAATATAAACTTACTGGTGTACTAAAAATAAAAAAAAAATTTTATTAAATAAAAATGGAGATATAAGAAAACATTAAATTTTACTTACAACCACCATTGACCATAGGCATGAAATGACATATACATGTCCCAAGTGCCCTTTAATGATTCAAGAAATTTGACAACATTTTGTGTTTCGATTTCACTTCCTGCTGATCGACCTGTGGAAAGAGATTAAGAAAAAATAATATTATATTTTTATTAAATTTGATTTCTCTTGATACTTACCACAATATGTCTCACTACATGCACTAGTACTAGAACCGCCTAATAAAAAGAATATAGAAGTAATATTTGTTTTTCATAATATTTTTATTCTATACCGGTATTCCATTTCCATGGATAATTACGATTAAGATCAACACCATTGCATAAAACGTTTGTTGGAAAACGATTTTTACGCCATAATCGATTCTAAATTTGTTTATTTTTGTTAAAATTAATAAAAAATATAATGCAACTTACACCTGATGTTTGACTATATTCATAACCTTAAATTATAGAGAACTAAAACTAATTTTATTTCGAAATAATTTTTCTTTTACCATCAGGATTAAGTGATGGAGCAACATAAACAGTCCATTTATCAAGTATCTGACGTATTATAGGATCTCTATTATTATACTCATTAATGAATTCCTCAGTTAACCAAATACATGTTGTAGATGTGATCCATTCTAATTTTTAATAAAAATAAATGTAATTACATGTTATTTTGTTTTTTTGTTTCTACCTCTTGCATGAATACCACAATCAATCCAAATATTTCTTGTTGAAGCTGGATTCATTTTTATAGAAATTACTTTTATTGATCGACCTTCATAAGTTTTACCAATATCAATAACTTTAATATGTGTTGGATCAGCAGCAGCTTTTTCGTCAAGATATGTTTCCATTTGTTTATAAGTAGCATATGTACCAACAATACGTGGTTCAGCTTCTCCTAACCAACGACTTTGAATTTGTCTCATTAAACGATCTTGTGCAAGTTCTTTTTCTTCATTATCAATAACTTCTTGAATATCATTAACAATGATTTCATATGGTAATGAATATTGTTTAAATTGTGATACATATTGATCATATTCATTTGCACGTATACGAACATCAACTGATCTATTTGGTGCCATAATTTCTGTCCAAAAATCCAATGAAGTTGTTTCTTCAAGAGCTTGAAGATAATGTATATGTTCATCTGTGAATGGTTCTAAACGAACTAATTTATCGTGAACATATGCACGTTCACTGTTAATACTCCATATTGCTAGACATGCAAAGGTAAAAACAAAAGAAAATAGACGATTCATGATGACAAATCGAAAGAATAATGAAATAATAAAAATAATCTAGATTATATAGATGTCAATGACATGGTCTTTTTCTTTTTATTCTTATTAATCCTTTCTTGATTAAATATTACGCTATACGCAAAAGTGCATTGCAGGTTAAGCGAAAAATTGCCAGATGTTTGTTAATGACCGAAGGCCCTTTTATATTTATTTTTAATGTTGAAATTTTTTGAAAATAACAGAAAAATAGAAAATCAAATTTTGTTTTTTTGTGTATGTGAAATATTACAATAGATATACATAAAGAGAGAGAGAGAGAAAGATTATTTATGTGTTAACTGTATCAGCAAATGATGCAGCTGCATTTGGTGGTATATTTGAAGTTGATTCATAGACTGAAGCATCTTGATGACTAGGTAATAATTGTGAACGTTCACTTGATATTGGTGGACGAGTAATAAATCGTCGAAATAAATTTGTCCATACATCATTATAAATACCCATACCAATAACCAAAAGTATAAAACCTATGATTTGTAATGGATAAAAAGCTTGCCATTGTAATGCTAATGATACAATCCAAATAATTAATGTTCGACCACTATCAAGAACCATACGTGTTGTTGATGATAATTCTTTAGTTACAGATATACCAGCGAAATTAAAAAATGCAATTGAAAATACATTTCCTTAAAACGAAAAAAAATAATGGTTGTAAATAGATTTTACGTTTTTTTTGCTTACCAAGTGTAGCAAGAATGATAACCCAATTGCCACCCATTTGACAAAATGCTGTTGGAACATCTTCAAGACGATGATCAGGACCTGAATTTGATGTTGGAACAATGATAAAATAAAACTAGTAAGAAAATTAAAAGGTCAAATATGCAAATCCTATTCAAATAAATTACAGGTATAAGAAGAAGACCAAGAGTACAGAAACCAAATGTTCCTTCCCAACCAACAACTTGTAATGGCGGAATATTATGTTTTCTCACGAAGCGTTCTTCATAAACAACCTATATATAAAATTTATAAATAGAATATATTCTTTTTCAATATTGATTCATACTTGAAAACTAGTAAATAACATTGCAACAAGTATAAGTGCATCACCTGCAATTTTTTCCATATTTGTGTGATTACCTTCAGGATGTTTGGAAAAAATAATATCTGATATACCAACAACAGCAAGACCAGCAACGACTGTAAGTATACCAAGCCATTGTTTCCATGTTAAATTTCTTCGAAGAAATATAACACTAAAATGAAATTTCATATTATATGAGAAGTAGTTTTTCTTCTTCTTTCAAACCTAAGTATAGCAGTAAAAACCATAACTGAACCTCGTAACATTTGAAATGAACTTGCACTTGTATAATTTAATGCAATATATGATAAACATGTTGAAAGCATATCACATATAGATGCAATCCAAAATATAAATGGATTAAATGTTTGTTCACCATCGACTAAACGTGTTTCTCGTTGAATTTTTATTGGCCAATAACGAACTATACGTGATGATGCATCACCTTTATATACCATTCGTTCAATACGATATTGTGCAGTTGAATACCAGATAAATTTAAATGCTAATAAACATAAAAATTCACCTAAGAACATACCAACACCCTTAACAAATTCAATAGTTATTAATTTTACAAAAAATAAGACTTTTTACTTGAAGAAATGGATGTTCAAATGTAACATTTCCACCTGTTCCATCGCAAAAATGTGATGTTTGTCTTTATAAAGAAAAAAAGAAAGAAAATTTTCGAAACACAAAAAAACAATTTTTCAATACCGATCAGCCCATTTTGTTGATAATGTATTAAGACTACCAGTAACTAACATAAGACCAGCTAAGAATAATTGATACGGAGTAAACGCCATTATTATCTACAAATAAATTATAGAATGTTTAATATTTTGACATACTCTATGAAATACGTTATTTATAATTGACTATATACGAAAATATTCACGTGATTCTCTTTCATTTTATTATCATATACATCATTCACAAAGAACGCGAAAAAGAAATGGATGAAAGACAACATATTCTATATATAACTATTTACATGAAAGTATATATTTATTTTGATTTTTACTATGAACTAAAGGATAATATCGTTGAAATTTATTAAATCGATTTGATGAATTTTTATTTCTATGATTTCTTATCTTCGTTGTTTTTCTTCTAGTCAAATAATAATCATTCAATAATATATAACTGTAATATAATATATATATATGTAGAGTTTATATTTTCGATGATTTCATAATATACTTACATAAATATCGGTAATGTTAAAAAATGTAAAAAACAAGCAAGAAAAAATATGAAATTAGGATAAATATTAATTGTATATGAATAAAGAATATTAAATAAAATCGATCCAATTAATGCATCGATTGATTCAAATGATGCAATTATCGAAAATATTTTACCTTCTTCATTAGAATTACAAATTTTTGAAATATATGAACGTATACCTACAACAACATATGATGATAACATACCAAATAATGGTACTAAAAATCATTCAAAATAGAAGAATTTTATATATATAAAACTATACTCATAAATATAGTTGTTTTTGAATAACTAATAGCATATAGAAAATCAATTGCACATTTTGATAATGTCCCAAGTATTGTACATGTCATATCATTTATATTAAATAAATAACGTAATATTGGTAATATAAGTAATAAACCAATACTAAGAGCAAATGATTTTAAACCACGAAATATTCCATAAAGACTTTGAGAAAATGATAATGGAAATTTCTTTAAATAAAGATAAACAACTGATGATTCACCTAGATATTAAATCGAAAAACTTATTACTATTAAAACTAATGAAAAATTCATCAATGCAAAAAATATTTTTATTTACCGATACTTGTTAAACTAAATAAGAAAAAGTTCATTAATGATTCATAGGAGATTAGAGAGCTGCGGATCCACGATTTTCTGGACTCGGATCCGACCCAGACCCATACCCGGTTGGGTCTGGGTTTACTCGCAGCTCCCTGTAGGGAATACTCGTTTTAGTTAACAGAGCAAGTGTATAATCTATCAATAACTTACATACTACATAATAAAGCGGCTAGAGTTAAAAGAAGATATTTTCTTTGATGAAATTTTCTTTTTCGAAATAAAATTTTAAATGAATCTTTAATATCATTCCAAATAAATAATGTTTTAGTAAAATTTTTCCATAGAAAAATATTTTCTTTCATTGGTAGAACTTCTTTAACATAGATTAGAATATAAATAATATTAATAGAATGAATAAAAATGATAAATAGAAAATTTAATTGAAAATTTGTTAAATCAAGTAAGATTCCACTTAATATTGAACCAATTGTTGAACCAAACATTAAACATGATTCGATAATTGCAATAGATTCACGACGATTTTCAATTGTTGTTATATATGTTAGATAACTATAGATTATTGAAAACATGGTTGATGTTGAACCAAATAAACTAAATATTAAATTTGATAAAAAAAATATTTCAATTGATAGATTTGATTTAAATATTGATATAAATAAATTAACTATTGTTGATAGTATACAACCGATATTAACTAATATCATTGGGATTTTATGTGAATATTTATTTGACCATGTACCATAGATTATTGAAATAAATATTGATGGAATTGTATAAACAACATTATAATACATGACATAGATAGATGCATATTTTTGTATGATTATTTCAGAAATATTTGTTTGATTTTTATTTATTGAATTACATAATGATATATTATATAGTTTATAACAAACTTGACGATAAAGTAATGCTTCATCTGTTGGAATATTTATATAAATTGCTAACATATAGAGAAAAACAACTGGTTCAATACTAATTGATTTCAAATAAGAAATATTAGATTTTGATGGAAATTGTTTATTTTCATTTAATCTTATCATAGATTTTTTTATTTAAATGTAATTGAATTGAATATCATATGACATATGATAACGATTGAGAGAGAAATCGATTTATTCATTGAATCAATCAATGATTCGTTAATGTTTGTGGATAGAGAATTCTATTGCAATCAGAGGTCGCTATTCAACAGAGAATTTTATGATTGGCACTGGAAATCAAATCGAATTTTCAATTGCTTATTACAGAAAGCTAATTATGTAAAAATTTTCCTAATATGTATAATTTGCATCATTGAAAAGGTTTACTCCCGATTTGATCTTATTGTATTTCGATCCTATTCGATGTTTTTAATGCTATGCGAAGCAAAGCATTTATGTAGTCCTTCGCGAGTTTTCTTGCTTTCTCGACGTACACATTCAAAGTTGTCATTTTGTGCTAGGATTATTTCAGCAACGAAATATCGAAAAACTTCCGTTTAAGAGCAAAATAAAAATATCGAAATCGAACTGATACCATTCGTTTATTAATTTTCAACCGGACCATCTTGAGGATGTGAATAATTAGAATATATATGAGATACACTCACATCCTAATCCTAGAATTGCAGATGTATCCAAGTAAATAAATTATATAAACGGTTTGATTTATAAATCGATGCTTTTTCAACAAAAGAGCAATGTGTGAATATATACTATGAATTAAATTCATTCTTTAATGTTTTCTAAAACTAATTCATGATTTATTCTAATAATTGATTCAAACCATTCAAAAATATTGATCATCATATATTTTTCGTTCGTAAATATCGTTAGCTTCAAGCTCAACATAAAGATAATCTCACGATAAAATACAAATATACCTTATATAACGATTATATTAATAATTTGATAAAAAAATTAGTTTGTATTCTACTGTCATATACAGCGAAGAAAATGGTCGTTCATGAATAAATTGCGTTCTCTTCATTACTTTAACCTAAGCAGAAAAATTTGGTTACAAATAAAAATGAAAATTGTGTGGCAATATCATTATATGTCAATGAGTTCTTGTTTAATTTGAGAAATTGAAGAAAAGAATGTTTTATTTAATACGTTGCCATTCAAAATCTGAAAGTATATTTTACAGATAATTTCACAAATTATCAACAGTTGAGTTCTTGATGCAAATATTTCATAAGATAATATGTGATAGTTTTCAGAAATAACTTTTAGTCGAATAGAAGCTACGTCTAAAAGATAACACAAACATATTGCCTATGAAAACATGAACTATAGAAGTATTATAAGTCAATTCTCAAAGACAAAAAGTATTGTTGAATAACTTCAATTTTTTTATTTTCAAAATTGGATGACATTGAAATGCCTGCAATAGATTTTTCTCATCTGTATGTAGATACATGTGAATTCTTTTTGTAGAACGAACAATCATTTGTGAAGCTGACAAGTAAAAATAAATATGTGAATGTCTATCACAGAAGATCGTAATATAATTAAGAAGGTGTAAAGCTTTGCAAAAATTTACATCTGATCTTTATCCAGTGGCAAGTAGGTGAGAATAATCAATTAGATGATTCCATTAGAGTCAATTTACTCATTTCAAACATACGATTAGTATGAAAACAAATAATACGCAAAGGAACATTCATGAATTTTATTCATTTTGAAAATATATCAATACTGATATTTTTCTTTTGATTTACCTGAATGTGTCTATTTTGTTGATCTTTCATATTTTTGATAAAACTATATAAGTTATAGAACATGCATACATGTGGTCGTTGACTCATGAAAATAAAAAGAAGATAAAAAAGAACAATCGACAACACATATAATAATTAAATGTTTCTTATTCTGTTTGCTAGAAATGGTTTTAATCTTTTTCCTCATTATTCCAATAGAAAGTCTTTATTATTGTTCTGATATTTTTGTCATATTATTCAGTAATCATTTGTTTCGAAATCAAAATAATTGTAAATTTCCATCATTCTGTAGTATTGAATGAAAAAAACATAAAAACCTCTTTAGAAATTTTCTGTAAGGACAAATATTTTATAAACTATTTCTTACAGATTATTGTTTCGAATTGTCAACAATAATCGTACTTTAACATCCTTTTCGTTTGTCGGTAACTGATACATATGTCTAATAATACCTGTAATATTTTGTGGTGTTGGTTTATACTTAACAAACATTAAAAAACCAGGTGAAATACTGATAACAGTAAAAACAATGTAAATGATGATAAAAAGAACAATTTCTACTATAAAATGACACGTTATTCTCATTCATTTATAAACATTTCTTCTTGAAATAGTCTACATTACAACAAAGAATGGCGAACAACAAATTAATAACATCTATTCAAACCAATACACCAACTAATGATAAACACATATCAAATTTTTCCGAGAATGCAGTTGCAAATCGACGTATTAACAGACTAAGAATGCAAAATGTCCTCTTTGTTTGGTTAGACAACAATATTAATGATGATAATGCTGATTGTAGTAATACAATCAAACAATTGAAACATGTAGTTAACAACATAAACACGTTTACTGATGGTGAAGAATGTGTTGAATTTATTAACACCATTAACAATAATAAAGTATGTATGATTGTCTCCGGATCACTTGGACAACATATTGTACCTCATGTGCATGATATGTCCCAAGTAGACACCATTTTTATTTTTTGTAATAACCAAGAATGGGATAAACAATGGGTCAAAGAATGGCCTAAAATAAAAGGAGTCTTCACAGATATAACATCAATCTATGAAGCTCTCAAACAGGCTGCTCATCAATGTGAGCAAAATGCCAAATCAATCAGCTTTGTGACATCAGATAAAAAGTTGGATCAATTAGATCCATCATTTATGTATACTCAGATCTTGAAAGAGATCTTATTAACCATCAACTTCGAAGATAAACATTTCAAAGAATTTATTACTGATTTGCGTGAAGCATTTGTCAAAAATGAATATGATTTACATCATATTGAAAAATTCGAACGTGATTACCATGATCGAAGGCCTATTTGGTGGTATACTTATCAATGTTTTTTATATTCGATGCTCAATCAAGCATTAAGATTAATGGATGTTGATATTATTGTTCGAATGGGTTTCTTTATTAATGATCTACACCGTGATATTCAACGACTACATTTAGAACAATTTGATGATCATCAATCAGGTAAAACATTTACAGTTTATCGTGGGCAATGTCTTTCAAAAGAAGATTTCACGAAGTGACAAAAACTAAAGGTGGACTTCTTTCATTTAATCATTTTCTATCAACTAGTAAAAATCGTGATGTTTCTCTCTGTTTCGCACCGCAAGCTGCTACAAATTCTGATCTTGTTGGAGTTCTATTTGTTATATCAATTAATCCTACGGATTCAACAACTCCATTTGCTTCTGTTACAGATGTTGGTTACTTTCATGCAGAAGATGAGGTTCTTTTCTCCATGCATACTATTTTTCGCATTGGAGATATTGCAACAATGGATGAAAATAATCATCTCTATTAAGCGAACCTAACATTGACCAATGACAACGATCAAGACCTTCGAACTCTTAGCGATCAGATTCGACAGGAGACTTTTCCAGATCAAGAAGGATGGTACAGATTAGGCCAGTTACTAATTAAAATGGGTCAGTGTAACAAGGCTCAAGAAATTTATCAAGTTTTATTTAATCAAACAACAAATGAGAGTGACAAAGCATCGATTTATTACCAACTAGGTTGTATCAAATATAATCAAGGAGAATATCAAGAAGCACTTTCACCTCATAAAAAAGCTCTTACAATTCGACAACAATTACTTCCTTCCAATCATCCTGATTCTGGTAGTTCCTATAAGAACATCGGTTTGGGATATAAGAACATGGCTGATTGTCACAAAGCACTTTCTAATTATAAAAAAGCCCTTGCAATTCGACAACAATCACTTCCTTCCAATCATCCTGATTTAGGTACTTCCTATAACAATATCGGTGTGGTGTATACGTATATGGGCAACTATTCAAAAGCTCATTCATTTTATGAACGTGCTGTACAAATTGGACAACAATCATTACCAACAAATCATCCTAATCTTGAAATGTATAGAGAAAACCTCGAAGGCATAAAGATGAAATTGTAATTTCTTTGTGTACTCTCTTTTGAAAATAAAATAAAACTGATAAAAAAGAAAATGTGTCTATTGAAACTCTTTTTTTTGTTGAGAAGACAATATCAGCAGTAACACTCATCGGTAAGGTAAACAATACATATTGAAAAGATATGTATTGTAGAAAAGACGTTCACGGTTACATTGAGGGTGGGTGTGGGTGTATCTTATTTATCTCATCCAAACCCTCAAAGAAAGGAGTCTTTTCAATCGAGTCCAAATGACATTGTAATGAAGGTATTATCTACAAAACTTCAAATACCATATATGGATTATCTGTAATCAAATAGTTAATAATGGAAAAGAATGTTGAACCGATATACACACTATACTTTCGATCATATACAAAACAATTAGTCATACAATAAACAGGATATTTCCTATGAGTTTTTCCATTAAAATCTGACATTCTATAACAACATTCAATGAGTCATTGTAACTATGGAAACAATGGTATTTAAATATTTTCTTTATTAATTGAATTTATTATAATTAAAACATAGAAATTCTTTTTTTAAAAGAATTTATTAAACTTTAGATCTAGCACTGATGGCTCTTGGTTTAGATAATTTTTCAATAGCTTCTTGACGTTTTTGTTTTTCACTAAGAATTTCAATTCCAGGAAAATGTTGACTAACAGTTTCTAAGATTTTTTGATTACGTTTTTTCATATTTTGTGCTTGTTTTTCTTGACGAGCTTTTAATGATCGATCACGTATCCGTTGTTTATTAATAATAGAATTCAAATTCCTAGAATATATAACATATAGAAAATCAATTTCAAATTATATTATTTTCATACTTATATGTTAATGGTTGCATAGATATATTTCCAAGACGTTGATGAATATTTTGAATATCTTCATTATCAAGTTTGGCATCTGATTTCTAATATATATATATATAAACATAAATAATATGATTTCCATGAAAATATCTTACCACAATATCAAGAGTAATCGCTTCAGGTTTCAATTCTCCTTGATTGTTTTTATTTAACATACGAAAATATTCTAATGTGCGCCAATTTCTATTATCAATATGTTGAACTAATGTACGCATCGAATCTCCTTTTGCAGCTTCTATATGATAAAATAAATAATATTTAAATATCTTTCTCCAATTAACACTAAGTTTTGATACATACTTCCTTGTCGACCAATCGTATCATGTGTAGGTATTTCACAATCATATTTCAAAATAAATTCTTTTCGTTTAGCAATTTTTTCTGCAAGACGTACTGTCGATGAAAAAACAGTAATACCCTTTGAATAAAAAAGAAAACTTCAATTCATACATAAAAAAAATTAGAATCCTACCGATAGATCAAGCATAGAAACAGCACTTGTTTCTACATCTAAAGCTTGAATAATATATTGAGCACCATGTGTTGTTATTGGATTAAAGGCAAGCTATGCAAAAATATTTGTTTATTACCAAAAAAGAGAAATTTTATATTTACATTTAAATTTTGAAGTGTAGAATTTTTTGCTAAACCTTCACTTATTAATTTTGCACTCGTCCATTCAATATGACAATTACTTATGTTTAAACGTTGTAAAACTTTATTAACAGCTAAAACTCGTCGAAGAGCAACACTTCCATCATAACTAAGACCACTCCATGATATATCAAGTTCAGTTAAACATTTATTAACCTTTGAAATTAATTTAAAAAGAATATTATAACTTAAAAAAATCTTTTTACTTCTATTCCACGAAAAAGAGCGATTGATGCATAACTTCTTATTAAATTCCAACTTAAATTTAAATATAATAAACTCCAATTTTCAGCTAAAAAGACAAAATATTTCTTTTTTCGCTAATAAAATCTGATATATACTTAGAGCATTGCCAATAAAAATACATGCATTTTCTTCAAGTTTATTTCCAGTTAAATTAAGTTCAAGAAGTCTTTTATGTCGACATAAATCACCAATTTTTGAACCATAAGAATCTTGAATATCACAATTAGCCAATGATAAATATTGTAATGATGAAAGTTGATCAAATATTGACATTAATGCATCAAAACCTTTTTTACCAATTTTATTATCGGATAAATCCTTGAAAAACAAAAAAATTTCGATAGAATCATAAAAAAAGTTAAATTTATTTTACCAAGAAAGTAAGATGAACACATTTATTTAATCCTTGACAAAGTACATAAAGTGATGATGGTATTAAATTTACAGCATGTAATGTTAAACTTTCAAGATTTGCTTCGATTGATGTAGCCAATGCACGAAAATCATTAAATGAGAATGGTCGATCAACAAGAGTAATAGTATTATATGGTAGAAAACCTCGAATTTGCCAATCAGCTGGAATATCAAGTGTTGTACAACAATATTCATACGTATGAACTCTTGCTAAAAGGGGAAGAAAGAATTATTTATATAAATAAACACTATAATCACCATTTTTAGTTGGAATTTTACATCGTATTGGAACAAGAACTTCATCATCAGTATTTTTTGAAGTATTCGATAGAAATTCAATTGGTACATTTAATTGACCAAATGTTTCATGTGATCGATTACTTCGATGAGCTGCTAATTTCTCAACGAATGATAATCGTGATGGTGTATATTTTTCAAGTTGATCTTTAAAAAATTAAACAAAAAAAATTTTCTATATAAACTCTACTTGATATTTTCCTGCGTAATATACTTGTTGTCCCATATTTTTTAGAAATACTATTCAAAACAAAACTACGTTTGTAAAAATATGAGTTCACTCTCTACTTAACATCACACTTGACAGATAATTGCAATTACGATATGGAAGACTAGTTAATATACTTAACTAAATAAAATGGAAATATTTTTTTGTTTTTGCCATAGATAATTATACCCAAAAAAAATGACAAAACAATAATTTACGGAAGACGGATCTAATGTTCTTCTTTATTAACATTCTGTTTTTATAATTCAAGATTTTTTTGTTTACATTCCCTTGAAAATTAATAAACTAATAGAAATATGTCGTACTTAACTGTTTTTAATTATTGAAAAAGATTTGCAATGAATGACTCAATATTTTAAAACATTATTCTAAACAATTTATATTATTCATGATCGATTAGTTGAAAATGTTATATAAGAATTGCATTCTATATTTCTTAAGTATCGATAAATGATAGATGTAATCAATTCTATCAAGAAACTCGTACAACATAAATGACATTTACATTTTTATCAGTAAAAAAATTAAGAAATATATTTCTAATCTTTCTATTAGTTTTAAAAATAGATTGATCGATAGGAAATAAGTATGCAATTAAATCAAGAAGTAATGAATTTCTTTTATATTTTACTCTATATTCAATACAAAGTAGAGAGTAAGAACTCTTCAAAATTTATACCATAGACTGTATGCACTCTCTATAAGAATATTTTTATTTGAAATTAATAACAACATCTGACAACAGAAGATTAAGAATTCCTGGTGATTTGAGCTGTTAATTATTAAACATGAATCTATTATTAGAAACAATAATAAAACCTATAATCGATTTGAAGAAAATCAAAACTTGACTAGCATTTATAAATTCAATAATTATCTATTTTAATGAGTACGTAAAAAAAAAATCAATTCTTATATATACCTGCTTCATCATCATCTAAATCAGTATCGTAACTATTATCGTCATTTTCTTCCATTTGTTATAATTGTTAATATGAAAAATGTTAAGAAGACAAACGACAAAATAATGTCATTTTCTTTTTCCCACGTCTTTTTCTCCTTTTTCTTTTCACTTATTCTATTGCATCAAATATTTAATGTTGATTACATACTATTGACAGCCGAATACTTTTTTTTATTTTTAATAGAAGAAAAATGTTCTATTCTATCTCAAATAAGAAGTAATATCAATTTAAAGCCTTAGTTTCTCAAACAATTTTGTAACAACAAAAGAGAAAAAGAAGAAACATCATAGTTTAATTTTGGAGTACTTCCTGTTTTTCTCTTTCATGTTTAATATAATAAATAATTTGACAGAAACAACATTCAAGAGAAGTATTCTTCAACATACTAATAGATAGGTATTGGACATTTTAGTTTTATTTATTTATTTTTTTTGTTGAAACGAACAACAAAACAGAAAAGATAGACAACACGAAAAAAACACATAGATTTATTTTTTTTGTTGTTACTCTTCTTCTTGGTTTTGGATTAAATAATCAACGGGTAAAAATTAGTAAAGAATAACAACAGCTATGAAAATGAAATAATCATAATATATATATATATATACAATAAATACGACAAATATCTTAAATGCCTTTTCTTAATTATTTAGCATTGTTTTTTCCTGTTCAAATATCCACATAAGCTCTTGAAGATCTTCCTGAGCGAACAAACACACATACATATATATATTAGATTTGTGTAGATGGTTTAATCTTGCATATCTTCAGGAATTTCATGAGGATTGAGAATACCTAAAAGAGGAGAGAAAATTTTAATTAATTAAAAAAATATTTTTTTTTCTTTATTCATATATATACCGGGAACACTCATTTGTATTTTACGTTTTTCTTCAGCAGCAAGTTTTAATGTTTGTTCACGATCTTCTAAATATAAATCAGCTGTATCATTTCCATTTGTTTCACGTATTTGAACAAGAAAATCACGTAAATGTTCTTTAAAACCAACAATATCTTGATCTAATGCAACAAAACCTTCAATAATAACTTTGATTTGATTATCTTGTAAATGTGAAAAAGCTGTTTTTAATAAATTAGCCATAAATTGTTGAATATAAAGTAAATTTTGTGATGGATCTTGAACTTCAGGTGCTAATGGAATTTTAATAAGACCTTGTTCAGCAATTAAAAATAAATTTGCTAAGATTTGTGAATGAGCTGTTAAACCTTTGAAGAGAGAAAACAAAATATATAATTAAACTTAAAATTTCAATTTTTTCATGAGAAATATATGCATTCTGATGTTATTTGAGAGTTTGACATGCTTAGTTCTAAGTAGGTAAAATATAGGTAATTTCACTAGTGAAGAAATCATTCGAAATGCTTTTAAATTTAAATTTTGTTTACAAGTGACGCATACGCAGACTATAAAAAGTCTGAGAGAATATATATGCGCACAGTGTTTTATTTAGTAGGCGGACTGGGTCTTTGGCTGATTTGTCGATTTTTGAGTAGAATCGAAGTTTTCAAAATATCCATGTGTTATCCAAAATACAAAGAAAAGTTTTGCCTAAAAATTTTGTATATAAATTAGTGTAGTAGAAGTTTTGATATAGACAAAATTTCACATCAAAACTCTGATTTTATTCGAAAAATCACGTCCCATAAAAAAAATCGATATTTCAGTCAAATCACAGCTTGCGCATATACATTCTCTTACACTTTCTATAGTTTATATACGCCTCATTTGTGTATAAAATGTAAGCTCAAATGCTTTTTATTACGCCCAGGTGATTCCTTTGTTAGTGAGTTAAGATCAGAGAATAAAAGATCTAACCATTTTCGATACTAGTTATCCTTGTAACTTATAAAGATAGTTAAAGTATTTTAACTCTTATATATAAACAGTTTTGTCATTGTTGACTGTAATGAATTACCTGATGTATGTGAGCATTCAGCTACAACTGCAAAAATATGTTGCATTGTTTCAAGATAATAAACTTGATAGAAATTTTGTGCTGCTTGTGGATCACATGTTTGAAATTTTCTTATCATTGTTTGAAGAATTTCTAAACCTAATTCAGATATTGTTCTCATTGTATGTTTTAATGCCCACATAATCGAATCATAAACAAATTTAAATTGAGTTGCATTCAATGCTATTAATGCTAAAAATTAAAAGATAGTTTTTTTTTAAATAAAATTTAAATATTAATTCTCTTACCAGGAAAGCAAACATTTGCAACTGATTGAAGAAATATATAAAAATTTTTTCGATGATCCGGATAATCTTCAAAATTTTTATCAATCATATGAAGTGTATGTTCAAATGTTAAATCAAATACTTCCGGTACACGATTTATAAAACGATTTTCAGCTTTATTAACTAATATTGCTAATAAATTTAATACTTCCGATTCCCGTGCATCACAATGACAATCTCGATAATCAATTAAAACAAATGTTATTAATGGTGGAAAGAATTCATCAAGAATTTGTTGAGTATTATTTGCTTTTGAAAAATAATTTCCAATTAATATTAATGTATCTTCTTTAATAGCCATCATTGATTTAATTAAACGTTGCTTAACAACAATTGATCCATGAATTCTTATAGCTTGATTGATATTTTCTGATGTTACTTTATATATATGTAACATATCTTGATAAATCTTAATTAATTGATGTACATATGGTGCACCTAAAGCTTTTGATGCTCGTATATTTGTTTTAAGTATATTTAATATATTATTAATTATATCCGGATCTTTTAAACATTCAACAGATTTTTTCGCTTGAAATATAATTGTATTCCACATTTCATTTGGTAATTGCATATATTTATCAATTAATTTTGTTTGTTGAATAATATCAATACTAGCAGCAATCATATGTCCAACAGCTTCATAGAATGTTTGAACTTGATGAGCTTCCAAATGACAAATAATTCCATTAATATTAGTTAAAATTTCCTCGACAAATGGTTGAGATTCACCTAATTGAATTGTTATAAAATGTCGACGACATTTTTGAGATATTTTTATAAATGTATCGCATGCCATATCTTGTACACCTTCATGTGTTTCATGCATAAATTCAAATAATTTATTAACAACAGTTTTAAGAAATTTCCAATGTGCACGAAGAAAACGTGGATATTGTCCAACAACATACATTATATTTGAAGCAACAATCGCTTTATTATCTTTACCACGTTTTTGTTCGACTAAACCAAGTAATTCTTTAATAACAGTAACAAGAAAACGTTTTTCATCATCTTCAACCATTGCACCTGATATTGAACCAATTGCCCAACAAAGTGTATTTAAATTCTTCCATGACCATTCTGATCCATTTATTTGATTTGCTAATTTTTCTGTCATAATTGATTCCGTATCAAGATAATTTAAATGTGTTAAATAAACAAGTGTTTCACGCATATTTTTATAGAGATTAATAGCATCTGTATCTTTCATAAATTCTCGTACAACTTCTCCACGTTCATTTTCAACAATAAGTACTTCTTCTGGTCGTGCCATACGTGATATCATTACTCGTCGAACTTTTGATAGAATAACACTATAAAATTGTCGACGTGATGATGTATTATTCATATTTCTCATATATGATAATGCTGTTTGTTGATATGGTACTTCACGATAAAGTTCCGAACTTAAAATATTCCAATATTCTAAACATATTTTAAATATTTCAATATCATCAACTTCAGAAATAAAAACAAGATATTGTAATGCTTCAAGTAATGTTTCTTTTAAATCAGGTGTACGTTCAATTAATAATCCATGTTCTTTTAAAAAAATTGCTAAAAATAATGCTAAATTTTGAATAAATTTTTGATCATCATCTTTTGCTGTACGATATACACTTTTTAAATCAATTGTTAATGGCATAATTGTTTTAAGTTGAATCATTGTATGACGAAAAAATTCAATAAGTTTACTTTCATATTGTGATATTTGAATACTAGCTATTTCAGTTAAACAACGAAGTGTTACATTACGAAACATTGGTACAGTAAAAAATGTATCAATAAGTGTATTAGCCATATTTGTTTCAAATATATAACCAAGTGGAATCCAACTAAGAAAACGTAAAAGTGTTTCTAAAGTTACTAAAAGTAATGGCGGATGACGAGATTTATCCTAGAATGAAAACAAAAATAATTTATATCGAAGTTTTTCTATTTTCGCGAAAAACTCTAATCATCTGTTTTTGATTGCTCTAATAGATACTGTGCTGAGTCGACTAGTGATGCTCAAGAAAAAAAGCATACAGTTACAAGCTACACCTTGTCGAAAACTTAACTTAACCGAAAAACTCATATTTTACTAAAATGATAAGGAGGATAGATTCATCTTGTCTAAAACACTGTTTAAATTGAAATCGATACTAATCTCATATTCTTATTAATACAAGTAACGCTCGTCCGAGGACTCGCTTAGCTCTTTCTCGTAGAAATGCATCCTCTTCACATTTACTGAAAACCGTGGGAAAATCGGTTTTCAGTGTTTTTTTGACCTTTATCCCATCACCATGGTCACCCAACAGACCTTAGATTCGAAGTCCCCGTATCAAAATACCTCAAAAAATTTTTTTCCGAAAAATCAGTCTTCAATGTTTTTTTGACCCTGCGGACACACAAGCAATTAAGCAAGCAAACAATTTATGTTTCTAAGACTCTTCTCTACAAGAAACAGAATAATAGAAAATTTTCTTTACCACAACATATTCGCAAAGTTGAAAAATTTTTGTAAATTCAGTACACATTGTATCTTTTAAATGTTTAGCTTTCGTTTGTGTCATTTGACCTGATGAAAAATCAAATACTTCTTCACTAGAAATAGCAATATAAAAATTATTATATACACCAAAAATCTTTAAATTAATTACCTGAGAAGTTTTAAGATTTCTAAATTATTTTGACACATTGATTCGTTTGTTTTACTTGCTTCAACAATATCACTAATAAAGTTTGGCCAATTTTTTGGCCATTCATGTTTTAATATCTATAAAATTGAATTTTATTTTTTGAAATAATTAAATAAAATAAATGATTTACTTGTACAAGAATAATATTAAGTTTACTTAAATAAACTTTTTCACGTTCAATTGATTGTTGATTTTGTGAATGTGAAATAATCATACTAACAATAAATTGTTTAATTGCTTGAAAAAAAAACAAAAATAAATATTTTAAGTTTCTTTAATTTTTTCATCTCTCAAACCTTCACATTGTTCTTTTGGTAAAGTTTTCCAACGTATTTTTATTGTTTTTTCAAGTATTTGTAAAGCATAATATTTTGTTTCTTGACATTTTGAATATTCCAAAATACAATCAACTTTTGTCCATGCATCAGGATGATCACGTAAAATATTTAATACTTCACTTGCTTGTCGTTGCTTTAAAAAAAATTAAAAAAATAAATTTGAATGTATTCAATTAATAACAACAACATACAGCATCACCCTGTCCTCGATACATTGTATTAATAACAGCATCGAGTATATTAACATCAAATGTTGCTTGATTGTCAAAATTTAATAATGTTTGAGCTTGTTCAATTAATTGCATGATTTGAATATTTTTGTTTTTCTGTCAAAGTCACGTGTCAATAATTGTCGTTTAAAGAAGAAGAAAAAAAACAATAGTTTATGTCTTAATTTTGGTCTCGTCTATGTCGAAAACCGTCCAAAGTCAAGAAGAAAAAGTCCAAAGTCAGAAAGAAGTTAGTAGTAAGTGTCCTTGTCAAACACTGGTCAACTACATATCTAAAATAATAATAAAATTCAATAAATTAATCATTTGTTGTTTTTTAGAAATTATTTATTATGTAAAAATGTTTTTAATTATTAAATCTTTTCATTTTTCTATGAATAATGATGAAGAAATCTAACGACGGAATAGAGCGTCAATGTTCTGTGTATTGCATTACATATATATATGCTTATTATTTGCTAAGTCAAAAATCCTCCAATCATAAGATTTTATGAGTTAATGTGTCACGTCCGCAATTTACCAGAATAATTCTGTTTTGTTCTTTTAACTTTAAAATACATTTATACGGTTGAATTAATCATGAATAGTTATTCTTTTAAAATAAGATAAAAAAATAATTTTAAGCTAAAAATAAACATTTTTTTTTTATTTTGACATTAATGACATAAAGTTTGACTGATATCGATAATCATTTAAGTATTATTCAAATAAATCAATATTAGTCAAATGAACTTCATGTACAATCATATACCCTAACATTTAAAAGAAATATTATCGTTTATAAACAGAGGAATTTAAATCAATCTTATTTCTAATTCTCAATATAAGGTAATTTTATAATCATGGTCTAAAACATATTACAAGATTTCGTATCTGTAGAGAAATAGAGGGTTGAAAAAAACTTAAATCTAAGTATTAGATATCCCCACTAAATGGATATGAGAAATAATAATGAATAAAATCTTTTAGAATATTATTCTCAATATAAACGGATCATTAATCTGGAAAGATCGAACAAAAGCATAGTATCGAAAAGAAATACAAATAATCATTCGTTCATTTTATTAAAGAAATGCATATAATGTAAATAATAGAAGCATACTAATTATTAATCGATGCTTTTGTTCGTTCAAGTTGAGACATCCAAATATCAAATGAAGTTCCATTTATCATTGCCATATCAAATAAACCTATATTTGAATCCTTTAGTTTTAATTTATCAGCCTTACGATTTTTAAGAATTTTTGTTATAATCTGTGTTACATAACCCAATCCGCTTAATTTACCTGTTAATAAAAGAAAAATTATACAGTATCTTTCTAAAATTACAGACCTGTTTTAATTACATGCAATAAAAGAATTAATATAGTGACATATTCACGCCACAGCATACAGAATTGACGTTGATATTATTTAATATATGATGGTATCAAATAAAAACTAAACTATTCACTCAATTCATACTATTCTTTTTTTATGAATGATATATACAAAACTAAATCTCGAGATGACGAAATATCAGTTTGTCAGTTTTCGGTAGGCTAGATGAAACTCTCTTTAAATGATCAATTACTAGTGACATCTATCTGATTATTTTATTTTTTTAAAATATCATTATAGAATATGAAAATAAGTAAATTTTTTAAAAAGATCTCATAGAAATATAAATAAAGGAAAAAAAATATTTTAATAGAATTTACTCATTTTAAATAATAAGCAAGAAGAGGATATACATTCGACAATAATGGTTAACAAGGGTCAGTTATAACTATATAGCTTACTCAAAAGACATCTGCATAAGCAATTCTATTGACATATTAATCATACAATCAATAGAAAATATTCTCTAGATATAAACACACATACATATTCATATATACATTCTAGAGTTGTTTTAATAACAAATTTTCTTTTAATGATAAGAGTACATTTTAAATCTATTAAAAGTGTCATCCTATCGTAGAGTAAGTTTATTCCGTTTCATAAAGGCTATTAAATCTTTAAAAACAAAATCAACCCAGCACGTATTTATCTTTTTGCTGTTCTCCTATTTTTCAATATTTTGTATCACTAGGCATGAATTGTTTGTACGCGACATAACTTATTTTTTTTTTGTGAGTGTCCTACTTATATTGCTTGATCTTAGTAACCTATAATTATATTGATATTTAATGGAATGACGTTTCAATTGCTGATAGTTTTTATAAAAATATGAAATTTATTTTTATATATTCAATTAATTACAGATCCATTGTTCTTTTTTTCTTCCATTGCTCTGGTTGGCCATTGTCACCGTCCGACTATTGATGGCGCAACCGAGTCGAGCTCGCGTTTATGCCGATTGCAATACGCATCGACCACGGTAAGTGAATATTTTTTTATTCGAATATTTATTTTCTTAATTAATTGATTACATATTTAGCGAATACTACGACTACGAGCTGCACGTTGTTGAGTGGGGGTAAGCATATCAAATTAATTATATTTTTTGTAATTAATTTATTTTTATTCAAGTAATCAAGATGATTATCAGATCGTGCGTAAGCTCGGTCGAGGAAAATACAGTGAAGTATTTGAAGGTATCAATATAACAAATAATGAGAAAGTTGTTATTAAAATTCTTAAAGTAATTATTAACAAGAATAAAAACAAACAAACAAATAATTTCTTTGATTTTTTAGCCAGTTAAAAAGAAAAAAATCAAACGTGAAATAAAAATCTTACAAAATTTACGTGGTGGACCAAATATAATAACATTACTTGATATTGTCAAAGATCCTGTTGTATGTTTTCTTTTCTCTTATAACAAAAAAAACATAGAATTTTATTCTAGTCAAGAACACCTGCACTTATTTTTGAAAATGTTAATAATACTGATTTCAAAGTAATAATTAAAATCTAATTTAAAAAAATATTTATTTTTTAAATTTAGCAACTTTATCCAACACTTTCTGATTATGATATTCGATTTTATATGTACGAATTACTTAAAGTATGTTATGAAATTTTATGTTGTGTTTTTTTCCCTCTAATTATTGTTTATAGATATTCGAGAAAGAAGTTGTTGGTCTTTCCTTTTTTTTACTATAAATATAATTATTCAGATAATTACATCCTGCTGTAGATATAGATTATAATTATGAATAATTTTAAGAAATTATATTAGAATTAAAATTTATATTAGTATTATTAGGTGAAGAAATTTATTCTATTGAGAAAAAGATGTTGATTGTTTTGTAGTAAATTTGTTAGTAAATAAAATTTAGTCTTCAATTCCTAAATATCGATTTATCAGTATACCCTCTGGGCATTTTAATCTCATCCCTTACATCCTCCTCTTTTTTTCTATAAAACATCTTAGTCTGAATATTTTTAGTAGTAGCGATTTCCGCTTTATCTTAAAAATATCATCGACATGCTTAAGTTGTCAATATAAATTTTTTTCTTTCTAATTATTAATAGGCACTCGATTATAGTCATAGCATGGGTATCATGCATCGTGATGTAAAGGTAAATAATTATTTATATATATTTTTGAAGATAAAAATAGATTAATTATATTTTAATTTTAGCCACATAATGTAATGATTGATCATGAAAATCGAAAGGTAAAGGAAAACAAAAATATTTTTCTTAGATAATTTAATTAAATAAATTCTTTAGTTACGATTGATTGATTGGGGTTTAGCTGAATTTTATCATCCAAATCAAGAATATAATGTTCGAGTAGCATCACGTTATTTCAAAGGACCAGAATTACTTGTTGATTATCAATATTATGATTATTCACTTGATATGTGGAGTTTAGGTTGTATGTTGGCTAGTATGATTTTTCGTAAAGAACCATTTTTTCATGGTCATGATAATTATGATCAGGTTAGTTGAAATGTTTCTTGTATTATTTGAAAAAAAAAGTTTTTGTTTTTTTGAAAATAGCTTGTACGAATTGCTAAAGTTCTTGGTACTGATGAACTCTATGAATATCTTGAAAAATATCAAATTGAACTTGATCCACGTTTTAATGAAATTCTTGGACGGTAAAATATAAATAAGAACAATTGTTTTTTTTATTATATTCATTGATTTTCTTTAGACATTCCCGGAAACGATGGGAACGATTTCTTCATTCAGAAAATCAACATCTTGTTAGTCAAGAAGCATTAGATTTCTTAGATAAACTTTTACGATATGATCATAATGATCGTTTAACAGCTAAAGAAGCTATGGATCATCCTTATTTTCGTAAGAAATACTTTTTTTCTTCTTCATAAAATTCAATATTTGATCTATTATTTTTTTAAAAGATCCAATTGTACGTGATCAAGGTCGTCCAGTAAATGCTAATTCTCAAACATTACTTTCAACCACTGGTAGATAAAAATCAATTGAATGAATAAATAAATATTTAAATAAAATAATTTTAGCTGGTGCCTCTGTAACTTCGACAACATCTCCGTCGCCGCTTAATGTGAACAGTAGCGCATCAACGAATAATCAGTAAACGAAAAACTAATATAAATATATATATCACCGTTATTGTTTTTCCATCGGAAATGATTATAATATGCTGCTATTAGACGATCTTCTTCTTTTTTTTCTGTTTTCTTTTTTTTTTGTTGGTTATTTGATGGTCACTTTACTGTCGTCATTGTCTTTCTTCTGTTGTTCTTTTCTTTCGTTTTCTCTTTTTTTTTTTTTACTTCAAACGTTCTTTGTAGCAGTATGAGCGTTTCCAAAAACAAAAATGAATGGTGATCATAAAAAAACATATTTGTTTGTCTATGCATAATGATGGAAATATAAAACATTTGTCGTTTCTTTTCTTTTTTTCTTCTTTTTTTTTCACTGATCATCATTTCTCTTGCCGTGTGAAAAATAACCTTGTTTATCTAGGAGAACTTTTTACATATTATTATAAATCTATATATATATATATATATAAATATATATTTTTTTTGTCTTCTTCTCATCTGTAACAGACAACAAACGTGGGTTAGCGAAAATTTCATATGGCAAAGAGATGCAAAAAAAAAATTTTTGTGTTTGTTCGTTATTTGTTTGTTCTTCTTCTGCTTGACTTGTCTTTTTTTTCTCTTCTTTAGTTCAAATGATGTTACAAAGAGCATTTTTTTTCCTTCTTTTCTTTGCATATGCGTACTATATATAAAAACAAAAACGAAAAAAAAAAAATCTATCCAAGAAACAAACTTTAAAAAAAAACCAAATCTCGTGATTGTCTCAATTCTTTGTAGATTTTTTGTTAATTGATTCTCATGTCGAATGATCTGGAACATCGTAGTTCACCACCTGATTTTGGTGATGATGAAATGAAAGATGATGATCAAATGTTTAAATCAGCTACATTACCGGTTACCGATGATATTCCATTAAGTGAAGATGATGAAGAAGATGAAAATCCATTTGGTGAACCATCTGTAAGTAAAAAAGCATCAACAAATATTAATGAATTATCTACAAAAAATGATACACCATTAACTATTCCATCTGTAACACCTATTGCTGTATTAGAATCACCACCAATGAAACAAGATAATCAATTCTTTCCAAGTGATACCGGTATTAACTCAATAGAATCAAGTACACAACCGGTATATGAAAATCAATCTTCGGCAATCTCAAAACCTATAACAAATGAAAATATTAGTACAACTAAACCAATACAAAAACCAAAAGAAGATCATAATATTGAAATAACTGTTAATGATCCTACAAAAGTTGGAGAAGTATGTATATTTATTTATTCCTATTGAATGTATATATGTATATTATTCTTAGGGTATGTCATCATATATGACATATCGTATAACAACAAAAACATCATTATCAATGTTTAAACAAAAGGAATTTTCAGTCAATCGTCGTTTTAGTGATTTTCTTGGTTTACATACAAAACTTGTTAGTAAACATCTTCAAATGGGTGTTATTATTCCATCACCACCTGAAAAAGATTCATTATCAATGGCTAAAGTTAAAATTTCCAAAGATGAAGGCATACCAACAGATTTTATTGATCGTCGTCGTTCACAATTAGAACGTTATTTAAATCGTTTAGCACATCATGATAAATTAATTCAAGATCCAGATTTTCGTGATTTTATTGAAATGTCATCTGATTTACCTAAATCAACAAGTACACAAGCATTAAGTAGCGCTGGTGTTCTACGTGCATTATCAAATATAACAAATCAAGTTACAAAATTAACAACAAAAACAAGTGAACAAGATCAATGGTTCGAAGAAAAACATACATTTATACTTGATTTACATACAAATTTCAAACAATTATTTAATCATTTCAATACATTATTTACTCAACGTAAAGAAGCTGGACAAGCATTAAAACTATTATCAACATCATTAAATCATCTAGCAACTATTGAAGAACATACATTATTATCAAGTGCTTTAATTGAATTAGCTAATGTTGAAGAAAAAATTGAACAAATAAATATTGATCATTCATTAAAAGAATATACTTTAATAAGTGAATTAATTAAAGAATATATTTCATTATTAGAAATGGTTCAATTAGCATTTCAAGAACGTATTAAATTACATCAACAATGGTTAACTGCTGAAGATACATTAAAGAAAAAACGTGAAGCAAAACTAAAATTAGAACAAACAGCGAAAAATGTTGATAAATTACCTCAAGCTGAAATGGAAATCAATGAATGGGATGGTAAAGTTATACGTGGTAAAGAAGAATTTGAACGTATATCAACATCAATTAAACAAGAATTAGAAAATTTTGAACAAACACGTATTGATGATTTTAAACAAGGTATACAATTATATTTCCAACAATTATTAGAACAACAAGAAAAAATTTTAGAAATTTGGGAAAGTTATTTACCAGAAGCAAATAAAATAAATTTATAAATTTGAATTCTTTTTTTCCTCGAACGACACAATTTGTGATTATAATCTTATTCGCGGCGCATTTTACTTCTAGAGTTTTAAAGTTATATGATATACTAATTGTTAAACAAATTTTTGCTTATTATTTTTCTTTTTCTCTCATTTTATTTCTCATTTAAATATTCTATCTGATTCATTCCATGCTTATATATTTAAGAAAAAAAAAAAACAAGAACAGAATTTTATTTGTAGATGTATTTCATATATTTATTAATAATATTGATTAGTTTAATTACACAAATTCTTGCTCAACAAAGTTCTGTCCAAATACAAAAAATTGAAGCTGATCCACCAAATCCAAATGTTGGTGAAGGTTTAAAAATTCGTTGTTTTTTAATTAATGTTGATCCATTTGCACAATATCCAACACAAGTTTTATGGAGTATACGAAGATTTAGTCAAGATAGAGATTTTCGTATATTAGCATATGGTGGTTCTGTTCGTGATACATTAAGTGGTCGTGTAAGTGCACGAAAAGAATCGGAAGAAGTCTATGAAATTGTTTTTCGTCCTGTACAAGAATCTGATTCAGGTGTTGTTCGTTGTGAATTAGCAAATACGGAAGCACAAGTACGTCTTGAACAAACAATTAATGTTCTTGTACCACCATCAATTGTTTATATAACTGCTGATGTTCAAGTACGTGCTGGTGATCCAGTTACACTTGAATGTCGTGCACAAGGAAATCCTCCACCATTACTTATGTGGATAAGACAAGGTCAAGAATATCCAACATCATATAGTGGAATATATACAATTGAAAGTGTTAGTAAAGATGATCGTGGTTTATATAAATGTGTTGCTGAACAACAAACCGGACAAAAATTAACAGCAGAAAATTATGTTAATATATTTGTTGATTTTGATCCAACAGTTATATGTGATCAAATTATTGTTGAGCAAGTACCGAATATAAATGCTGATGCTGAAATAACATGTTTAGCTGAAGCATATCCAATGAATGTTTTAAAATGGGAATATTCTCAAGGTAATACAAATGTTCGTCGTGCTATTTCAACTGGTGCAAAATATCGTATTGATACAAATGTTGCATCGGATTCAATTGATAGTCGTTATGGTAGTCGTTTAATTATAAAAAATGTTGATGCAAATGATTTTGGAAAATATACATTAATTGTTATGGATGAAAGTAAACGACAAGCTAGTGCTTGGTCAGAATTACGACCTAGTTCTTATATTCGACCATTTAATCATTCAATTTCATTCTTCCATTTTTATTCGTATTTTTTGATATTTTTATGTCTGATTGTAAATATCTTTTTTATAATGATCTAAATGAGAAAAACATTTTTTCTTTTCTCATTGTATATATATATTAATGTGACTTTTTTTCTGTGCTTTTTTTTTTACATATATTGATACAATAGTTTAAATATAGTTGCTTATTAATAAAATATTGATAGAATTTAAAAAGAAAGAAAATTCATGATTAAAGTACTCCAAGTGTATAAATATCATTATACCATCCATTATCATGCCATCCACCAAATAACCACATATATCCATTATATAAAACTGCACTATGTCCTTCTCGTGCTGATGGAACATTTTTTTGTAATTTTAATTGTTGCCATTGATGTGTTTGAAGATTAAGTACAAATAATTCATTACTTCGTTGTATACCAACATAACCTCCAAACATATAAAGATTTTCATTCGATAAAATACAACTATGACGACCACGTTTAGCTGGAATAACACGAGAACTATCACTATATTTTAATTCTGTCCATTCTAATGTATTAAAGTTAAATGAATGACAATCATTAAATTTTCCACAACCTAAACCGCATACAATATAAAGATGATCATTATATATATGTGCACCACCATATGAACTTCGACGTGGTGGTGGATTTATTTGATTAACAATAAACCATTGATTTGTTTTAAATGAAAAACGATGCATATCATTAAATTTATTATCACCAATTCCACCAAATAGATACATCGAATTTTTATAAACAACAACTGAATGTGCACTACGTGCACGTGGTGAATTTGAACATGGAACAATTTCCCATTCATTTCGATCAAATATATATCTATACATATCATTTAATTTTCCTGATGAATCCCATCCACCAAAAATATACATCATATTATCATAAATACAAGCACTATGTTTCAAACGTTTGGTTGGTAATGTTGATTCATCTTTAGGCTTAATTTCTGTCCATTGATATGTATCAAAATCAAATTTAAATAAATCATTATATCGATGTTTACCTAAACCACCAAATATATACATAGAATTATTATAAATAACGGCACTATGACCACTACGCGATTCAGGTCGTGCACCGTTTGTTTCAATTCGTGTCCATTGAAGTTCTTCATTCGCCGACATTTATTATCTGAATATATTATATTTTGTTTTTGTCTAGTTCTTTTATACTCTTATCATTTGTTAATTTATAATACTCCTACACTTTTTCGCGGAGTCTTTACGCATAAAACAAGAGAAAAAAAAGAAGAAAATTCTATGTTCTTGTTGTTTTTTTTGTCTAAATTAATACAGTTGCTGTTGTTAAATATCAATAACCACTATCATTGTCAATTGATTTGCTACGTGCATAAGAAAATGAACTATGATTTTCATTCATAATTAATGACTAAAAGATAAAAGTATGTTAATTCGATATACATATATATATTCATATTTATTTACCATTTTTTCATCTTTTGCTGGTGGATTTCGTAGAAAGAACATTAAAGGTGCATAGCAAAGACAAATAAATGCAATCGTATACAGCATACAACGAAAACCAAATGCATGTACGATAAAACCACTCATTGCAGGACCTAAAACAATAAGAATTGTATTTTAGAATTAAACAAAAACGACAAATTTTATCATTTACCTATTGCAAAACCAAGACAAAATGCAACATCGGCAATGGCATAAACACTTCCATATACAGATGCATGACGTAAATCAACTAAATAACCCATTGTTGGCATCATTGATGAATCAACCATACCAATAGCAAAACCAAGTATACCATTTGGAATAATTAGACCATAGATACTTGTAGCCATTGGTACACCAATTAAAGCAACAGATATAAGTATCATACCAATCATGCAACATAACCATCTAAAAATAATATTGAAGAATATAAAGAAAAAACTAAAAATTTATTTCTATATACCTTCCCATTTTATGAGCCATTGGTCCAAATAGATTCGTACCAATTAAATATGAAATTGAAGCAGGTAAAAATGCAGCTCCTTAATTTTTTGAAAGAATTTCCAAAAATTAAGAATTTAACTAAAATAAATCAATTTACCTTGTTGGAATTCGCTTGCTCTCATTGTTGTCATCATCCAAATGGGTAATGATGGTTCCATCATTGCAATTCCAACATTACCAAATGTAATTGCACCTATTTTATTATAAATAAAACAGAATGATTAATTTATTTTTTTTCTTTACCAGCAGCAACAAGAATATATGGATCTTTAATAAGTGTTTTCAAAGAAGCCCCTTCTACTGGTTCACCAGATACACCAGGTTGTAATACAGATAATTGTAATACTATTTATTCAATAATTATTAATGAAATAATTCAAAAAATAAATTCTTACTTCCATCAAATAAGCCTAGTGCTGCTAAAACTAAAAATGGTGATGCTTTACCAACATATTCATACATAAATCCTCCAAATGGTGGACCAACTAAAAGAAACAATTCAAATGAAATAATTCTAATAGAAAACTGTACCTAATACACCAAGTGCCAATCCACCTAATGCAGTTCCCATTGCTTTACCTCGTTCTTCATCATCCGGATAACGATCAGCTAACATTCCAAGTCCTAAATAAATTACCGTAAACATTTTCTATTCATTTTTATTTTTGTATTTATCTACCTGATACACTCGAACAAGCAGATCCAATACCTTGTATTGCACGAGCAAGAAATAATAAACCAAAACTTTTACTAAAAACAAACGCTAGAAAAGCAATAGCATGTATATATGTCTAGATATCATTAAAATTCTTACTAAGAGTTGATACAAACATAATAACGAATCCAGAAAACATTGGCAAACTATAACCCACTCTATAATATATTAAAGAAAATACATAATTAGATTAATATTTTTTTTTCTTTTATTACCGATTTGTTAATGGCCCAATAAATGGATTTGTTAGTAATTGAACGAAAGCTTTTGATGCAAACATAACTCCAACCCATCGATTTTCCTTTTTGTGAAAAATGAGAAGATAAATAATTATCTTTATTTTTTGAATAATTCATACATTTTCTAAAATTATTGTTCGTTGTTTATTTTCGATTTCTGTTTTATTCATAGCCCAATCAACTGTCCAATTACAAGATGTACGAAGTATTTTTCGAAATTGAAATGGATGACGAACAAAATAACTTCGATGTCGAACAAGTTCATCATTAGAACAATTTTTAGCTAGAAATTTGTATGTTTCATCCATGGGTGATTTAGGATTTTGAAGATGATAAAGATAATCAGGAATAATAGGTACTTTTTAAATAGACAACAATAAAAAAATTATTCAATTCTATGAATTAAACTTACCAATAGTAGTTAAAAGCATATTATCAAGAAATAAAGCAACAAAGACAATAAATAAAATAAGTACACGTGATGAACGCCATTTAAACCAAAATTCTCTTAGAGAATGAATTGTTAAATCCGGCATATTTAATTTCAATGATGATGATGATGTTGTTCTGTCTGTTTAACTAAAGAAGAAATAAGAAATCTAACTGATCTCTTGTTGTTGTTTTTTAATTATATGATAGAATGGGAAAATAAATGATCAATATGTGTCATAAAATGATCAACACAATATGGGACAAAAGATTTCTAAGTGGATTTTTAACCTGAGTGTACACATAAAGAATAGAAATAAAAGAAGAGAAAAAGAAAAATGATGATGATGATGATGATGATCATAAGTGTTTGCTTGTTTGCTAACTTTTCTGAATTTGCTTATATTCTTTATGATCGATAGATGGGTTTCCGGTGAGACCACAAATCTTGTCAAAGTTTGGACCGATGTCGTTGCTTTCTTTTTTTTCTCCTTTTTGACCGACAAAATCTCGTTTAACGTATTTATCGATATAATTGTTCTATCGTGTTCCTTGTCTTCGTTCTGTTTCATATATATAAATATATATATATAGTCATTAGAAAACACGTTGCACTGAGATTGCAATTATTCCCTCTCTTGTTCAAGACGATGATTTAGTATTTATAGATTCATTGACAAAGAGAAAGAAATATCGAGAGAAGGCATAAATATAAGAAAAGAAATGTCAAATACAGACCTATTTACACACGTCAAAATTAAAGTAAGAAAAAATAGACGAATTGACAATGTACTTCCAAATAAATTTTATTTGTTCCGTTTCAATATGTGACAAGCGATGACAATGACGTCTTTAAATCAATCTGTTATTTAAATGCATACTATTTTAATAAGAGAAAGTGGATAAGAAATTTTCTTTAGTATGTTTTTCTTTTCCCCGAATCGGTTCAATAGAGTACAAACACGCACATATAGATAACGTAACATTAATGTAAAAATAAATTTCATGTAAATTATTAATCACGAATAGTAAAAATAGACAGACGATAATATTTAAATATTTCTCAAAGACATTTTCAAGATCTTAAAAATATGTCTAAACTTGATTTATTATTTATTTTTACTACATTAAATAGATTGTTACTAAATTTGATTAAAAACAATTTTCTCTGATAGTACACTATAAATTTTTTTGAATTTTATGATTCTCTAGTTGATTTTCCCGAATCTATGAATTCAAATTTGTTTCCCAGCAAAAAACCGCTAATGATTTTCAAGTACTTAGAAAATACTGGTCAGATTCATATAGGCATTTCTAGAATATTCTTCAAAAAAACTCTATAACTTATTTTCTAGTTTACAGTGTATCGAAAAATAAAGTATTGTGAAAACATATATTCTATAATAAAAGTCCCCCGACTAATCTTTTATGATCAGTAGCAATTCACACTTTATTCAATGTTGTAAAAACATATATTACTTAAATTATATATATATAAGAAATGGTTATAAAACATCTGCTTAACATTATTATCGAAAATATTAAAAAAAAGAAGAAGATAAATCATCATTGATTGACTTTTGTTTTTCTCTATTAAATTCTGAAATATCATATTGGATATTGTTGAATAAACACTTTAATAAAGAAGAAAAATAAAAACGAAAGAACATACTCGATTATGTTTTTCTTTACCAAACGAATATGATTATATTCATATTAAAACTCTATTCTAATAATACTCGTCATTTTTACTAAAGAATAGATTAAGAGAAAAAAGAAAAGAAAACTATCCTAGCGAATAAGAGAACAAATGATCAAAATCAGCAAATCACGGAATGTCGTTTTCTTTTGCTTGTCTATCTTTTTCTTCTTCTTCTCCTCCTATTTTTTATCAAAACTATATGAACGCTTTGGGTTTCTTTTGAAATTTGATCACATATACATCTATAATCATATACATATGAAACTTCGGGTGTCATTCAAAGAATCACTCCAGTTATTATGATAATTCACTAGTCGACTGAACAACAGACGAATAATAATAATAATAATAATAATAAAACTAACAACAACAATAACAGCAAACAGCAATGAGAAGAAAATGACGACATCAAGATGATCATCTTCTGCATCATGACGACTTCCTTCGATTAGCATAGATCGAATCACGCGTACACAAGAGAAGACTTCAATGATGCGTTTGTCATGCATATAGACAAAAAGAAACCGAGATTGATAGACAAAAAATCAAAGATTTTGTTAATTAACTATTATCCATAAAATCAAATAATAACAAAAAAACATTCATCTTCTTTTTTCCTCTTCTTCTTCTCTCTTTATATATTATCCATTAAAACAAAACTCATTATTACTGTTAATAGATGAATAAGAAGATTTGCACCACTACAAATAAATATTATAATAAGTAAAGAGAATAATGTTAAGTCATTTAATTTTGATAATGTTTTATATTCTAAAATAGTCTTAATAAAAAGAAAATCATTTATTGTATCTTAAAATATAATCAAAATAATTTACTTTGGAAGTTATATAAATTAAATGAATGATTTGTATTATTGATAAGATATAAAAACTAATCGAAATAATCCAATGATGAATTTTATTATTTGCCTTGAATTGATAAAAATCAAATATATAGTTTTTTTTGGTTTCTTAGAGAAAAAAAAACGATTTTTACCATAAGTATTCCCATGTATAACCATAATGAAACAAGAGGTATTCCAACTGATAAGAAAACAATTTGATAAAAACTAAAATCTGATTGATTACGAATAGTCAGTATCAATAAGGAAATCTATAGAAATATTTAAGAACAAAATGATAATGTTTAGATTTTTTTACTATTAATAGAAAATCAAGATATAAAAACCAAGAAAATGTTGTTGATCGTGGATAGATTATTTCTTCTTTTATTCTAAAATAAAATTACTTTTTTATATATAAGAAATTTAAATCTAAATAAAATATACGAAATATTCATTCGATATTCATGAACTATAATATTCGTCCATGGAACTATTAATATTAGTAAAATCAATACAAAACCTAATCGAATCTATAGAAAACAAAAATAAATTCTCAATAAAAAAACAAATAAATGTAATCTTACAGTTGAATGATGTAAATTTTTATCATTGAATAAAATAAAACGAATGTAAAAATCAACGCTAATATAAGTCGATAGAAGTACAATAGTTAAAGTTGTTAGAACAGCATTAGTAATACCTAGAAAATAAAAATAATCATTTGAATTTATTTTAGTTTATATAATTTACGACAAAAAATAGCTGTTGAAAATATTGAACTAAGTACATAGACTAAATAGAATTTTATTATTTAAAAAAGGTAAAGTTAACTTAAATCAAACCTGAATGAATAAGAATTAAAATACAAAATGCAAATTCCGAATTATTTTTTTTCATAGTTCGAATTTGTTCAAAAGTAAGCATGATAATTATAAAAATAATTACAATTCCTATTATGGAATAAAACCATCGTTGAAAACGAAATTTATTATTCATGTTGATTACAGTTCTTTTTTTTTGTCTTTCTATATTGAATAAATAAAACTAAACATTTGTATTTCTTTCTCGATTCATTGACATAAAGTACGTGTCATTAGATTATAAAACATATAATAGACAAATCTTTTTTCAATGTCAAATATTTACTAATTTTTATTCATAGAGATTGTATTGTACGTGCTTATTTTTAACTTGAACGTTATCCCCGAGTACTTATGAGAAAAAAAAGGAAGTTTTAACAAAAATTATTGATTCTTTTCGGAGATTCCCGATAAAGTTCGAAAACATCAATGATTCGACTTTTTTTGTGAATAATTGATATGATTTATTTTTAAAAATAAACGAAAATTTCAAAGCATAAGAAATATGAAAAGCTCTCAGCACCATTTACAGTACATTAAAAAAAACAAAACAAGAATTTTTTTTACATTTTTAAAACAAATTTATTGTTCTTGGATTTGTCTTCATTTTCATTATCTGATGATGTTTGTATTGACATATGACGTGCTTCAATTTCTTCTTCTTCTTCGTCTTGTTTATTAGTATCTATATTTTCATCATCTTCTGCAATATTTGCCAATGTAATATGTGCTATACTTAATTGTTTCATTATTTGTATCGGATTCACATTTGTTTCACTAGAATTATTTGTCGATAGAATAGGTGCAGAATTTGATGTTGATAACGCTTTATCTGAGTTAATAGGATTCATTAAATTAGGCATGGATGTTGTACTAGTAACTGATGGTATATTTGATATTGTTGTTCCTATATCATTCGATTCAATTCCACTATCAATTGAACGTACTTTATCTAATGTTGAATAAAAATTTTTTTTAAATAAATGAAAATTATCTTTAATCAATGGATTTGTATCACGTGTTAATGATGATAATAATTCTCCAACAACAAGTACACCTTCATTTAAAAGAAGACTATTTTTAGCTAAATCATCACGTGTTTCATCTAAACGATTCATCATTTCAAAACGTAACATTTGAATATCTTGTTTCAGTTCTTCAAAATCTCCTTCACGAATTTCATCTTGTTCTTCACGTTGTTTATGTAAAAGAAAACGTTTTATAACACGTTCCATTACTTTACGATATGTTAATGTTTGATTTAAATCTAATGATTTTCGACGTGGAACATAATTTATATTATTTGTATGCGCTGTTTGACCATTTGATATAACTGCTATAGGAATATTTCGATTGACATTTGGTGATGGTCGTCGGATCATAACTGGTAAATTTGTATTATTACCTGTTGAACTATCATGATCAGAAGGATTTGATGAAGATTTTTTTTTATGATGAAATATTCGTAGATAGAGATAATATACACTTTTCGGAGTTGGAATTATATTGAATGGAACAGGTAATGTGCCACCTAGAGAAAAATATAAAATTATTTATTTTATTTAATTAGCTCTAAAATGATCAATATAAATACCTTCTTTAATATATTCCATATAAAGTTTACTTCGAGCAAATTTCCATTCGACATCAGCATGTTCTTCAATAGTTTCATATGATTTTGACATCATAGCAATAAGCATATTAAGTAAAACGATAACACTTGCAATATTAAATGTTCCATAAATTAAATATCCAGTTAATTCTGTAAAACGATTATTATAAGCTCCTAATTTAACTCCATCTTTTTCTGATAAACCAAATAATGACCAAAAAACAGTTTTAAATGTTGCACCCATTCTAAAATTGAAATATATAGATTACATAGAGAATTTCCAATAAAAACATACGTTCCAAAATATGTTTCAGCTGGTAATGGAGGATCATCATTACCAAAATCATGTTGTACAATTTCAACATTTTGACGTACAGATTTACTGTAATACCAAAATAAATTATTTAATCCAAACATAAATCCAGAAAAGATTATAAGAAATATAATTATAAATTTTCCAATATCCTTTTAAAGAAGAAAAACAAATCAATAGATTATTAGATTTGTTTTTGAATTACTTACAGACATCATACGACCAAGTGAAATTTGTAATGGTCCTAAATGTTGAAATGCTGGTAAAAGAAAACATATACGTGAAAAACTGAATATATTTGCTATAGCAAAAAGTCCTTCAGCAACATTAACTGGATCAAATGCAACCCAATAAAAACGATCTAAAATATTTCAATTTCTTATTATAATAGAATAAAATAAGTTTTAAATTACCAGCATTTAACCAATATAATGTTTGATAGACACTTTGTTGTTTTTCTTTAGTTGAATTAAATAGTTCTTTTATATCAGTTATAAAATAAGGATTTTCAATTGTTCGAATAGCAATTGTTACCTAAATAAATTCGAATTTTGGATTTTAAATCAATCGATTAATTGAATTCATACTTGATAGAAAACATAATATTTAAGTGCAAATGATGATAAATATAAAATATTCATGCATGAATCAACAATATTATTCCATGAAAGAAGATAATCTTTAAGACCATCTATATACCCTTGTTTAATTTCATGCCAAAGAAAACCTAAACAAAACAAAAAAAACAACATTTCAGTATTTCTTTTTTTTCTCTTTGATGATTTATTACCAACAATAAAAATAGTAATTGCTATATCAATCCAAGTTGGAGTATTAAGTCGAAAGAAAAAATCATCAATTGGATAATAAAGGCAATTATTAGATGTTGAATTATTTTGACATGATTCAATTGTTTGATTTAATGCTAATGATATAGCAGGATAATTTACCCTTAATTGTATTAATGGTTTTTGAAATTCACTAGCAAATAAAAGACTTGATAAAATTATTAATATAATAAATATTCCATATGATACTGTATGACCAAGAAATTTTATACATGGTTGTTTAAGAAATTTTTGTAACTAAATTAAATAATGAAATTAATATTCAATTTTAATTTCATTTTTACCTTAATTGTACGTTTTGACCATGATGTGAGTATATAACATATACATATAAATGGTAATACGAAAATGTAAGCAATAGTTAATAAAAGTATAATTAAAGGATTTAATTTAAATATATTACGAATATCACTATGCCAAATTTCAACTAATTTTTGTTGACAATTAGAATGAGCAACAAACTAGATGTATGTTAATAAAAATCAACTAAATCTAAACATCTGGAGTATGAAATTAGACCTACCGGTTTTTCTTCATATTTAATAGCAAGATAAAGTCGAGCTAATAAAAGATATTTTTCTTCTGTTTCTTTTCCTGTTTTTCCTAACACACATTCAAGTTCTTTATGACCACGAACTTTATCAAGTAATTTAACAGCATATGCACTTAATTGATTAGCTAAATTAATATATTCATTCTAAATAAATACATATTAAATGAATAACGTAAGGTAATGTTTAGTTGAATTTACTTTAAAATATTTTTCTTTTCGAGATAATTCTCTTAATTCATGTCCAAGTTCAAATGCAGTCAGAATTGGATCAATTGATGCTAAACTAATATAACTTTCACTTGCTAAACCACGATATGCATTTAAACGTGATTGTGCATGACGTAAAGAATCAAATTTAAATTTATTATGACATTCTTGACATTTACAATGATAATCATGAGGTTTTATTATACGATCACCGTCGCGTAATAATAATTGAACTAAAAAATAAAAAAAAAAATAAAGAATTCAATATAAGAAATTTTAATTTACCAATTTCAGTACGATTATATTGTGATGCTAATATTAATGGTGTTATATCAGGTGCAAATTGTGCATCATCTGATGATGGTGTTAACCAAAATGGATCATCTTTAAAAATATTTTTTTCATTTAGTCTTTTATAATTTGGATGACGTAAACATGCTTCGGCTATTTGAATATGACCAAGATAAATAGAAAGTAGTAATGCTTCACGCATTTTTTGTCCATCACAATGTTGTAAAAGAAGTGTCACAACCTAAATATATATAAATGAATAATTTAGAAAAAAAAAGAAGAATTTTTTTACTTCAAGATGTTCATTTTCAATAGCTAGTCGCATTGCTGTACGACCTAATTGATCAGTTGCATCAATATTAATTTTTGGATTATCTTTAAGAATTCTATTAACAGTATTATAATCTCCATTTTCACATGCATGTACAAATTGTTCAGTGATATTGAATTCCTAATTTAAAAAAATTTCAAATTAAATATATATATATTACATAAATAAATCGATATTATTACTCCATTTCTAGCACCATTGTTGTAAATTTGTTTATATAAACTAGTTCGACCACCAGTATAATTAATGCCATGATTTGCAGCACGTTTAGGCATATTACCGTGTGCACGAGCACTAAAACGTCTAGCTTGAACTGTAACTAAAGCACTACTACCGATTGTAGGCATGTTAGCTGGATTCTTTCATTAGCTAACGTGGGTTAAAAGCTAATATTAGTCTGAAACAAAACGGAAACATGTCATGTGAATATTTTAACGTTCTTCTCTACGTTATTTTTTATATTCATACTTTGTTTTATTACATTTATATTGTTTCTATCTGTAATGATATAGTTGTTAATTAAAAAAAGAAATCTTACCTGATTATTTATGTACTTAAAAAAATTTATCTCTGATGATTCCATATATATATACAAACGCAACATGATGAACTAGAAAATCCAAATGATCGAGAGAAAGAGTGAAAAGGAAAGGAGAGAAAAAAAAAGAGAATACTCGTCATATGAGAATCGAACTGTGATAAGACAATAAGCAGACATTGCGTGAAAGTTTTATATGTCCTGGCATATATATATACCAGAATACACTCTTTTGTTTTTTTCTTCAAGATTAATACGGAAAGAAGATCGATTGAAATATTTCAAGGGTATTGAACAGATCAGAGATAATATTAAATCTTTCATTCAACCAAATCTAAGACTAGATACCGCTTTTTTTTCCTACTTTGTAATAGTGTGTTTCTCTTATTATTTGTTTTGTATTTCTAGGATTAAAGAAGAAGAAAAAGGTCGATGCGTGTCAGAAAAGAAAAAGTCTGATTTTCTTCTAAATAAGAGCAATAAATGACGTGACCATGTGCAACATCGTTGAAATTGAATAATTACATAAATGATTGTAAAGGAAGAAATATGATAAATGATCTCTTTTTCAAAATATGTCAGTTGACAGTTACTATAAAGTGACAAATGTAGGCGTTTGAACAATAATAAAAAAATAGAAAGAAAGAGAGAGAGAGATGCAGACAGTTGATAAATATATTTTTTTTATGATTCATTAAGTCAGTTATTTTTAGTTTAATATATAATTTGTATATAATTCTAAGTTAATTATTGTTTATAAGAAAAATAAAATAAAAATTTCTTTTTTTCTTCCTCTACAGGATATTTAGGAAGTGTCATGTTAAATGAGTTTAATTTACTTTGTATAGTATTTTCCGGTTATATTATTGAATTAAAATATAAGAGGAAAAGAGAAATTTATTTCTTTTTTTCTTTTTATTAATAAAATATTATTGATTAAGTATGTTGAAATATTTAATAATATTATTGATTATGGTGTCTAGATAAAACTTATTCGGAAAACAAAAAAATATTTATTATCAGTCTCATTCTCTTTTTTTTAGACAAATATCACGTAGAATTGTCTACAAAATCTAATGAAAATTGTTCTTCTAGCTAAATAGATGCAAGTCAACATGATAGAGAAAATATTTTAATTCAGCTTACAAGGAGCACTATCCAGGTAATATACTCCGATTCCATTCATTCATATACCATTTGATAGATTATAGTGAGGTAGTTAAAACCTAAAAAAAATAGCAGATATAAGAAAATGCATAATTCGATCTAGGAGATGATATAACCTGTTTCAGTCTTCATCATATGTGATCATTTCGACTTCTTTCCTTTCCTGTGATATACGTATGAATTTTCTTTTTCTCTGGTTTTTTTTATTCTCTATATTTGAAGTTGAATTTATTCTATTTATTGTTATTTTTCCTTCTGAAAGTGCAGGATGGTTGTTACACACAACAGATTTTTTTATATTTTTACTATAATAGAAAAATCGATAAAATAGATTTTAGAAAAATGAGTGCCATTCCAGAACAACAAACGCTAGTGAAGTGGGCCTTGGGTCATTTTGTAGGTGAGCTTCTAAACTATATTTTGCATGGTTTAGATATATGTCTCTATTTGTATATCAATCAGGCTGTTCGTTATTTTTCGATCTTTTTAAACATAGAGAGATCAAACATTTTAATTATGATACGGTTCTTCAAGAAATACTGTTCTAAACCAATATGAAGTTTCATCATGTTTGCTTCCATTTTTTAATCTCTCGACATTTTTTCGTTGTTTTTCGAATTCCCATCATTTTTTCTCGTTATAGATATTGTGCATGCAAGTTACAAAAATATATTTCTTTAGAAAAAAAACCATTTTTAAAGCAATAATAGGCAATCAAGCAAGATTTGATGAACTAATTGACGTAAGTTATATTAGAAAATATTCTGTACTTAACTATTTTATTAAAACGCAAATCAAGTGGACGAGGAGATAAGCCAGATAAAAGAATCACTGCAATGGGAACGTGATCTTGATAGTAACGACGAAGGTACTCGTGAATTGTTGATGGCTGCAAAAGACTGTCTCGATCACCAGATAGGTAAAAAAATCTTAATTTATGTCATGGCCTTTAGCGATGATACATCATTCTCTTTCTTCGATTCTTTTGAGTCATTCACATATGATCAGGATTTTTGAGTCATTATTATATAACCAAGTATTATTGTTCCGTATAATCCTCTCGATATCTATATGTGATTTGATGTGTACAGAGATTCATTCGTTTTCATTGTTTTCTTTTCATTCGTTTGACTTTAATAAATGGATTATATCTTCACAACATATATTATTATACGAACTAAAAAAAGGATTTCATGCAATTCCATTACTTTATTTTATGACCTACCGTTTACAACACCAGCAACAACACCACCATATTTATCGAATCTTTTTTCGTCTTCAAATGGATTCTCAAGAATAGAATAACATTTTTTATGTCATAAGAATAATAATTTACGAAAAAAATAAAATCTTTTTGACGGAAGTTTGGCGTGTTGTTATTTTCGTCAGAAAAAAAACTATTTGTCATCGTTATTATTTATTCAAATTATTTTTGTTAAGAATTACTTCTGACTTAACTAACTGTAATTTCATGATGTTGATTTTCATACAAATACTTGAGAAAAAAAAGTCAGATAAATATCTTATATCAATAGATAATATGCGATTTTTTACAAGACGGTAATTTATTTATATAAAAATGTAAAAGATTTGCAACAGCCTATTTCTAACTAAAACATCATTGTCATAAGCATTATCACATTATATTTTTATAAAAAAAAAGTAACGTTCGTCTGGGGACTCTCTGCGGTCTTTCTCGTAGAAATGGCGTGTCTTCACCATCAGTAAACTACTTAATCAAACGATTTCAAAAAACCGACTTCAGATTTCAGTTCTTCGATGCCAATTACCCTTCGGTTAACCCTTATAAAAAAAATCCTTTTATATCTTTACCTAATTTTTGGATCAATCAATGAAGTGCTGACACACAAGCAAGCAGATAATTTATATTTGTAAGGCTCTACTCTACAAGAAAGAGAATAATAATTACTAAACAACTATGGAAAACAGCACATTTATAATATTCGACGAAAATGTTTTTGAATCTGATTTTGATATTCTTTTCTATGAAATTTTGATGGTAAAACAAAGATAAGGAAAGTAATCATTGAAGGAATAAATGATATAAAATAACGAAGAATCTTTTGTTGAATTCATACATTTGAATACATAAGTAAGAATTAATCGTGATAATACAAGAAGAAATAAAACTGCAGGTGTAAATAATAAATGTTTATATTCTTGAATTCGTTCATATAACACGCTTTTATAAGATCGATTTCTATGAAAATGAGATTTTCGTGTTATTGAAATCATTGATGAAATACAATTAATTAAAAATGGAACGAAAAAATGAAATGTATTTATTAATAATTTGATTATAAATTTCCAAGGTCGAAGAATATTTTAGAATATACTAAATTATTTCCTTATTATTATCATCGTCATTTTCTTCTTCGAATAACCGCCGATAAAATAGACCAACTTTACGTACACTTTTATTTTTGTATGTTATCAATGAAAGTATATTCTTGATTAATCCTAAAATAATAAATATAATTATTAATGATAAACTCATTCTAATAATTGATATTTGGTGAATAATGTTGGCATCAAGTGATAAAAAAATTTCACTTGTACTATTGTTAGTAATAAATCTGATTATTCAATAGTGTTCAGTTTAACATAACAAAAGTAAATTCACAAAAAAAACTTAGAGAGAGAGAAAACAATGAAGAAGCTTTTTCAGGTAAACTGACAATATGTCAAAAGACAGTGTTTTCATTAGATTTTGTACACAATTTCACGGGATATCTGCCCGAAAAAAAAAATCAAGTACATACGTCAAAATTTAAGTAAGAGATCTATTTTATCTAACGCACATGTTATTTATTGATTTTATTATAAAGATTTTATAATAATCGTATTTTAAATATGTAAAAACGATGGACCAACATGTCGACTTAGAATGAATCTCAAAAATATTCATCTAATATTATATTTCATTTTTCTTAAAAAATTTAAATATTATTCTATTATTTTATTCTTCATATATAATTTGAATTATACAATTAGTCCTTAAATAATCGTTAGATTACAAATTTTGTTTCAGTTCTATAATTTATCAACCAAGGAGGACAAATAGACATATATATATATATGTGAAGAACAGAGAAGAAAAATGATTTATCCTTCATTTAAATAACTAACAATATGGTAAACACAGTCGTTAGATTTGGAAATAATCGATTATCATCGATATCGCCACTTCCTACAGTTGTTGAAACTAATAAAAAATATTCTTTTCAACAACAACTTTATTTAATTATTGGAATATTAATTCTTACTATAATTACACTTCCAAATATATTCTCAATAAAAAACGATCATGATGATTTTACCTATCATCTTCTTTTCATTATTCATTCAAGTTTGTTATTAATTTATTTTCTTTATTATTTATTTCAAATTTTTATTATTTTTCAGGTTTTTTATTATTATTTTTCATATCAACAATGATATATACAGGTAAATATATACATATGTTTATTTATAAAATTAATCATTTTTATTTAATTAGATATTGGAGATGGTATAACAACAATATGTAGTTTAATTCTATTGGCTATCTATAAAACAATTCATTATTTAATTCGATATCGTTATTGTCAAATATATTCTCAAAAAGATTTTCTTCTAACAACAGTTTGATATATTTAAGATAGAAAAATAATGATTATAATACATATTTTTTATTTAGGTTCAATTAACAATTATTTTAATATTTGTTATAACATATATTCTATGGACATATTTATTAATAAGAAATAACTATTACGAGAAAAATATAAATAAGTATTTTAAAAGAAAAAATTAATTTTTTCCCTAGAAAAACTATTTATTATTTTTTTAGAAGAATAAATAAAACAAGAATATTCTATTCATTATTAAGTCTCAATTTGATGTTAACAGTAAGTTAAATAGGAAAAGATATTCTTAAAAATTTTTATTTTATTTAAGATTTCATCATTAATTTTAAATATACGCAATGAAGAAGATTTTGGTCTATATCATATAATAATTCTTTCAGTTGGTATACCATTTACTTTACTTTGGTGTGCAATTGGAATTTTAATGGTAACCTTTTCATATTATCTTTTAAATAAGCTATCGGTAGATTCTCATTAGTATATAACACGATATTTCTGATTTTACATCGTTTATTATTCTAATAAAATGTTTATTTTGTTTTTTTAGTCTATATACAAAAATTGTTTATGGATAAGTTTATTCTATTTCTTGTCAATAATTCAACCATTTCATTTAATTCATTTAATTTATATATCAATTAATAAATTTTATGGTCTATTATCTGAGAATGAAATTAATCAATATTATCCATTATTTATAATTATATTTGTATGTGTTAGTGCAAATTGTTTTGTACAATTATTTACAACAATAATTGGTTGTTGGATGATATCAAAAACTGATAGAACAATTTTTGATACTCGTTGGATTGTAGCGAGTATTTGAACATTTTTTGTTTTCATATTTCTTTTTGTGTTTTCTTTTTCTTTTTGTTAGAATATTATATAAACCTGTTGTTTTTTGTTTTTGTTTCTAGATAAATAATAAATGTCAACTTCGATAAATAATGATGATAAAGAAAAAGATGATGATGAAAGTATAAATTATGATGAAATTGAAGAATATCTTTCTAATGATAATGAAATTGATACACAAAGTAAAATAACAATTAATTCAAATGAAAGATTAATCACAACACAAAAATCATGTATTACACAAGTACAAAATGTTAGTCTTTCATTAGAAAAATCCTCAATGAATAATGAAGAATATTCTGAAAACGATAATAATAATAATAAATCAATAACATCGATTTTAAATGTTAAAACATCGAATATACCTGGTCCTGTTGGACTTTTACCGATATTAGTAAGATTAAATATTATTCATATTTATTCAAATATTTATTAAATAGAAAACAAACGAAGATATACGTCGTTTAAAAGAAGATAAAGCAGCTCGTAATACACTACCTACTAATGAAGACAACAGCAGTGTTAAACGACCTAAAACATCGTCTGATGTAAGTTGATTACATATAAACAAAAGTTATTTGTTACCATTGGATCACGTATAGAGTTGGGAGATGTTGAGGATAGATATGAATAGAAAAATGATTCTTATCTTGTATTCTTCATTTAAGTATGATATTTTTTGTATAATTTAAATAATTATTTACGATCGAAATAATTCATTTCGTTTATTTTATTTTAGCTTTTCAGTTTAAATATTATAAATTATCCATCATATGCAATAGCACTTTATCAATTACAAGAAACATTCAGTTGTGAACCAATTAGTATTCATACAGCACTTGTTAAAGTTAGAAAAATCAATAAATTATTTTATCTTAATTTTGTTTTCTTCTTTTTCATATAAATCAAGGCTCGTCTTGGTATTAAAAAACGTATTCCACTTATGTGTGCAGCTGTTACACACTATGATCGACAAGAAAATACTATTCTATTAGATAAATCAGGTATTGAACAAACGAAAAAATATTCATTATATTTCAATATAAAATATTTTGTTTATTTTTTAAGGTCATATTCGAGCAACATTCATTGGTGATGATGAATTATTAGATAGTTTTAATATTCGTGTTGGTCATACACTTGTATTACGAAATGTAAATAATTTTTTATTTTTTTTTCTGGAAAAAAACAAATTTCTCATTTTTAAGGTAGCAGTATTTACATCAACACGTCATAGACATCATTATGTTAATATTCATTTACAAAATATCATAGCAATACAAGATCCATTGTGTGATGTATTTAATATGTCATTAATGAATCAGGATAAACCATCAAAAATAATATTACATTCAATTGAAAATGAAATATCAGCATATGAAGATTCATCGAAAATAAATAATGAAACATTTCAATTATTTTCTCAATCAGATAATGAAGATAATGAACAACCACCATTTAAAAAAAAGAATATAGATTTAAAACCATCGAATAATTCAGCTTTTAATCATATTAAATCCAATGTTAGTTCATCATCGTCAACTACAAATAAATTTAAAGAAACTTTTAATCCTAAACAATCAGTTCAACCACAAAAATCTGTAATATCTACTGTTAATAAAGTTCCTTCTAGTGCCGCTACAATTACTCCGTCATTATCAACATCTGAAACTAATCTTCTGCAAATGATTGAAAAACCAATCGATGCAGATTTTAATCCAGAAGGTTAAATTTATTTTTTGAAAAATTTTCTAATATTCTTATTTTTTATTCTTATTAGATTTTGCTGATGATGATTTCTTTTCAACATGGTAGTCATATTATATATATTCTTTTAACTGTATGCAGATAGATTTTTCTCATGTGTTGTAATTTCTTTTGTAGATTTTCTCACTGGGTTTAATTTGTGTAATAATAAAAAAACAATTCGTATATACTTCACTTTATAACATCAACTTTAAATTAGGATGAATGAAATATTCTTTGCTATCTTTGTTTTATATTTTTTTTAGTAGAAAATTTTATTTGTATAAAAAATTTTAAAAAGTTTATCAACATTGACATATTTACTGGGAAAATACATAATATTAGAAAATAGTTTTCAATTGAGATAATTTCATGCTTTTTTTTCAGACTTATTTAATTGACCATCACTTTGTGAGAACGAACGACTAAATTTTTTAAATAGATTTCCTTTACTTTGGCGATCATTTTTAATTTCTTTTAAATCATCATCATTATCATCAGATGAATCCAGATCAAAATGGACATCAAATGGACGAGCTTCTTGAATAGTATCATCAGAAAGAACACTTATTGACACATTATCCCCAGCTGCTTGTTGATTTGTTACAATAGAATTAATTTTTTCTACTAAATCACGTGATGATTTATTTTTGTTATCATCAACATAACCAACAATAAAATGAACTCGATTACTATTTCTTCCAAGTGAATTGTTTTCAACATGATCATCATGATTATCTTCTGCTTGTCCTTCTTTTAATACTGTATGAAATAATGCAGGTGATCCATCAGATGAAACAGATTCATTTCTTGTATGTTCTTTTGCTCGTGCATCTGGATCTTCAATTCTTGGATGACTATGATGTTCCGAATGAGTACTTGGCTCTCTTTCTGTATCATTATTTTCATCATCGGAATAATCACTAAAATCAATCGATTCTTCTTGATAATATAATTTTCGAACATAAACACGTTGATATCGATCAACAAGTACAGAAACAAGCATGCCAATTGTTGCAGCACCAAATAATGCACAAAAACAAGCTAGTATTCGACCAATTGGTGTTATTGGTGCTATATCACCATATCTAATAGAAAAAATTTATTTTTATTTTGATTAATAAAACTAATTTATTAGAAAAATTTACCCAACACTTGTTATAGTAATAATACCCCAATAAGTTGCTTTAAGAATTGAATCAAATGCCTCACCATTTGCAGAATTTTCAGCATAGTAAGTAGCAGCACCAAATAAAAATCCAAGTAAAGTTAAAATAATTATCATTATTAAAAAATCAACTAATGATTGACGTACTGTTGTTGCAAGTACACGTAAAGATTTGACACTTTTAAATACTCGAATAAATTTAAAAGCACGTGCAAGACGAAGTATACGTAAAAGTCGAAGACCAACATAAGTATCTGAACTTCCACCGCTGGGTGCACTAATTAAACGAACACCAAGTGTTATAAAAAATGGTATTATAGCTAATATATCAATCCAATTCATTACATTTTTTATAAAATCAAGGAATGATGGTGTAGTGAATAAACGAATTAAAAATTCGAATGTAAAAAAACCAACACAAATAGCTTGAATAATAAAAAAAGGTGTAGTAAAATATCCTGCACAATCATAAAAAGCACCTCCAGATGAATTTGAAGTTGTTGTATTATCTAAATTAGTTATGTTAGTTGTTGAATTGTATTGACAAAAAAGATTATCTAAATTAGTGTATTGTGGTAATGATTCAAGTGCAAGAGTAAGTATTGATACAAGAACCATAAGTAATGATATAATATTAACAATTCTAGCCATTGCTGAATAATCTGGATATTCCATTGTTGCCCATATAAATCTTTTAATATGATTTTTTGGTAGACGAATTCTTTTAACTTCTTTAATATTTTCATCTTTTCGTATTTGATTAAGAGCTTCTTCTCCTAATTGAAAAAAAGTAACTTCTTCAAGAAAAATATCCAATGGAACATAATCCGGTCGTCTTAAACGACCATTTGATTGATAATAATAAAGTATTGCTTCAAAACAAGCACGATGACGATCAAAAAAATATTCTTGATGTAGATTATCATAGTAATATTTTCGTCGTTTATGATTTCCAAGTAATGTATCTGGAAAAAGTTCAAGTGTTGTACGATGTGTTTCATATCGATCACCACATACATTTATTGTAATACGATCATTTTCTAAAATTCTATCATTTTGTTGTCGTCGTTCGGAGTGTAATGAATGAATATTAAGTAAACTTTTAACATTAATAACATCCCTATAAATAAATATAAATATAGAAAGAGTTTTCTATATATATATAATCATTATGTTAATATGCGGTTAAAAAGCATTTTATTATTTTTAGTGATTTAAGAGCTAAAAGCATAAGCAGAGACTTACGAAACATACGTATCATTACGATTTGGATTCCATTCCACAGTCTTTTTTGATGGTGATGCTCTTTAAAAGAAATTATTGATAAAAAAAAAACAACAAGAATAAAATGTTTTTATTTCATACTCATATATATGTTCCAAACGCCGTGCTTCTGTTTTCGGTAATGGCTTAGTAATAGGTTGTGATCGAGAAGTACGACGAGTAGGTTTAGAATTTTTCAACATTATAACCTATACATATTTATAAAAAAAAACAAAATAGTATAAATCCTTTTTTTGTCTGTCACATGTGTCTCTATCAACGGTAAACGGAGAGAGAGAAAAAAACATACACAATCATATATTACAGGTAAATATCTTACGTATCAATCAAAGCCTAAGAACTATGCTGTCAATATTGGTTATGATAATTACGATGACAGTTAGGTGATTTAGTAAGAGTACGATAATATAAATAACTTTAAACGCCAAATAATCTGATTGAAGTCTATGACTTATTGAGTTTTATTAAAGAAGAATATAAGGAAATATGATAATATCGATAAAATATTCGTGTTTTATTGTATTTGACTTCATGCTGTGATGTAAAAAGGTGTTTTTGTTTGTGAAAAAACAAGTTCGATTCACTCTATATAAAAATATTCAATTGCAAAACAACTCGTACAAGTTTTCATGTGAGAACAAAATTTACATTTATGAAAAGAAAAGAAGATCTCATAAAAATCAAGTTTTATTGTTTTAAAAATGCTTACAATCTTTTCAATGACAGAATATGATTTATTTGTCTACTACGCATGTCATAAACTTTTCTATGCGTTGATTGAAATGTATTACTTTGAAGTTAAAGAACTCCGGGTATAATACTATAATATTCAGACATCCTGTGTCGCACACTGGGTATCTGAAATCGAATACATTCATCAAACATATTATTTCGAAAACATTAAATCTATTTTCGAATGTGATGACGTAGTTAGATTTATTAAAACAGTTATCGTTAACGTTATCCGTTAATTAACTTGATGAGAATCGTCGACATAGCACAGATAAAAAAATATGACATTGTCTAATCAATGCTTAAGTTCTTTTGTACTCACTCACAAACATTGAAACAACTCACTATTGTTTACATTCGGAAGACATAACAAACTATTTTTTGTTTCGAAATCGTATTAATGATAATATTTTTACAAGATTTCGTTTCTCACTGAAGAAAAACGAAGATAAGGAAATATTCACTTACTTTTTTATATTTATATCTGTCAGAAAAACAAGCAGACAAATTCATATATATATATATACTCTTTGTATTTAGTTTCGTCTGCGTAGAAATATTAAAAATAAACTAAACTTCTCTCGATTCTATATATATCGATGAAAGCATATTAGTTAAACGTTGAAAATAAATATTATGATCGAAACGAAAAAGATATTTTATATTTAATATATAATTTGACTTAAAGTATGAAAAAAACATTAAACACCTATCTTGAATTATAAGTATTCATCTATAACGAATCTTTTTTTTCCTCGCGTAATAATACATTAGAAATTTGAATATATATGAAACATGTTGGATTATATATTGTCCTACTTTTTAGACATAATTCTTAAAACAAAAAATTGATCTAAATACAATATAACAATTATATGAATTTTGAATATCTAATGAACTGATAAGAATATATTGGTTTCTTAAAATAATTTTTAATAACAATTGTAAACATCATAAAAGTGCATATTTTTTCATATAAAATAATTTGTATGTTTAGTCATGACATTCGAGTGCAAATATTTTGAAATTCCTTCTTTTATTAATATTGATACTGATCTATGGGTGAAAATTGATTGTATTTTTTTTTTGGCTTTGTACTTTTATGCAAAAATAAAATCAAAGTGCAGCATATATACGTATTTTTTTTCCAGGAACTCTATAATATAATGTACTCTTATCGATCGAAGAAAGTTAATAAATTTTTGAGACTATTAACTAAATATTTATTGTACAGTAAATATTTCAACAATTTTTATAAGTTTCTCTTTTCAATTCTACGAAAAAAAATGTACTTTTAAGGTATTTTATAAGATTGGTCAAACGTTATATCTTTATACAGCTATAAAAACATACATTTATCACTGTGATCTATTGATTACTTAATTCGTATTTGTAAAATAATGCAAAAAAAATCATTCGATTGAAACTTTATCTTTTTTATATATTTAAAATAAAAAAAAATATGAGTTATTCAAGTTCATTCTGTATAATCTCTAATGTTCGATCAATAAGTGTTTTTCCACTACAATTTTGACTGTTACGAATATTTTCAAGTAATGGTTTATATTCATGTAATTGTTCTATTGTAAGAAAATTTTCTAGAAACAAAAAATAATTTTAATTTTTTCATAGTAAAAATATCTACTTTGTTTTTTCATTAAATGAATTAATTGAAGAATATTATTAATGATCTCCGGATGTTGAAAATCTTGTTTTAAAAATTCTTTAATATTTTCATGACAATTTGCTTCTTTTAATTTCTCACAAATCAATGCTAAAATAAAAAAAAATTCAATTTTTTAAATAAAATAAATTTGAACAAACAATTATTTAACATCATAATAATATTCAATGCAATTAATGCTTCATTTTGAATAATTCCACGATTTGTTTGAACATCACATGATGCTAATGTAGATGTTATTAATGGAAAAGCATCATTTCGTGCAAGTGCTTCAATAACTTCGATAGTTTTTAATGCGACAGGTAATAAAAATAATACACGACGAGATTCAACTAAAATTATATTTTTTCTTATTTTAATTTTTATAAAAATATATATATATATTTACATTGTAAACCAGAATGAATAGAACTACTATTAAGAACAATTTGTTGTAGAATTTGATCATTTAAAATTGCTAATTTTGATGTTTCTTTTGCATCACGAAGTAGAAAACGAATAACACCAGTTGCTAAAATAGATATCATCAAAGATAGGATGGGAAAAGAACTTTTAGGGTTACCTTTATAAGCAATTTCACCATTAAAATTTTTTGTAAATAAATATGGAATAACATTATCAAGAACATGACTATCGACTAATAAAGGACGATTCGTAGCTAGAGAAAATAAAAAACGACAGATTACAAAATAATTCTTTTATTTTAATACTTGGTACAGCAAGATTTCTTAGAGCACCTAATATTCCATGTGCAACTTTAGCTTGTTCATCTGTCATTAATTCTAATTTATTTTCTAATTGTATTGAAAAATATTTTAATTGTTCAACTAATTTAATATCAGGTTTTCGTTTATCGGATAATATACTTATAGCTGATTGATCATTTCGTGTTAAATTAGTTATTATTAATGCACCAGTCATTTTTAATTGTAAATTCGATTTTTCTAACCATGATATACCATATTCAAGTAAATCATATTTATTTGAAGTTAATAAATGATCAATTGATTTATCTAAAACCAATACGAAAATATTTTGGTTTTTTTTTCTTGCAAATAAAATACCTGCAGTTATAAGAACAACAAGTATATAACATGTTTCACGAAGAAATTCTTCATCTTTTCCAGCATATTGTTCACATAAATTAATTAATTTATAATAAAATAATGATGAACATAATTCTTCTTTAACACCATCTAAATAAATATCAGATATAAACAAGAATTTTGATATTAATAAAAAAATATTTGAATAAACCTTCTTCACATGCTTCGAGTAGATAAGATAAAATAACAGTACGATTATCATATATATTCGATTCAGTTATATGATTACCAATTTCAGATAATAAATGACTCAATATAAGACGTTCACATTCTAAACAAAATCATAAAGAAAAAAAACTTTGTTTTATTTCTTAAATTAGTTTACTTGTATCATAATCAATCATATTCGAACAAATTGAAAATAAAAATAAGATTATTTTCGATTCCGATAAATATGGTATATAAAGAAGAAATATTTGAAATAAATCTTCTTTGAATATTAATTCAGCAATTTTTTCTAAATAAATTAAATTCTATATACAATTTTATTTTATTTTGTGTTTTTACCATTTGAATTAATAATATTATGTAATGCACCTAAAATCATCATTCGTAATTGTATACATTCATTTTCAGATGATTTACATGAATATCGACATACATCAAATAATGTATCTATACCAATTTTATTCGCTACTAAATCACATCCATCAGCTAAAATATTATAAATAAAATATATATTGATAATATTAACAATCAAACCATTTTCATAGCACATATTTCCTATTGCACGACATGATTCAATTTTTTCTTGTATATTAGAAGATGTTAAAGTATCTTTTAAAGGTGTCATGAAATCTAATTGAATGCATTCTTGTCGGATTGATTCTAAAATAAAATAATTTAATTAAATGAATATATATATTATTTATTATAATAATAACAACCTTGTTTACAAATTTCAGCTAAAAGTCGAATAGCTTTATGTCGATAATCATTATTTTGATAAAGTAAATCTTTTAAAATATTCTTATCAATTTTAGATATTATTTCAGTAATAGATGATTCTGTTTGATCAGCTAAATACAATAAAAAAAAATAAAAGTTTTAAAATTAGAAATTATCATTGAATTTTTTACGATTTCGTAATGCTTGATTTTGAGATTCATTTATTGTTTTAAGAAATGTATCAATATCATTGTTCGTATACATAGTTAGGATGAACCAAAAAACAAAATAAAGAATTAGACTTAGACTTTCAAAATTACTGTCATCTAACAAGAAATTTAATCATTGGCTAAATCGTTTTCTTCAATCAATATGAAACGCCACTTATTCTTTCTTTCATAAAATAAGAATCTTCGTTCAAGAAACAAAAAGAATTATCGAAAAAGTTTTATTATTAAATAAAAATCCGATTCGATTAATTTTTTCGATATACACAATACTCTTTTAGTTTAGCGAAAGAATTTCTTACAAATTTTCTTATAATAGATTCAATCATTACACAAATATTCGCGATTCAGTTTATTAAGCAGATTTAGATAAAATGTAAACTAATTTGTACTTATTCTGAATTTAACGAATAATCATGAAGTTCAATCTTTTTGTGGAACTCACATACGTGGGTTCCACATTTTTAGTTCTAACGGGGCTGTGCTGACAAGCTTTTCTTTTATAAAAGAGAATTGATGATAACAAAGATACTTATGTAGAAAAGAAGAAGATGATGAATAGGTCATCATCTACATTAGCTGATGGAAGATCTTGTTGAAATTCATGGCATTGTTATTTAATTTCAATAGGTTTATACAAAAAAAAACTTCTCAAATGAATGAATTTCAATGAACGATTGTTCATATATTTATTTAATGAGTTTAAAATGAATGAACTGATGATTATGATATGGTTGATTAACGATGCACTTCTTTCCTTGTTTTTTTTCTTTTATATACAGATTGAAATTGTTTCTTTCAACTAAAATCCATCGACATTTTTTCTTGTATATATTATTATGACAAAATTTAGGTAAAAATGAATATTTCTTATTTGTAAGAAGATCAATTTTTTAATTTAGCATACGAACATTTTATAAAAATCCAAAATGGACAGGTCAAACAGCTACTGAGTATAAATGCGAAGTCTCATTATTTTTGTATAATCTTTTTTTTTGTTTAATTAAAGACTTGAACATCTTCAAAGTATAATTGATCTTCGTCGACGTCGAAGTGAAGATCTATCAAAAAATCGAAGAAAATCTGAATATCAAATTGGTGCTCGTATTATAATTAATGTTAGTGGTTTACGTTTTGAAACATTAAAAACAACACTTGAACGTTATCCTCAAACATTACTTGGAAATATTCGTCGCCGTTCATTATTTTATGATAAAAAACAGGATGAATATTTTTTTGATCGACATCGTACTTGTTTTGAATCTATACTTTATTATTATCAATCACATGGACGTCTTCGTCGACCAGAATATGTTCCACTTGATACATTTCTAGAAGAAATAACATTTTTTGAGCTAGGTCCTGATGCTCTTAAACAAGTACGAAGAGATGAAGATTTAGAAGAAGCAACAAAAGTTCAATTACCACAAAATCGATTTTATCGTCATTTATGGGCAAATTTAGAATATCCACAATATTCAATGACAGCAAAAATTATTAATATGTGTTCTATTCTTTTTATATTAGTATCTGCTATTGAACTTGCTATAGAAACATTACCAAATTATAGAGTAGCTTATAATAGTCGATGTCAACAAGAAGGAGATGGTATATAAATATTTTAATAATTATACCTGAAAAAGTTTCTTTTCTTTTAGGATTATTAATTGATAGAAACAATACATCAACTCATCGGCTTTGTCCACCAAATTTTTATTCACCATTGTTTATAGTACAAACTGTTTGTATCGCTTTCTTTACTATAGAATTTTTTCTACGTTTAATATCTTGTCCATCATATTTTGGTTTTATTAAATCAATTCTAAATTGGGTTGATTTTTTGGCAATTGGTAAAAATATAATTTATTTTGATTTTTTAATTATTTTCTATATTTAGTTCCTTATTATATAACATTAATAATTAATCTTCTTGGCTTTTATAAAGAAATTTCATCAAAAACTTATTTTTTTCTAAGTCTTCTACGTATATTTCGTTTTATGCGTATATTTAAACTTTATCGTATATTTCAACATGTTAAATCGTTACGTGTACTTGCTTGTACATTAAAAGAATCAATACCTGATTTTATTATATTATTATCATTTTTATCAATAAGTGGCTTTTTATTTGGTGCAGCAGTTTATTTTGCTGAAAATGATGTTAATGAACATGTTTTTGATTCTATACCAAAAGCAACATATTATGGAATTATTACATTAACAGCAGTTGGGTAAAATTAAAAAGAATTATAATTTTTTGTCGTCTGATTATATATATTTATTTAGATATGGTGATATAACTCCTATTACTCCACTTGGACGATGTTTAGCATGTTTAGCTGCTATATATGGTATATCTATTGTATCAATGCTTGTTTCAGTACTTGTTGATCGATATCAACGAGTATATAATCGAAAACGTTTTCTTGAAGATGATTATAATGAAAATATGATTTTTAATGAATCATCTATACGTTCACATAATCATGATGAAGGTTTAGAAAGTCAAATAGATATTAATAAAGCATTTACTGGTATTGAAGAAGTTAATGATCAAATTGAAGAAAAAGAAAATAATGATGAACCATCTGGTAAAGTTCGTTTTATTCTTGGTTATTTATCTGATGATGATACTGATAATGATCAAGATAACAATGATAATGATGAAAGTGAATTTATAAATAAATTTACACAAGAATTACTTCAATCAAAATCAAATAAATATCGTTTAAAGTGTAAAGATAATTAACAATCATTAGTTTTTTTTACTCTTTTACATCTTAAAAGTCAGATAAAATAAATTGTATCTCATTTTAAAGTAATGACAATGAAATCGTAACTATTATTTCGTTTTATTATATCTTTATAGTAATATCACGATAAAAAGATCAATCACCATTTGAATATTCTTACGTTTACTATAAGTACATAGAAGTAAAATTTGATTAAAATTCTTGAGGGTATGGGTTTGGATACTGATCGTCTCTTTACATCGCATCCACACCCACAACTTCCTAGTCTCAATCTGTTTTCAGAATGAGAACTTGGAATAGAATTTAACAAGAAATAAATGTTGATGAAACGAGCCGCAACGATCGGAGAGTTTGTTATTCATATCCATTCTCAATTGTTTTATAACTGAATGATGATAATGATGACTTTATTGCTATCTATCATCAGTTGTTGGAAGTAGTTATGGAAGAAAAGCTACCGTTACGATTTTGTGGGCGTATGATGTTTTCATTTAGGCAAATTTATCTTGTCATCAAGTTCGTCGTGAAATGAAAAGAGATTGTGTATTATTTTGTAATTCAGCTATAATGAGCTATTTATCGTTCGTTTATGTCGATTAATTTCAGATTCTCCACACAAATCACCTAGAATAACAAAAAATACTGGCAATCATGGAGAATATAAAAACAATCTTTTACCTTTTTATTAATATAGTCACGCCGACATGTTCATATCAGTTCAAATCGATTATGAAATGTTGATTGAATACCAACCTTTGTTAGTAATAGAATAAATAGGAGACGGAAAAGGTATTGAAACTAGGATATGGGTGTCTACTCCTTCTAATCATTTCCACACCCACACCCCACCCACCCTCTTATCGAGATGTTATGTGTTGGTTAATACCCTTGTATTCATATTTTTTTACTTTCTCTTGTGTGATATATAAATAAATACAGCGGAAGAACGGTAAAAAAATTCACCGTTCTGTCTCAACCATTTTTCACGTTTTTCTACTACTCATACTCGAACTCGCACTCGCACTCACAATATCATATTCCTCTATCTATATATATATATATTAGTATCAACTAACAGTGTACAAAAAAGAATACGAGTAAATCATATATATTTATATAGAAACATGGTAACTTCTCGCAAGATTATGATAGAAACCCTGGCAGTAGTACTGTTGGTATCAATGATTATTCCAGCCAGCAAGGCGACGAACACTTCACCAATGGCTCAAACACAACAAGGTGTTTATATTGGTCGTCAAATAACAATAAATGGTACGAATGTGAATTATTGGTATGGTATACCTTATGCTCAACAACCTATTGGTAACCTTAGATGGAAACCTCCTCAAGCTCTTGCCATATCCAATGATACCAAAGAAGCATACAGTTCCAATGCTTGTATTCAGGACGTTGACTTTGGCTTTCCACGCACCGAATCTTGTCTCATCTTAAACGTATACGCTCCGGAAAATCCAAATAATTTGCCTGTATATGTTTGGATTCATGGAGGTGGTTTTAATGCTGGTTCTTCTATGCAGTATAATGCGATTCCGTTCGTTGGCACAAGCATTATCAATTCTGTTCCTATAGTGATCGTGACGATCAACTATCGACTTGGCCTGCTCGGCTTTCTAGCAGATCAAGGATTGTATGACGAAAAATCAGGTATCAACAACAAAAGCACTACCGGTAACTATGCCATATTAGATCAAATCATGGCATTAGACTGGATAAAGAAGAATATTGCTGGTTTCGGTGGCAATCCTGATCAAATTACTGTCGGCGGTGAGAGTGCTGGCGGTATGACCATCACCATTTTACTCACATCTTCACTGGTTGCTGATGGTACGTTTCAAAGAGCCAATATAGGAAGTGGTGGTGTGTGGCCCAATTTCGTGGATCCCTTGCATGTGGCCATTAACAAGACCGGCAACGTTTTGCGAACTAATACGAATTGTACTACAGTACAATGCTTCCGCAATCTAACCGTGGATCAGATTCTCAGTGTCCAACATATCATTGCATCTAAAAACATCTTTGGACTAACGTTTGCTCCAGTTATTGACGGTTACCTTCTAAACGATATCATGGAAAATTACTATGCTAGAGGAAACTTTCAGAAACTTCCTATATTGATCGGATCTACGGCGAACGAGACAACTGCATTCACATGTCCAGTCTTTAATAACATGGCCAACAGTACACAAGTACAAGAATATCTTAAGACGCTATACAATATCACCATTATTGATCAGATTCCTACGATTTATGGTCCCATATCCGCCTCTGATAATCCATTAACATATCTAAATATAATATACACTGATTCTTGGATGCATTGTGGATCTAGACGTATTGTTTCCAAATTCTCGACATATGGAGTACCTTCTTATTTATATACATATAATCATCTTCTGTCTACTACATCATCTTGCTCCGGTGCGTCTCATGGTGCCGAACTTCCCATGCTCTTCCCGTCCGTACTTTCCATTCTGTATCCCAACTACACATTCACTCCATCAGAGCAACAACTCTCTACGAACATGATGTTATATTGGGCCCATTTCATCTATAATTCGAATCCTACTTACAGTGGAAACCCGGTCAATTGGGATGCTTATCTTAGCTCGACGGATAATGATATTGTTCTCGACACTAATCCACAAATGAGAAACCATTATTATGAGCCTACTTGCTCACAGTTATGGGATCGATATGTTGTCACAAACACTACTTTCACATCGTTTGCAAATACATATATCAATAAATACCAGTATGTTTTATTGTTTTTTTCTTTTGTTTGTGTTTCTATCTGTACTAATTTAAAGTTTTGATGATTTCATTATATTTCTCTTATCATAATAAATGTTTTTATACAATTGAATTCTCAAATTAGAGCAATTACAAGTGAAAGACATCTAATTAACGCTTTCAGCCGGAGCTTATTTTTCAAAATAAAAGATAGTTAAAATTCTCAAAACTTAACAACATTGTTTAAACTGTTTACAAATAATGTACTTAGCTCTTGAAACGAGTTGTAGAGCACATGGTATCTCTTCATTACTAAAATGTCTTTATACTTTTAAATTGCAGGACACACATTTGCGACTTTCGCCGGACTGAAAGAGTTAAATAGAAGCTTTTTATATTGTTCATTTTATTTTCATATTTGAATAGAATATAAGATAAAATAATGGCAAAGTTTCATTGTGCTATTTCAGCAGGTATAATCTACACATACATCAATGAAATGATGTTTCTAGTTAGATAATATTAAATGTGGAATAATGATTTGAGAATTGCGTCACTAATTCATTAATATCTTGGTGGTGTGGGTATAGTGTGAATGTGGGCGTGAATGTGATATAAATACGATATTTATACCCACACTCTGCGATATTTTTACTTTCGACATTTGTATCATTCGATATTTTTCGACCTTTTTGCTTTTGGCCAAACCATGTAAGGGTGGGTGGGTGTGGATGTAGTTGTTCTTTTTCTTTCTCATACACACCCACACCCACACCCACACCCTCACCCTACCATGATTTTTGAATTATAGACATTTTACACTATAAAAAAAAACAGGAAAATTTGAAATTTCGAAATTTTTGATATAATGGTTCCAGACAGGATTGAAACTTAAAACAAACATCACCACTCGACTCAGCGTGCCCAATTACCCCTCTCTAGATGTATTTTTCGACGATCCCGAGCTCATTGGTCGAAATCAGGGGTCCCAGGAAAATCTTTATATCTCTTCAACGGAACAAGATATAAGTGTGCGGTTTGCGCAGATCGGAAGAGAACAATTTTCTCTATCAAATGGTCACGGCAGAAATTAAAATCCAACTGAAAAACATTCTATAATATCGCGTCAAAATCTCCTCAAACAATTCATCTGATTGGTCAACTGCTGACCAATCAGATTTTGACCCTCAAGATTTCCCCCATATTTCTCTATCGAATGGTGAAAACCGTAGGTTTCTAACTGCTTCCGTTCTCGAGATATTCAAAAAACATCGATGCCCATTATATTTTGACGCCGATAGTCAATTGAAACAAACATAGATCGACGCCATCTCTTCATCTGTTCTATATAGAGACGGCCAAATGCATTTTAATGTATTGACGATTTATTGAATGTATCGTACCTTGACCTTTTTCTAGAAAGATATATTTCAAATAATAGGTCAAATTATCTTTGTTATTTTTTCTCGTCAAAATTGTTCGTAGACCGTTTATTGTGTTGTGTATAAAACATGTTTCTTTTCTTTATTGATTCATTTTGTATTTTGATAAGTTAAACTAAATTGCATTGTGTTAGTATTATCATAATTTGTGGAAATGAATGGAAAAACACATTTAGAAGATTTATCGAATGAAATATTTTGTGAAATATTTGATTATTTACATATGCTTCATACATTTACTGGTTTTGCTTTATTAAATCAACGAATATCAAATATTTTAAAATCAATTCCACTTCATATTAATATTTCATTTGAAAATTCCCGTCAACAAATTGATTTTCTTTTGTCTCATTTAACTTTTCATGAAGATCAAGTTATTTCAATAAATACTTTAGATCGAATTCGTGATCATTCATCTGTAATTCATTTATTATTTAATCGACATAATTTTACTAATTTAAAATCATGTAAATTCGTCTCAATTTACTCAATGACTAAACTTAATAATATTATTAAACAAATTGGAAATCTTGATAAACTTGTTATACTTCAAATATATCAACCAGATCGTTTAGATTTAAATGAAAATAATAATGATGAATTAACTCGAATATTATTAACAAATAAATCATTATCTCTTCGTTCACTTAAACTTCAATATCCAAATCATTATTTAAATATATCAAATTATACATTCATAAATTCAAACATTATATCACTTTGTTTACGAATATCTGGTTCATCTTCAACTGTATCTGTTTACACAATTTTACAAATTTTTCGTGTTTGTTATAGAATACGATATTTATGCATTGCACTACAACATGAAAAACGATTTGAAAATAATATTAAGTAAGTTATTACGGTAATATTTCTATTTGAGAACAAAAAAAGTTATCCTTTTATATCAGTGTTTCAAATCATCTATCATCCATAAATGCAACTGAAGTTCCTATACTATCACAATTAACGTATTTCCACTTACGCATTTGTGCATTATGTGATATTTGGTCGATTTCTTCTATATTAAATTGTATGCCTAATCTTAAACAATTTTATTTTTTTCTTCTTATACTAAGACCATCATTTCCATTTACTAATCAATATCTTGATGGACATGTATGGCAACAAATATTAGAAAATAATGTTTCATATTTATCAAAATTTGAATTTCATATGACTGTTACAAAAAGAAGACCAAAAGTAGATTTAGATATTTTTATTAATTCATTTAGTTATTTTGTTACAAAATATTCGAATTGGAATATGGTTGTTGATAGATGGATGTATGGTCCTCGTCTTCAAGGTAAATAAGATTATTCAAAATAATTAAATTAACAATATGAAACTAAATCTGAATTAATATCAAATTTTTATTGAATACATTTTTTTTTGTATTTAGATGAACTTATTACGTTACGAACAATGAACTATATCAAAGGCAGACTTATTGCAAAAGTAGATTTACCTTGTATTCATTGCAGAACATTTGAAACACGAACAACAGAAAAAACAATTGATGATCATTATTCATTTTATTCTGATATAACACAATTAAAATTATATATACAAAATATAAAATCAAATGTTACTTGGTCTACTCCTTTATTCTAAAATATTACTAATCTTTTAGTAGTAGAAATGCCAATAATAAACTCATCATGGTGGAACAATTTATTCAATATAGGTACAAATAAAAGATCTTTTTTAATTTGATAAAAATAATTCATTTTATATTATATACAAATGTATACGATTTCATGTATTTTTTTTAGTTAATTTTCGAGAAACAACTAATGATAACAATGGACACGAAAATCTTACTTATTTATCAAATTTTATTTATTTAACAAATATAACTACATTAGAATTTCCACCAATATTTCATGTTAATCAGTAGAAAGATGCTGAATTTATTTTAAAGTATATGTTCTTTTAAATTTTAGAACGCTACTATTATTAACATATATTTTTTGTTTTAGATCATGTCCAAAGGTGATTATTCTTGCTATTAATACTTCAGTATTACTCTCCTCAAAAATAATTAATAATTTAACTCTTATTCCAGTTTTCAAACAAATTAAAATGATTAAATTAATTACTGAAGATATTTATTTTCCTTCAAATTTTATTTTACAATTTGTTGAACGTTTTCCTTCACTGGTTCATATTGAACTACAAGTATTTTCATTTGATATTTGTTCATTTATTATTGAAGTATTACTTACCCAATCAGAACAATTATCTTATGTGAAAATTAATTATCACCAAGATACATTACTTGATGATTATTTTACACGTGAATATATTACTACAAAACGCCGTCAAGTATTTCCCCTTAATATTATTAATCAACAAATGATGAATGTCAAAAATAATGGTCAAACTATTGAAATTTGGTTATCATAATATGATACTTTTTTTGTCTAAATTTTTCTTATTAAAAAATAAAATTACTTCAAATGCCCAAATTAACAATAAAATCTTTTATTCAGAAAAAATAATAGTGAATGTTGAGAAAAAAAGTTTATGTAAAACTATATATTTCTTGCTACACTACATAAGAATGCTGAAGTACTAAAATGCATGAATTTTACTTCCGAGTCCCTTTATTTTGGATTATTAAGAATTCTATAGCTAAGCCCACCACCAATGTCCGAAGAGTGTTAATGTTATTATTATTCTTAGTTCTAACTGTCCAAAAGAAGTAATTGAGTGTCGATAATCATTAGATGATCTTTGAGTTGTCTTATCATTTCATGTGCAATGATTTCTTCCTGTTTGTTGCGGGCAGCCACTAATTGATAAGGTCCACGTGGTTGAATACGACGCATTTGTAAAATCATATCACGAGCATGAGTAGATGTCGATGCTGTTGATGGTATTTTTATAGCATAAACAACAACTGATTTTGTTTGATTTTGTTGCTCAGATATTTTATCAATGAATAGTTTATTCAGGCTATCAGTATTGGTTGGCGACTGTGTTGTAATACAGAAGAAAACACACCTATTGCACTGCTGTGGATCTTGAAGGCAGATGATATTCTCTATACCAGTGTAATTCGAGTTATGAGATAGTTTTATTTCATTTTCTTCGATTAGACCAGTATCCATGTTTTCTTCTTTAGTAGTCGATGATACAATTTGATGTCGTTCGTTAAGTTTATTATGGACTACTGTTGCAATAGTTTCAATAGAATATCCTTGAAGTAGATCGACTAATGGTATATAAACACTGGTCTCTTGTCCTAACCAATTATAGAGTGAAAGAGCTGCTAATGAATCCATACCTTGGCTAACCAATGAACGATCAACTAGAATACGATCAATATCGGCTGCACCTAAAAGACGTGCTACAGCCGTTTGAATTCGTTCAATAATAGTTTCTTTTCGATTCAAATTCGAACTAGTTGTACTATTGAGTCCTGTTGATGTTGTTGACATATTTGTGAGTTTCATAATAGTATAGCGTGCTTCTACTATTTTATTCAATTGAAATAATGGTAGTTTGTGACGTCTTTCATATAATGTTTGCCAGTTAACAGCAAAAATAACAGGGCATGGACAAGTCCTCTGATTTGCATGGAAGCGTTCGATCAACTCGAATACAGCTATTGGTGGCAATACTTCAAAACCATGTGTACTCTGTAGAGTGCTAAGCATATCTCGTTGTCGATGAAACATGCCTGCACCACTTACAGCAGGCAAGCTAACTGAGAGAGCAGGTAAATTTAGTTGAGTCATGCGATGGTGAGCAAGAGCATCGAGAAATTGATTACCAGCATTGTAACCGGACGATGCCACTTCAAGTAGATGATTTCGAATTGATGAGAACATGAGAAAAAAATGAAGAGGAGCATGGGTGAGCTGTGTAACTTGATGAAGAATCCAAGCACCACGAACTTTTGCTGCTAAAACATGTGTCAAATATTCTTGTGTCATTTTAGCCAAAGTTCGGTCTTCTGCAACGACAGCACTGTGAATAATTCCTCGAACAGGATAAGAGGTGTGACTTAATTTTTTGATCAGATCATGCACTTGATCAAAATTTGTTACATCTGCTTGTACAACATCAGCATGAGCGTGATATTCATTTATTGTTTGTTTCAAACGTAGCCAATCCTCATACTGTGGATTAGAAGATTGTTCAAGTTCAGCTAATGTCCGACGACTCATAAGAATAATACGTTTTACACCTCGTTTCTCTATCATCCACCGAGACATTGTCAATCCAAGGCCACCAAATCCACCAGAAATCAAAATTGTTCCTTGTTGGCAGACATTCGATGGAAACATAATATCATTATAATGTACGCTGTTTAAACAGAGTGATTCATTAGAATTGGTTAGACGAACTACAGCTTTGCCCATGGCTTGACCACTATTGCTTCTCATAAATGCATCAATCACTTGAGATGGTTCATACACAACTGTGGGTTCGATTGCTTTTAATTTGCCTTGAATAAGTAATTCAATCATTTCTTGTAGCATAGCAGTGCAAATGTTTGGATGTTTGTTAGAAAGTGAAACTAAATCAATGACATGAAAACTACAATCCGATCGAAAGTCAAACATAGACAATGGAGACTTGTCAAAAACATCTCGTTTTCCCCATTCAACAAAATGACCATGATCAGCAAGTAGTTTAATGGATTCTTGTAGAAGAATACCTGATAAAGAATTAATGACAACATCAACACCATGAGGTAGAATACTTCTTACACCACTAACAAAAGAAGCATCTCGACTATTGAATACATATTCGACACCACAATATTCACGTAAAAACTGTCGCTTTTCTTCAGTTCCAGCTGTAGCTAAAACACGAGCACCAATCCATTGACAATATTGTATACAAATTTGACCAGCACCACCCGTTGCAGCATGAATAAGAACAGTTTGACCAGGTCGCAAATGAACGCGATATTTAAGAGAATAGATGACTGTCAGACATATAACGGGCATAACTGATAATTGTTCATCAGTGAGAGAACATTCGGACGGAATACGCACTACTTGTGTTGAGTCGACAATAACATGTGAATGGAATACACCACGTAAAGAGATACCTACGACACGATCACCCGGTTGAAAAGTGACATTAGGACACGCACGTATGATAGTCCCAACAAAATCTGAACCTGGTTCAGTATCTCGATTCATATGTGGCTGATCTTCATCCAATTGTGCAAATTTACGAGTATGTGGATACAGACCTCGTGCTTTCAATACGTCGCGAAAGTTAATGCCTACACAATGAATTTGAACTTCTACCATACCTGGCAGTAATTCTTGTGCTCTCTTGTCGGGAATCCATGTTAATTCAGTGACAAAACGAGATGGAGGCACGCGAAGACGGAATGGTTGTTGATTAGCATCTTGTTGAGGGATAATACAAATTTGTTTTAGTTTTGATTGATCTTCTTTTTCATCATGTGTTTGCAACATTTCATAATTCCATGTGATATGTTTGACTTTCTTTTCATTTGTGTCAAAACGAAGAACAATTTCATTAATATTCTTTGTATATCGAGAAGTTATCATATATTGTACCAGAGCATAAACAAGTGCTGATTCATTAATCATTGTTGGTGGTGCTTGTAGATCAATGAGCTTCAATCGATGTTGTTCATATTCAACCATCAAACTTCGTACAAGACCAATAAGTGGTGATTGAATTATATTGCAGTCGGAACCAGTATTGAGCTGCGCATGTCTTGTGATAACAAATATAAATGGAAGAAAATTAGGTGCTATTGCATAAATTATTTGAAGAAGTTGGATAAATGCGCCACAAATAGACTCTTCGTGTTCTTTAAATGGCAACTCGTTGTTGTCATTGAGACAAGTTTGCTCGAATGGCCAAGCAAAAACAATGTATAGTTGTTTATAGTTATTCATCATTGTTTTAAGTACAAAACGAATTGTGTCAATCGTTGATGCAGATATATCCAAAAATCGATTGTTTGAGCATGGCAAAAGTGGTATGATGTTATGACCAAGACTTTCAGGATCATTTTTGGCAAAGATTAACCATGCTTGTTGTTGTCTTTCATCAAGTGTTTGTAATATCTTATGAGATATTGTCTTGTGAGCAATAATTAGTGTACTTTCATAGTGACTCATCACCGTATCGACATCTTCAAATCCACCAATTTCTTTTAAAGCTGTAGTCCATTGATGAATATTATGAAGTGCACGTTCATTACTCGATGGTAACCACCAATGCTCGAGTAAACCAAAGATAAGATCAAAATAGAGAGGAACATCAGTTAACTCAAGTAATAAAAGAAGACCATTCGGAACAAGTAGATGACGAAGATTAATTAACGATGTCGTCAAATCTTCACTTTCCTGTAATTTATTTGCAGCAAACACAATATCAAACGATTCGACTGGAATTTTTTCAAGAATTTCATTGTTAAACAAGTCCGTTGCTTGATCGTATATTATATTTAAATGAGTTTGATCAGCCAAATGTGTCTCAAATAGTTGCTCAGCTTGTGCGAGTTGTACTGGATCCATATCTGTATAATGTAAATCAATCCATAAACTTGTTTGACGTGATAAATTAAGTAAAAGATGAAGAACAGGTAGAACGTCCATTTGTTCACCACTGGCAAACCAAAGTATACGTAATCGTCGATCGCTAAGCGATCCATGGCTATTCTGATCGTTTGAGATGTGAAGATGTTGACAAATTGCATGAAATATTTGCTCTGTTTTAAGTGCACTCATAATAGTTTTTATATCTTGTAATGCTCGTTCAGTTTCGTTGTTTCCTAAGAATACATCTAAACCATTCTGTTGTCCAGTAAAAACGTCTTTCAGACGCGAGCCATATGTATCTAATAAGGTTAATAGTGATTTGAGACGAGGAAAACGATCGAATAACTGTCTAAGACGACGTTGTGTAGAATGTGATGTTATTTGTTCATGTAAAGTAGCGACAAGAGAGTTACATGCATTTAATAAAGGATGATACTGGTTATCGACGAGATTCATATCAAGATCTTTTATTGATAATTGAGCGTAACATGCGGCTAATTCGTTGAATGGTTCAATTGAGTCAATTAAATCTTGATTACTAACAACATCAATTCCACCATTACGAATCTGATCGAGTGATGGCAGTAAGTCAGCTACACTTTTTATTATTGGTGAATCTATCCATATTCTTTCCATACAATAGTCTTTTATAATTGTATCTAATTTTTCACAACGATCTTCATTAGGTAAGTCAACGCCTGCATTTAATTTATCAAAAATAGATTTCTCTACTGCCCATCGACCAGATTGTACACCTTGAACTTCTTGATATGTAAGACCTTCAAAAATGAACATCGGTTCATTGATTGTCGTGCTGCCACCTGGTAAAACCAATACGTCAGCAGTACATGTTCGTTCTTGACCTAGGCCGCAAACGGTATCATTATATTTTCCATGCAGCTCAACATTTGAGTGGTATGTATTCACTTTACTCGTAGCAATAAATTTGTGGATACTAACTGGAATAAATGTAGTATCAGCACCAGATAACAAAACTAGAGGTGACTGCACAAAAGTATCCAATACAGTTGGATGTAGTAAATGATAACAAGAGTGATCAATAATTGCATCAAGATTACTCTGAATTTGAGTAATAATTGTAGATGTCGTACCGCATAATGATTGTATGTTTTGAAAAGAAGGTCCATATTGATAACCTCGTGATGATAAATGAGTATAAATACTGGTTGTATCAGTCGTTGACCAGGTATTGTAAGTTGGATTGGTAGAAAGTAATGTTGTTAGTTTTTGTTGAACGCTGTCCATTTCAATATGACCATGAGCATGTAGAGTGAATTCACGTAATGAATATTGATTGAGAGTTTGAGGATCGGTAAAAGAATCGACAACATCAACACTTGCCATGCCTGATGAACGCATACAACCTGAACCAGCTGACGTCCATGGTCGACTGTACACAAACCATTCGCGAACTGGGATGATAATTTGTGTGAACACTTCTGTTAACTCATGTTCATTAAGAGTAAGAGCTTTGACAAATTTGATTTCTTTCAAAACAAGTGAAGATTGTTTGTTATCTGATGATAGAAATAATTGATGATATGCAGCTGTTACTAGTTCAAGATAAGCAGCAGCAGGAAACATAATTGCATCTTGAATTTTGTGATCTTTCAGATAAGCATATTGTGGTAGGTTAACATTAAGAAGACTCTTCCACGTAGCACTTGTTTGTCCTGTTAATTGACGGACACCCAATAATGGATGAATAGGAATTCGATTAGCCAAACGTGTCATAACTGAATCTTTTGATTCATACCAACATGAACTAAGATCAAATGTATACAATGGAAAATCATCAAATAGTTGTTCATTGTCAATCATCGATGATATATTTCGAGTTTGAAAATATTGTTGCCAAACATGGGACGATGTCGTCAATTGTGCGAGAGTAGTAAGTAATGTTATTTGTTCATTTTCTTTTCGCTTCAATGTTGGAAGAATCAGTGGTTGACTGCTTGTCGATTGATAACATTCTCCAATAGATGTAGCCAAAACTGGATGTGGTGAAAGTTCAAGAAAAACAGTTGGAGTGTCATGTTGTTGAATTGATACCATAGCATCATGAAATCGAACACATTGTCTCACATTTGACCACCAATAATGAGCATTGACTGGTACCTGATCACTTAATTTACTACCAGTTACACTTGAATAAAGATTAGCTTTAGCACATTTTGGATTGAACATTTGTTGAGAGTCTTTCAGAGGAAGTCCTTGAATATCTTTAAGTGATGATAACATCTCTTTTTCTATGTCGAATCGATCCATCTGATACGAATGAAATGCATTTTCGATACGAAGACGAGCTTTGAAAACATTTGGATAGAATGTTGAGAGTGTTTGTTGTAATTCATCGATAATCTTTTCATCACCACTTAACGTGACAGAGCGAGGACTGTTAACAACGGCAATACAAATAAGGTTTTCAATACCCTTGAGAAGTTTATTTTGTACTTCTTCTTCACTCATAGATACGGCTAACATACGACCACCCTGTCGTGTATTACGATTTTGAAGACGCGATCGATGATAAACAATACAAACAGCTTCTTGCAAAGTAAGACGACCAGCAACAAAAGCAGCTGCCTGATCTCCGGCACTATGTGAGACGATTGTCGAAGGATAAATATTCCACGAGACGAGTAAAGCAGCCAGTCCAACTTGAATAGCGAATAAAGCTGGTTG